AGCTTCGAATTAGCAATGTAGTACCGAATCGGCGGGCCCAGGGCGGCCGACGAAGCGCCGCTTGGCCGGCGTCGGGCATCAGCGTCGCGCCGTCGACGCACCGGCGTCGTCACCGTCGCGGGATCCCGTCATCGAATTCCAATGAACCCGCCCATGTCTATAATCATATTGTATACGGAAGGGTCATCGAACCCCGGGACCGAGTGGGGACCGCAACGTCACGGCAATCGGGCGTCGGACGTACGTCGGACGGTGTGTAGCGGGCGCGCGAACGCGCCAGACAAGGACGGCGCGTCCGGAGTCGGTGCCCACCTCGAGCGCATTCCACGTTACTCCACAGATATACGGATAATTTGCTAGGACGGACTTTCTTTAAAAAATGTCCAAAATATGCGGCGGTCGTCCCGAGTCGGTTCCTGGTTCTGGTTTCTTCGCAACGGATGCGATATCTAATCGGGAAGTGTTCATGTGGCCTTATCGATGCGCGGTGCCAGCTGACGAGTGAACCCACAGTGCCTCAAAAAGTATCGGCGATTTTCTTTATTTCTAATCGAGTATTTTATCAACAAATTCCCACTGGCGAATTTTCTGTGCCGGGTTACTTGCATAATAACCATCTTTGTTTACTTCAGGTGACAGTGACAGTTTTTAAATAATTAATTCGAATTATCAAAAGTGCTGGATAAAATTCGCATATATCATTTTATTGTACATAGGAAATTAATTAATACATATATAATTCAAGCGCTTATATATAGATAATTACCTAGTTGTTTTCATAATCGGTCATTCACATTACGAGTAAAAATAAACTCACTGGTGATATCACAACTTGTATGTAATTCCGTATCAGCTTCCAAGTTTTTTTTTTATTTTCCTTCTAATAGTGAGCTCAGGTGGTTGGAATCGAAATGTGCCTTTGCGGTGGTTTTATTTTTATCCGATAGATAGTTGTGAATGTGTGTGTGTTATTTTTTTTAATAAATAAGCCACGCTTTTTCGGCGGTTATTAACCTCGAGGTTCATTGGCTTCGAGTTGAACCGCGCCTCCTTCCAAAAAGTAAGGGCGCAGTTTCTTCATTTCGAGGAAAGTTTACTTGCAAATACTTGCGAATAATCGGCATCCTCGGATCGAGGTTCTCGCATATCAGTGATTAGTGATTCCTGCCTAATGCAGTATAGAAATAAATCGGTTTTCCATTTGCTAACAGGTATTTAATTTTGCCTTGTTTCTCGCTGACTTTTTTCCGAAATTAATTATTAACAAATTTTAATTCGAATTGTAGTTAATTAATTTTACATACTATTACACAAGATTGCGATTACTATTAGAAATATTAGTTTTAAGAAGTGGAAAGGTGATACAATGTGTAATTAATTAATTTTTCGGCATACGTTTATTGGGTAATTTAAATTTGAATAATGAATAATGAATTATTTTCGAAGAATTTTCGCAAAATTTTCTAAAAATAATTTCATCTGGTAACAATGAAGAATTTTTACCATATCAATTGGTAATTTAAAAAATAATTTATTCATGCAATATCTACAATTTCTCACAATAATACTAAAGATTTTCACATTTACTTCACATTTCCATACACTTTTTAACAATGTAACAATTTTTTAAATCCAACACCTGTTAAATTTAAAAGTATAAAACTATTCATACTCTTTAAAATACATTCACATTATTTTTATCGCCCCTAAAATACTCCCTAATTCTCTCTACATCAGTCGACCCCACAATGACGAAATCCTTTCTTTATAAAAAAATTTCCCAAAGTGTAATCTAACAAAGTATCTCCAGTGCATTTCTACATTACAAAGCTATTGTTAACATTTTCTCTACGGTTACCATAGAATGTATACATTACTCGTTTCTGAAAAGGGCCATTCTTCGTCGACATAAACATTTGTGCTATCACGTTGACATTAAGCTTTCGCAGGACGCGGAAGGCTTTATCATTTTACGAACATATTTATCTCGAATTGTCTGAAGTTTTTCCCTCAATTGCGGAAACACTCCTGCCTAACGGTAATGCTTTTTTTCGTGTATCTCCGCAATTAGGCGAGTAACTAAACAACGTTTCCATGTAAGTAAATTAATTGGTGTTTACATTTTGTTCGGTTTCCAATTTGAAGTTAAGCTTTTTAATGAGAATGGCTTAAATTCTGGTCAATAATGAAGAGAGCAGAATATTCGGTATTTGTTTGCTTATCTGGAACATCGCGTGTCTTCTTCATACTATTTTAAAAGACCTCAAACCGGAACGATTCCCGCAATTATTAGTATTATCAAGCTTTTTAACAGACGATTAATGATTAGCAGTTAATGTGGTGTACACGAATCATTTATTATTTTTACAATACATTACAGCTGATAGAGTACATCTACGAGAATAGACTCCCTATCGATTTTAGCGAGATATTTTAGGAGGTCAATAAACCTAGGCAGAAAGCTCGACGTTGATCTCTCTACGTATAATTAATCACCTACGATACGAATTTGACAAATTGTTTTTTTTTTTGAATAAAAGTTATTCGAATCGTACACGGATTGTTTAAAGGTACCTTACAGATTACCATCTGAGGAATGAAATTATTAATTCGGACGTTTTGATCGTTCTTTACCGCGTTTTGATGGATGGACGTGCTATTAATCAAAATCAATTTGTTTCTATCCAAATTTTCCTCGGCCAGCTAATAGTTTTTTTTTTTGGTGGACAATGATTCATGATGTTATGTAATAAAATTAAATGGGTATATACACGATTTTTATTTCACAAGTCAAGTATAACAAAATTTTGGGATATTGGATTGTTTATTACAATAAAAAATCTTTAAAGAAATGCATATCTCAATGACCCGTTATCAGCGTTTGAATTTAATCGCGCGTTGAACTCTCTCAAAAAATCGCAATGTAATAGCATTAATACACAATTAGGTATTGAATATTTTGGAAATAGAATGGATTCACAATATACACATTTTATATATTTTTTCATTAATACAGGGTGGCCCACAAAACTATGACTGATAAAAAAATTAATAAAACTAAAATATCTGTAATAGCTACAATTTGCTATGGAAGTAATGAGCACTAAACAAACACCGGGCCCTGTATAATCAGCTGGCGAATTTTTTATTCGAAGGGACATTTCACTCAAAAAAATAAGATGAAGACAGGCGTCCGAGTAGTTCGCCAGGTCGTTGGTAAAATCACTAAAATCAACACAAATATTTGGATTTGGGTCCGCGGTCGATGACCCATCCAGAGGCGTAGGGCACGTGTTCGTTCATAGCTTTTTTATCGCATGGTTAACTGTAATTCGGCGAATTTTTACTTCATCCGATGCGAATAAAAAGTCACATAAAACCGGTGGAAAGTGACTTTTACACTCCGATTGATACAAAATTCCGATTGATTTATTCAAGAATAGTACCCAGAATAAACCAAATTAACAGGTGCCCTCTTTGTTATTAATTGCATATTTTGTATAGGAGTAGTGTTTAAAAACTAAAAATAACTTCATATTAATCAATATTCCCAATTATACAGGGTAGCAAGAAATGCTAGGCTATATACAGGACGATCAAAATCCTTATCATTATTTTTCTACGTATGAAATTATGTTAGGGAATTTTTTTTCGGTTATTTATGTTCTGTACTGATGAAATTGTAGCGGGATAATTCAATGCGAAGCAAGTTCAAAGCATGTAGACAAAGAATAATTTGTTCTATGATGCAATATGGACGTGGAGTGTAATAAAATATGATACTGACTGGGAAAATGTTGTTCGAAATGCGGGATGTGGTATAATGCAACTAATAGGCCCGTAAAAATTCGCCAGTAGGATGCGAAGCGATCTATAAATAAATAAGTCAAAAGGCGATATGGTAAATTTTATGTTTGTTTACACAAAAGACTATTTTCTGTTCTATCGAAGTGTATTTTGACTACCTCCGTCAGAATTGCATTTCGCGCAATAGTTGTGTAACTGGTGCTATTTTTGAATTAATTGTTGCTATTATTAGAAAAATAATATAATTTATTTTACGCTACCTATGTAATTATTTTAATTTATGTTATTTCACACAATTGCATATTAAAATCCACTAAAATTGCAAATTAAATTAGCTCATGAATTCAGCTAAAATATCCATAATTATTTTTCGTTTAAAAAATAAAACCACAAGCTCTCTTACATTTATACTTGATGACCTCTCTTCCTAGTAATATTTCAGTTTATTTTAAAAATTACTGTTATTTGCTTGTATAATCATTTTCATATTTACGGAAAAACAAACAATTTTTGAACAATTTAAACCCCTCCAACAAGGCACTCATTCTCCCAATAAAGTCACCAAACATTCGATCACCACAATCAACGTTAAGACGCCTTATTTTTCTTTACAGGTTAGAATAGTATAAAATGGAGATAGATGTGGAAAATAAAGACAATTACTTTCACAAACTCCCCGTAAATTTTTAAACGAGTGCGCACCACCGTGACGAATTTAACCCCCGCACGTATCGAAGGGTTAAAAGAGAAGGTCCGGCTAACCTTCGGCCATGCACCCCCCTGCACGGCGGCGTGCGGAATGTGATTGTGTCAAGTGGTTTAAAACAATTCGAACGTTCGCGCGCACCGCGATAAAATGGATTCGTTCCCCGAGATATTCGGCGCGGGGGACAGTTGGAGCGCTTCGGTAGATAATAGAGAATTAATAAGGGGCGATAAAGTGTCTTCGGCCGATTCGACGACTCCTCCGCCGCAAAATTTCGAAGATAAAGACGACAGAAAGTCGGCCAATTCGATACGAGGTAATTCAGTAACAGTGGAGATTTTTTAAAAATTTTAAAATCGACCCGACTCCCTAAGTTGTTAACGAAATTAATAAAGCGCTCTTATAAACCATCTGTTCATTTCGACTAATTTCAGTCGATTGTTTCATTTTTTTTTTCGGTGTGAATTAACATCTCGTTTTGTTTCAGCCCAAATTGAGATAATCCCGTGCAAAGTATGTGGGGATAAAAGCAGTGGCGTCCACTACGGGGTGATAACGTGCGAGGGATGCAAGGGCTTCTTTCGGCGGTCGCAGAGCTCCGTAGTGAACTATCAGTGCCCTAGAAATAAGAACTGCGTGGTCGACAGGGTCAACAGGAATCGATGCCAGTACTGTCGCCTGCAGAAATGCCTACGGCTAGGCATGAGTCGAGATGGTAAGTTATTTAGAAATTATATGACCTGTGCAAGTGTAAAAATAGCTTAAAATATGAGCAATTGGTACAATTTTTTAAGGAATATGAGGCTTTAAAAGAAGGTTATTAAGAAGCTCATTAAATTAGTAGATTTTTCAAACAATTTTACAAGATTTTTACATGTTTGAAAAATTAGGCGGTTTTTAGAAATATTTCAATAATTAGTAAGATGATCTTACAAAATATTACCTATAAATTTGACGATTTTAGGAAGAATATACAAAAATTTTCTTTCCAGATGTCTTTTAAAAGATAAAAGAAAAGTTCTAAATAGTCCTGGTAGCATTATAAGTGGTTCTGGATTTTTCTAGTTCATCCAGGATCGTTCCAAATAGTCCTGAATCTGCCCTGAATGATTTTGAACAGTTCTAAATTGTTCAATTCCCTTCCTGAACCGTTTCAAACGGTTCTAGTCGATTCTAGACTAGTTCTGATCTAATTATGGACAGTTCTAAATGATTTTGAATAATTCTAAAAGATTTTTAACTGTTATAAATAATTTTGAACAGTACCAAATGATTCCCAAACTTTCTCTCATACGATATTACAATGGTCAGATAATTTATCTTTCTCGTTCTTGCCTTATTCCTATACCAAATGAAAACTACCAAATACACTAGCATTATGAATAACCTGAGTTGTTGAGTAGTATAATACCATAGACAACTTGAGAAAAATAGTATCGTTTATTAACCAGAGTACCAGATATCAACATTATAATTTGAACTATCTAATTCTTTGCAGCTGTGAAATTCGGTAGGATGTCGAAGAAGCAGCGAGAAAAGGTGGAGGACGAAGTGAGATTCCACAGGGCTCAGCTGAGAGCGCAGAACGATTCAGCGCCAGATAGCAGCTCGGTGTTCGATCCACCGTCGCAATCCGCCGGGGATCAAATCCATTATAACAATGGGTAAGTCTCCATCTTAACTTGCTCCGCAAGCTCGACCTAGCTTGCTACAATCTCCTGCTTCTATAGAGTACAAAAATTGTGTTTTTTAATGTATTTATTATGGCGTAGGTACCCGTATAGTAGTAACGATGTCGGCGCCTACACTCCTTACTACCCGGGACAGACGCAAGTCCAGGCAAACAGCATGGGCTACGATATTTCCGCGGACTACGTGGATAGCACCACTGCCTACGATCCTCGACCGGGGCTGGACCCCATGAACGACAACAGTACCTTAATGACGAACATGGTCACAGCAGGTAAACTAATCTGTTCGCAGATTTATTTAGTTTTTTTTATTTTCTACTAACCAGTTCACTTGCTTCGCTAAAAGGGGGGATACATTTAGAATAAATTCCTATTGAATAACTTTTCCTGTTGGTCTGGATAGATTTGTACTATAACTTTTGGTTAGACTTGGAAGTAGTTTGAATAGTAGTGAAGATATAAGAAAATAAACTTTAACTCTTGGGAATAAGTAGGATGGGAATATTATGAGAGTAATATGAGAACAGTGGAAACTTGTATGAGTGTTTATATGACTCTCAGCGGTGTGTTGGGGCGTGCAAAGGATAATTAAATCATCTAATAAAATTAATCAAAAGTTATAAATAGATATATTTGTTATGAACATTAAATCGATAGAATTTTAAAAACTTTTCCAACCGAAAAAAATTCCAGTTATTATTATTCATTACGACCACGCTTTAATAAAGAAGCACACCACACGAGAATCTTCTCTTCTCAACGCATGATATAACATCGCCTGCTGCAATTTTTTTTCAAACGTTTCACGCTCTCTTACGCGGAATATTCATTATATTACCATTTCGGCGTTTCTGCGGAAATTTCGGAAGCGTTTATGAGATTTGTTACGCAATGATATTTCTTCATTAAACTGTAGCTGCTTTCGGATAAATAATGGTTTGTTGCTCATTATAACGCAACATACCGACCGCCCTGCGCGAAGACGTGCCGCAGATGCTAACTATCCTTTAGCGTTCTAAAATACGGCGGAGGCGCCCGAATAAAGTGGCGAATGATGAGAAAATTCGCCGAGAAATTTAAATTATTTTTCGAATATTTCCTGGTAAATTTCTTGTTTGCACTCGTTTTAATAGAGGTTGTAAAATAGAGGTTGTTTGTATAATTATAGTACTCTTTTTGATTCTTTAGAAACTGATATATTTTAGAGATGGTAAGGAAAAAATTATTTTCCCCCTAATTTCTCTTTACTCTGGAGTTTCTCCTTTGCTCTGATCCTCTGTAATGTATAGTCAAATTAGCCATAAAATTGGCAATTAGGAAAAACATTCCGGGGTATTAAAATTTGGTATTTTTGTAAGTAAGCTGTAGAGGAGGGGTCATTTATCTCGGAAAATATTGAATTTAGTGATATAGTAAAAACAAAAATCTCACATACAGATGGACATTTTTTTATGTATCTTATTTGACTATTTATAGTTTTTCACTAAATCTGTTGTTCTGGATTATTAGAGAAAATTTTACAAAGTGGTCTAAAAATCATTCGCTCTTTTACCTTCTGGTCTTTTACCTCCAACTTTTCAAACTTCTAAGATAACTTTTTCCAGGATACTTTTCTCCCATTTAAAAAAAATACTCATAATCACTGCATATTCCACCTCCTAGTGGTTTTTCCAAGCCTCCAAAGTTACTATATTTTCTAATTACTTCTACAACTTTACTACTTCTCATCATAATCGTAATTGCTCCAAAAAAAACCACCATGATATAACAAACGCATTGGTTGACGTCATCTATTTTCTTGGTTTAGGCAATACTAACACTAGCGGTGGCGGTAACGGTGGAGGTGGCGGTGGAGGCGGTGGTGGCGGCGGTAGTAAACAAACTACCCTGACGATTAGCGACAACCGCACCTTCAAGCGAGTGACACAAACGTCTAGTACCACCCTATCGGGCGGTACCATGGTGTCCGTGAAGCAAGAAGGTAGCGTCGAAACGTTGGTACCTGCATATGTAGATAGTACGACTTTTGTGAATTCTCCGAGCGACCCGCAGAGCAGCTCTGCTAGGCAGGGCTTGGTAGCGGGAGTGCAACAGCGAAGCGGTGACGACTGTGAGTCAGTAACATTACCTAGTAAGTTTTATCCCGCTTGTCCCGATTAACTGTTACCCCACACACTACTAACGCATGATTAATTAAGAGTCCATCTGGGTGATTTCAAAGGTACGATTCGTTCATCTGTATGCCCGGTGAATCGTTGTTTTTCGCTTCTAGATCCCAGCCAGATATCGGAATTGCTGTCGAAGACCATCTCGGACGCGCACACCAGGACGTGCCTGTACACGCTGGAGCACATCCACGAGATGTTCCGGAAACCCCACGATCTCTCGCGGCTGCTGCTCTACAAGAACATGCCGCACGAGGAGCTGTGGCTGGAGTGCGCGCAGAAATTGACGACGGTCATTCAGCAGATCATCGAGTTCGCGAAAATGGTACCTGGATTCATGAAATTGTCGCAGGACGACCAGATCGTCCTACTTAAAGCAGGTTCGTATCGCGCCGAGACCAGTTTCTAATAACAGTAAAAATATAATGAGGCGAATTTATGTAGGTCGACGAGTTGATTGCCGCGATAAAGCTGCTCGATTTGTTACTTATTTTTTTTTTCAATTCCTACTATTACTTCACACTCTCCCTATATTTGTAATACCTTGTTCAAATTTTCAACAATTTATTAATAATTCATCCTTAGAATCCTTAAAATCCTTAAAATAAGACTTTAAGATTTCATTTTATAGATTTAATATATTTTTTTCTTGAAATAAGGGTTTTTTATCAATACTTTTGAAATTACAAAGTTGTTGCCATTTATTAAAGAGTTTAAGCTAATTATTTGAAGTATGTATTTAACGATAATTCTTGGAGACTGTATTATTTTAATACTTGTTTTTCTACTACAGAAACTTTTTTACTGCATTTTAAAAAGACCTTTATAATTTATAAAGTTTTAAAAAGTGTACCTAATAACCCTGAAGAATTTAAAACTAAGTAAAGAAAAACTATGAAATAACAAAATTTCAAAAATCATAAGATAATTGTGGCATCTACCATTTTTTATTCACCAAAGTAATTTCTCATTTTCTTACCATGAACTACTAACGTTAAAAATCTTTTCAAACTTCCATCATAAAGTTCAACTCAATCTGCTTAGCACTTTCCTGTATTTCATTTCCACACAGAAGAGTATTCATAGAACCCTACTATTCATAGAATCCTCATTCTTATACTGATTGGATTCTGATGATTAACTTGCAGGAAGCTTCGAGTTGGCAATCATTAGAATGTCTCGATACCTGGATCTCTCTCAGAACTGCGTTCTATACGGAGACACGATGCTCCCCCAGGACGCCTTCTTCACGTCCGACACGGCCGAAATGAAGTTAGTCACCTGCGTATTCGAAGTCTCCAAGAGCATAGCGGAGCTGAAGCTGACCGAATCCGAATTGGCCTTGTACTCCGCTTGCGTCCTACTATCTCCAGGTAATTTCGCTTCATCAACCACGATAAATTGATTAATTTATGGATGTGTTTCATCGTTTAATTGGTGATTTCCTGATTGTTTTTCCTAGATCGACCCGGACTGAAAGGTATAGGAGAGATAGGACGACTGAGCCAAGCCGTCGTCAGAGCTCTCCGGTTAGAACTAGAACGAAATCACAGCCTACCGATTAAAGGCGACGTCACGGTGTGTGATGCACTGCTGACTAAGATTCCAACACTGAGGTAAGATCTCTTAATCCATACAGCGTCCCAAACTTATTTGAGGCTCTAATTCTTATTCTTCGTTGTCCAAACAGTGTCCCAAAGTCAACTTTGAGCCTCCAAAACTTTTCGCAATGTTACGCGAATTAGTGGAATACAATAATGTCAAAATTGACATTGACATTAATGACATTTTTAATAGAGTTTAATAAAGTTGGAATCATTTGTTGGCATAGAGGTGCAGTAACGACTGATACAAAATAACCGTTATTTTTCAAATATCGTCCTTCTGATTACTCTACTCTCTTCTACTCTACTTTACTCTACCTTATCGTACAGTGCAAATTTGTTCATTGCATGGCTTTTAAAAATAACTATTCCAAAAAAATTAATTTCTTTTAAAGTTTGCAATAACCTCAAATAATCCCTTTTTCTACCTGAAATGCGCCGTATTTCCTTATAGGTTTAAAATACTCCTAAGTTCTCAGGGAATAAATCATTAATTAAAATCCCGATTAAACCGCCAATTTAAATACCCTTTCACCCTTTCACAAAAAGTATTTTCATGCACATATTCGATCTCTTTCAATATAATGATAATAATGAAAATTAGAATTCCCCACTCTACACTACTATGAATCTACTCTGAATCTACTCTGAATCTACTCTAAATCTACTCTGAATCCAGTTTGCAATGAACTCAAATAATCCCATATTCTACCTCAATATGTCTCGCTGTCGCGCCCAATTACCTATAGGATTAAAACACCGATTAAACAGAATTTACCACCAGCGCTTCGAATAATTCTAGTATACCAATAATTAGAGCATAAATGAGTAATTTTAACGGGTGGATTTTTTTGTCGCAGGGAAATCAGTATGCTGCACATGGACGCGTTAGGTAAACTGAAGAGGTCGGCGCCGCATCTCGAATTCCCGGCGCTCCACAAGGAGTTGTTCAGCGTCGACAGTTGAAGCTGCAACTCCGATCGAGCCTGTCTCAACGGCAGCCTAGGGTAGCTACTGTAAGTCGCATCCGACTCCCCGTCCCGTGCGATCTCCTCGTAACGATTTCTGTTTTTCTCGTTTCAGATTCCTTCTTAACTGAAAGATGTATATCGGCCTTAATACATAAATAATATTAAAGTATAATTTTCGTTATTAAAAGGTAAAAATTTATTGTTGCGACATAAAGTTTTAACAAATAAACGCAGATCTCTAAGGATTCGTTTAAAGAATTGCAAAGTTTATCGAAACCAGGCCCTGATTTAAAAGTACAACTTACATTTTTTTTTATTTTCGTTGGTACGTTTTCAGGGCATCTCAAGACTCGCAAAGGCAATTTCTTCATTTATTATTTATTACAAACGCTCCACCATCAACTCATCATTCAAATTCATCAAAACATTAGACTCATTTAAATACTCTACAAGAGCAAATCATCGGTGAGGAAATTAACGATTTACTTGTGATTAAAAATAACTTGCACAAGTACACAAAAGACTGATTTATCTTAACACGAGCATCAGTAATCGGGGTGGATTGGATTTAGGGCAGCAACGGAGGGAAAAGTCGGATCATTTCGGGGATATCTTGAGGTGTCGACTGAAAACGAAGAGAACGCAAAGTTCTGCAAGCTAGGTGCTCGATTATTTGACGAATATAAGTTTTGCGATTTTTTAAATTGACGCGCATTTACATTATAATATCTGCCACTTTTAACATAACACGCTATTCTACACATAAGAATTAAAGTTATACACTATTGATACCTATATAACGTTTTGGCCACCCTGTTATTAAATAGTAAGGACTTATTTTAGTTGAAATAAATAGTTTAGACTGCGTTTATATACGTAATTTAGGCGTCCCCTTCTTTGCCAAAAAAAACAAGTTTTTATTTGTAAATCTGCACAAATTATCATCAAAATTTAATAAAAAAATTTACAGATTTATCAGGAGTCATGATTAATAAGAGTCTCAAAAAACAATTATTAATAACTTTATTGGTACTTGGTACTTATGTAACAAAAGTAATTAATGTTTTTTTTGGCAAATTACGAGGGAATCCGTATTGTATACATATTGAATATTGTACCATTTAAAATTGAGCAATGTCGACGATTTAATTTGAGTTCAACTATACATTTTGTGCTGTACGAAAAAGATTTTAGCTGGCGCTATTAATACAATAATATTCGGAATCTATAAAAGTTAGTTTAAGATTAGGAGACGCTTCTAATTGGCTTAAACTCTATTATTTTGTACTTACGAAAGGCGAATTTTATATAGTACAATCTGTATATTCAAAAGCATATTTTTTGAATGGTTCAGATATTCACGAGACACTTTAGTTATAGATTTATTCTAGCTAAATTACAATAAAAATATAGAAAGACTGTATGCTTAATGGTAAGTTTTTACTATTTTTCAACGCGGTGCTTTTTAATTAAGTTTTACTTGGTGACACATGGTTTTATAAAAATACTATATATAAAGAGATGTATATGTATAAATTATATGAATAGAATATAGAATATTTATGAAATAGAAATTTAAACTCGGTTTTCACTACGTGCGTGTTTTATTTCGGAGGCGATGCCGCATTGCTCTTGAATAAAACGATAATAAAAAAAATACAGATCTGCTGATCATTACCTGAAAAAATATTTCATAACCAATGGAGATAAAATCCAGTTCACTACCCTGCTACCCTTCAAACGATCAATTGCCCAACATACAAACTGATTAACAAATATTCAGAAATTCGCTGTTTACTGTTTAAAACATCAAAGTGAATTTGAACATTTTTTCTTGTAACACTTCTCACTTTTTTATGTTAACATGTTTCTCGTTTTACTACCCACCCTATTTATATCCACCCTTTTAAGTAGCAATTAAACCACCCTAAAAATTGAAATTTTATTCGAGTTGGAGCGAATTCTTCATTTCGAGCAAAAATAATTTTTAATAAAGTATACGAATATGTTTTAAATTAGATATTTAAATATAAGTGTTTGTATTTCATGTAATTGATTCGACTTTTTACGGTAAACTTGATGAATAGGCATGTAGAAATTCCAAATTGTAACTGTTATACTTTATCGATTTAAGAACCTGATGTTTCAAAAACTGTTATGTCGATATTTGAAGATCGAATTTCTATTTCATCGTTGAGAAATAAACTTTACGTTAAATTAGGATTTTTATTTTCCATCAGATTTACTCTAAAAAGCCTTAACATTTTTTCAATTCGTTCAGTAACTACTTAAATGTGCAGCTGCATGTTTATGTAATATTTTTTCTAAAATGCCAGAGTACATAGTTCTACTTTAAGATTTATAGATTATAGATTTTCTTGGAGATATTATCGGTTGTCAAAAACCAATTTTGTGTACTTTTGTTCGCTTGAACCCAGTGTTAAGAACATATTTTATTTCAATTTGAAAATAACATCACAATTTGAGTTATTTGTTCTGGAATGAACATTTTTTGTATAGAAGTTTTATCTATAATTTAGGATTAAGTTCTTTTGACAATAGTTAATATCTTGACTTATTTTGTGGGCTATATGCTTAGTTAAATATATTTATCAGCCCAGCTTGGAAATTATATTAATTCGAAAAAATAATTCTCGACTGCAATATATTTATGATAGAACGTGCCAGGATCATCTGTTAGTGATTAAATTTTGTAATTAATGCATTATTATAATTTTTTTATTAAAATATAAGGCTTGATTCTTGTTAGTATGAGGCTGATAAATATTTGTAACCCATTATGACATGTAAGGCATCATATTTTCTATAATTTTATTAATGTCTACAAATGAATTGACTTTAAGAATTTTGTAAAAACTTGAATTTTGTAGAAATGTTGATTTCGACTTTTTAAGTGTTTTTAATAGGTATATTACGTCTATAAATACTTTTTTGATAGAATTTTTTATAATGTATAGAAGAATATAAAATAAGAATAAATATAATTTATGAATTTCTGTGCGTTACATGATTGTAAAATAGCCATTCTTGTAAAATTGAGGGTTGGCAAGGGGTAATGGTAATAGTTATTGTTAAATATTAATCGATAAAAATTGTTTCTTTATTACAAAAAAACTGTACATTTTTTATTTATTAGATCCTCACTACTGGTGAAAAGTTGAACTAGTTTCTAACACTTTTTTGTTTACATATTTTATTTCTGTTGGTCATTTTTAAAAATTATAAATTTTGTTAATATTTTTTAGCACTGCTCGCAAAACAAGTATTTTGTAGTTATAGAATCCTAACTGTATATTTTGTATTTACCGTAGGTTTTCTTTGTAATTAAAGTGCAATTTTTTAGATACAGTGAAAAAAATATTTACAAATGTATTCAGTTGTTTTCTGCACCAGTAGAAATTATATATATATATATATATTTTTTGTAATCAAGATTTTTTTTTATTTACTACCCTTTTTCTACATTCCCAAACATTTCTAAGAAACAAAAATGGCTCTCTAAGCACCTATTAAGATACACAGGTTTTAAAATCTACCTGTACCTCTAAAATAATGCAATAAATTACAATTAAGCCAGAAGGTCACATTGATTCCAATGAACAAAGACCAGACTATAAGAAGAGAAAAAATCCTGCAAAGAGTCACGAAGACAAGGTGTGCACCAATAAAAAATAAAGTTGAAAATAATTCCTCAGTCAGAGCAAGTTGTTTGCCAATTAATAACTGACATTAAATGCGTATTTACTTTACATTGCACCATTATAAAGGGAAAAAAGAAGATTCGAAATAAGAAGTACCTTTCATTCACATTAAAATTCAATTAAATATCTCTTTCGTTCTCTACAAATGGATATTCACTGTTATTATTGAATCTTTATTCATGTTTCTGTTGGTCATTTTATTACCATTTTTAGTGAAGAATATCCATGAAGTGTATCAATGAAGTATATTTAAATAATGACTCAAGTAGGAAACGTTTTTTTTTTAATATTGAATTACTAAATTGTTCGGGTCAGTTCATTTTTTAATTGTGCGAATATTTACACTTCAGAAATTATGTGAGAATAATTATTCCTATACGGATTTTTTTTCAGTAAGAATTACAAGGTGCTTTGCATTATTAATCTTACATGAATCTAATTTAGAGTATTCTGGTTAGGTTTCAGATTTTTTTGAATTCAAAATCATCCAACTCTAAATTATTATCATCCCACTAATTTACTGTAAACGCATCAAATACATTATTATCACACAAATTGATTTATGGAATCAATTTCCAATTACTACGTACTAATATTCTTCAACAATAATCGCAAACAACACTGAAAAGTTCAGTATATCCCCAAGACTAATTTCTATGTTTAAAACCCATCTTCTTTAGCATATAATTATAAAACGCGCCGACCGGCCTGGTATCCTACGAAAGACAACAAACTCGAAGGCTCTTAACCGGCTTTTGACTGTCTTCAAATCCTTCATTCTTGATTGTAAGCTCGTTAGTTCTGTTCGTTAATACGCAGTGTCCTGTGTTGCAAGAAATGGGCTTGAAATCGAACAATCGAAGGTAGTTCAATCGTTTGTTTTCCGATATAACAATCGAACGTTAGGAGAATTAATCGCTTAAAAAAAATGTTTATTCGTTTGAAAATGAGTTTGGCTATTTTGGGATTCGTCGGTGCTTTGAATTTCGATAACGAATTAAGGGTTATTTCGATGGGTAAGTACCGATTGTGTTTGAAGATGTTTGAAATTAAATAGCGTATAAAAATAATCACAGAAAAAAAATCTAGTAATCTTCTAACTGTAATCAAAAATGCGGTCCAAGTTCACTGAAAATGTTAACGAACTTCACGTATCATTTTTTTATTAATTGCGCCTGAGGCTAATGATTTTGTAGCATTAAAAATGGCTAATTTAGCTTCTACACTTTTCAACTGTGCGTCAATCAATATTTTTTATATTTAGTTTAATTAGAAATTTTTTAGGCACTTATCAAGCCAGAATGTAATAAATGAAGTACACATTTTATTGTTGAAGAACTCATTAAATTACTTTTAATAGATAAGTGGTGTATAAAAAATGAATTATTATATTTTTCAGATTGTTATGAAAGATTGGCAATAGGACAAAGAATAAATTCAAACGATACATACAAATCGTTTCCTTACAAAACTGTAACAGAATGCAAAAAAGCTTGTTCAGAAGAAAAGTCCAATTGTAAAGCATTTGCTTTCGGGTAAGTTTCTCTTTATACAGTGTCTCAAATTAATCTAAGTTAATTAAAACTAACAAAATAACGGAGTACTAATAGAGCATTTTTATTTAGAATATCATCGAAAGGGAACGCTACTTGCGAATTAAGCAAAAACGCCATTAAAGAAACTGTTGATTGGAAACCAATTGGAACAATTACTGACACAGACTTTGATCTGTATATAAAAAAGTTTGGATGCACTCTAGTTAACGAACCTTCCCATCACAAACATCCAGAGCAAAATTTTCATTCACCTACAAAACCCACTACTTTGGGTAAGACAGAAATTTTTTATGATAGAGAAACTTATATTTATCTGTAAATTTCTAACCGATTTTCAGGTAATGTCCCAGACGACATCAGCACTCACGATGCATCAAATGAACCGATTCCACCGTCTTCTGATAATAAAAACAACGAAGAAATCCATAACGTGCACACGATTGTGAGTGTAGCCTCAGGACCCCAGAGCGGTATTCGATCCAAAGCATGGAATTCTCGTCGCTGGGGCACACCAAAATGATTACAACTTTGGAACAAACACCCCGCCATATTTGTACAATCATCATGAATTCTACAACAATTTTCGCCCCGATAGCTATGCGAGCAACTACAATGGAATTGCGGAAGATACGAGGCCATATGGCCCTTTTGAGTACGCAGATGTTGATAGATATGATTATTCGCATGATAACAGAGTGTATAAGGATAGGTAGGAAAATGACCTTCCTCTTTAAATTTTAAATACAATGGTGTATTTCTAGTTACAGAGATAGATGGCAGTCTAATCATCATTTCTATCCGCTACCAGAAAAATACGGATCGGTTATTCCGCATCCAGATTACTACTACAAACGACAAGATGTGGGATATAAACATAATAACATTAGAGTACCGTTTCCACAGAATTCTGTGTACGAATACAATCTTCCCTCGAAACCTGTAAATGAAAATCCACATTTTTCCACTCATGTGCCCGATAAACATCCCCAGACTGACACGCTGTATGAAAAACCTCCGAAAAGAGTGGATCATGTTACTCAGAATGAAAATAAAGTCTCTTCGAAACCGATAATAAGGCATAGTATTGGATCCAAAGGAGTGCACATAACGTCGATAATAACTGAAATTACTGATAAAGGTAAGATAAAATGTTATTAAATATAATTTCTGTTCTACTCAATTTAATTGGGTGATCCATAAATTATTTATTATTAGCTGATTCGTAAGAAATTAGACTGATTTTCGAAGCTGGTATCATTTCAGAAGACACCCTGTATATTCAATAGAATCAATATGTTCCATCAAATTCCTATGGTCGATAGGTTGATTAAATTTTAGAACCATAGAATTATAAACATAATTTATGCATTTGTAAACCCCCCACTTTCAAAACCCCCTTTATAGTAGGGGGCAATTAAAATATAGTATATAGTTTTTAAGGAAAATATATTTAATGCAACAGTAAATAAACTGCCGGCGGAGTTATTGAAATTGTACCGTTTTGGCTAGCCAGCGCAATAATAGGAAAAACTATATCGCATTTTAATTAGTTATGCACGTTAACAACAATAAGTGACCATTGTTGTAATCTGAAAAACAGCCTTCGGGCTTTTGTTGCTTTCAAGATCCTCATCGCATGACGTAATAAAATGCATCATTCACTGTCATTGGGATGATTAAAAGCCGTGTAAAAGCGTTGGAGGAACGGTGTAACAATGAGAACGTTTCATAATCCGAAAAACAATGAGGACTCCCATAAATAAAGCTGCGCCAGTTATTGATCAAATTAGAACAACAGGGATTCTGTTAGTTTGGAGAAAGTTAGAAGAGAAATGGACATATATTGTCATTTTATCTTGGGGGAATATTGTAATGTGATATAATGTCATATTTTGACATTTGTCTCTAGTTCTTAGTTCTTCCGTAATTCTTCTGTAGTTCTTCTCTAGTTTGTTCGTTAGTTCCTCTCTAATTTTTCTCTAGACTAGTTCTTTTGCTCTTTAATAAATTTTAACATTATTTTTTGGGATCTTTCATCATCATCATACTTTATTTAAGGTAGTTACTTATTTTATTCTTCAAATTATAAATAAATGGCACCTCGTTATAATAACAAAAAAACCTAAATTACTGTTATTGTTACTAATAAACATTTAAATCAGTTTTAATAATGATATCGTTAAAACCATTGTCGGTAAAATAGAAGATGATATAATTTAAAAAAAAGAGGTATTAGGCCAAGGATCTTATTAAGAAGCAAGGTCTTTCGAGGAATTGGCAAAAAGGTGTTACTGCCCACACAGCATCAAATCTCTCAGTACCATCTCAATCAGATCACATATTGATCACAATATCTCAGAAATTTCTGAAATGTCTCCGAGACATTTAAAAAAATTGAAAGCTTGGTAACATATATATTGGTGAATAGTGATATGTCTGAGATGTATCTGAGATAGTTACAGCTTTATCAATTGCTTGATGGTAATATTTTCACATATTTTTTTTCTTAATTTTTTGGGATGATCTGCTAAGCTATTGTACTATTTAGCTATTGTACACGAGCCCACAGCCAACGTGGCACGTTCTGATTGGTTCTTGGTTCTTATAACACTTTACGGTGCTGTATATATCATTGCTTAAAGGGCATTCCATATACTTGCGAATTACGAATTGCGAATTGCGAATAGTTTTCTGATTGGTCAGTTTAGAAAAAGACATAAATGCAGATGCCTGCATTTTGTTTTTGTTTCCCTGCTTTCCGCGGTACCAAAATTATATCGATTAATCGATTATAAGAATTAAATCGGTAATATGTAGATTCGAAATAATTAATACTTGTATAATAACAGAGTATTCTCTAGAACAAATAATAAAAGCAAATATGACAAAAATCCTAATGTAAAGTTGATTTTAGGCATTCTTTTTATAATTTAAACGTACTAAAATCGAATTCTGTCACTTATCGAATCGAATGATTAACAATCGAAAATGTCACAATCGTTAAAATAAAGAATTAGAGCGAAAACGATCAACTAACCTCACTTTTTGGTTTGCAATGTGCAATGTCTTTCGGTTACACGGTTTTTTTTGAGTAAGCATCTTTTAAATTTAATACTTAATAGTTGGATTATTAATTTCCTTTATTTTATATTTATTATTTATTCCTTTCTTTATGAATTAAACATGCCTAAATCTAAATCAGTTAGTACAGTAAGTAAGAGGCATTTGCGGCGCCTTGTCCAAAGAAATTTAATTGAAGTTAATAAGAATAAGCCTGAAAAACAAATAACCAACACTTTTCAAGAAGTTAATAACTTTGAAACACAGAAACCTGTTCCTGTTAATAATTTTATTGAATCAAGTGATGATGAATGTAATTCTCAAGAAAGTATCGAAGTGACACATTTTTCTCCTCCTAAGCCCAGTTTATTAACACTAAGTGAATCTTCAGAACCTTCAGAAAATTGTGATCATAATATTGTGATGACCAACTCCAGTATTACTACAGATTTCAGGTTAGAAGCTGAAAATATAAGATCTAGTTTAGCTAACTGGGCAATCTCACATAATATTTCTCATGTTTCACTTAATAGTTTATTGAATATTTTACATAATCACAATTGTTTTTCTAACCTTCCACTGGATAGTAGAACACTACTTCATACAGCAAAAACGTGTGTGCTTAAAACTGTATGTCCAGGAGAATATGTTCATTTTGGCTTGAAAAGAATTTTACAAATAATGATAAATGAAAACATTGAAATAGTTGAATTATTGATAAATATCGACGGTTTGCCTATTGGTAAATCGTCTACCAATTCTTTATGGCCAATATTAGGAAATATTTCAGGGTTTTCAAATGTTTTTATAATAGGTGTTTATTTTGGTCCTCAAAAACCACAAGATGTCAATGAATTTTTATCAAATTTTGTCGAAGATTGTACAGATTTAATAAATAATGGTTTATGCATAAATAATAAAATAATTCCTTTTATTCTAAAAGGTATAGTATGTGATGCACCAGCAAAGTCTTTTGTATTAGGCGTTAAAGGGCATTCTGGCTATTCAAGCTGCACAAAATGTTTGATAAATGGTGATTTTTTAAATAACCGAGTTTGTTTTCCTGGCAGTACATGTGGTAAAAGAACAGATGAAAGCTTTAGAGCCCAAAGTGACGAAGAATACCATATTCGTGAAACAATTTTAAAACAAATTCCTAATTTTGACTTAGTAAAAGGAGTTCCACTGGATTATATGCACCTTTTATGTCTTGGTATAACTAAAAGACTTCTGCTCCTATGGACCGGGGGTGATTTATCTGTCAGATTACCCAGTTCTAAAATTAAATCTATATCACAAAGAATTACAAGCTTAAAGCATTATATACCCAAAGAATTTGTTAGAAGACCCCGTTCATTGGATTACTTAAAATTATTTAAAGCAACAGAGTTTCGAATGTTACTGCTTTATATAGGGCCAATTTGTTTTTCCGGCATTTTAAGAAGAAAAGTTTATGAAAATTTTCTTACACTACATGTTGCAATTAGAATGCTTTGTATTCAAAATGAATGTGAAACCATTGAATATGCTAATAAATTACTGCACATCTTTGTTTCGACATATGAAAAAATTTACAAAAAATACAATGTTTCCCATAATGTTCATAACCTGTTACATCTTGCTGAAGATGTAAAACAATTTGGAGTATTGGATAATTTCAGCGCTTTCAAATTTGAAAACTATATGTCATCGATAAAGAAATTACTGAGAAAATCTGAAAGACCACTTCAACAATTATTTTTTAGAACTACTGAAATAGAAGCCTTAGGTACACAAACATGGAAGCTTTTGCCAAAAAACAAAAATCTAAAATTTTTCATGGTTGATAAAACATTGCATACTCGTGGTCCCCTCATTGAAGGATGTTCAAATCCTCAATATCATTCAATACAAAATGATCAATTCATATTAAAAGCTTTTTCTGTTTCTGATAATTGTTTTTTGGGCAAAAATGGCAATATTGTAGTGTTAGAAAACATTGCCTATTCGTTTGAAGCACAGTCTATGTTACTAATAGGTAGAGAATTCGTAAAGAAAGAAAATTTATTTCACAAACCCTGTGATTCATCTAAACTTGATATTTATGTAGTTTCACACTTATCCGCGCTCAAAACTTGGCCGTTAACTGAAGTTAGGTGCAAATATATGAAATTGCCCTTTGAAGCTAATACATTTGTTGTTATTCCCTTACTCCATAGTGAGGTAAGTATTTTTTTAAATTATGGCAACAATAGAAAATAATAATTTTGTTCCATTTTAAACACTTAGAGTTCAAAATGAATAAGAAGTACTGCGTAGTTGAGTTTGATGATGGCCTGCAACTTATTCCAAGACTTTGGATCAACAGCGACAATGAAGCTTTCTGGCCGAATTTTAAAACTACAGCTAAATACAACGCTGCCGTTAAAAATTCAATAAAACCTGGCATAGATTGGCAAAAATGTCAAATTTTAAGAATTTTATATTCTACAGGTGAGAAAATGATTACTTTCCCTAAAGATGTTAGACTATATTTATTCTAAAATGTTATATATTTCCAGATAATTATGAGTATGGATTAAAAAAAGTGAAAGAAGCTGAAGATGAGAGTGACATTTGTACAACAGATCCAGAAGAAGAAAAGAAAAAAAGAAAGTACAAGGCGACAAAAAAATTATCCAGCTCCGAAGATGAAATGGATACAACAATTGTACAAAAAAGGCAAATAAAACATCGCGAAACAAGATATTCTTTATCAGACGATGAAGATGAAGATACTGCATATCCAACGTTTCCAACTGACAAAACAGGTGAGTGCTTTTCGTACTTTTTGAGTACTGTACTTTTCTTAACTACGTTTTAATAGAAAACTTAATTTCAAATGGATCAATTATTTTAGTTAATTGTACGCCTGCAAAAGATACACGAATGGAAGTTCCCTCCCAACTAACAATAAGTAAGTAAATTTGTAAATAAGAGTATTTACATAAATCAATTTTTGTGTAATTTTTAGCCTTCCAGGAGGACTGCATGAAATTATTACAAAACGTCCAGAGAAAAGTAGTGGCAGTGTCCCTGATGCAACAGGAAATATTGGATAGGTTGAATTCGCTCGAACTAGGAGTTGTTGAAAGGGAAAAAGATTTACCAAATGATGATCCGTGCAGAGAAATTTTTGAAAGTGTGTTCCCTGTAAACACCATTGAAGAAATGGAACGTATCAACAACATGTTAAAAACTAATGATAATTTACGAAAATATGTTGTAAGTATAAAAATTACTTATCTAAAGATTTTATAATGATTTATATATTCATTTTAGTTTCAACGAAGTCGTCTTCTGTTGGGGAAGGATACAAAAACTTCAATTGTAAATATTCTTCGAGCTTTCTTAACAAATTCTTGTGCGGCATGTTACAGTTGGGTTGGAGCAAAGAAGAAGAATATGTTTTGTGAATTAGAGCTGGTCAAAATTATAAAAGGTAGTTACTCAAGTGAAACAAAAGTTGTTTAAGAAAAAAATAATAGAATACAATTTTCGTTACATCGAGTTTTCATTCACAATTTCACTGTAAAATGTTTTTCTAATACTTGAATTTTATTTTTCAGATTCAATTCGCAGTCAAAAAGGTAAAGAACTAACTTCAGACTATGAAATATCGGAAGTTATAAAGAACTGGCTAAGACTGGCAACATTAAGGAAGGACCGGGAAAGAGAAAAACAAGAGCGAGCAAGAACAGAATGATGTAATTTAATAAGATTTGAAAAAATAAAGTACTTTCTTAGTATTCTGGTTATGTCTCAATAATATTTAAAATAATATCTCAGATGCACTAAGTATATAAGCTGCGAGATATCTTTGAGATATTTTTAAACGGTTCTGAGATATCTCAATAACACGTCTTTGAGATGTTTACAAGGCGGACATAAAGATATCTCAAAGATATCCCGATTATATCTCAAAAATATTTCTGAAGATCTCAGAGATATACTATGTCTCATTATTGACGTCCCTGATATATCCTAGAGTCGTAAATTTGCTGTGTGGGTGATGATCTAATTGCCAAAAAAACATTTCTCGCCAATCTTATACGGTTGAGTTTTCGTAAATAATCTAGTAATTTGCGAGAATTCAAACAACAATAATTTTGCACATCAAATTCGTTGCATTTATACATAACAATGACTGCATTATTCATCACTGCCAACCTGGAGCTTTAAAATAATGGTTGTATCATAAGGTAAACAAAGATTTATCTACTTAAGACAAATTATTGGGAAATACAAATTACTCTAATTTCAAGGAAACGGATCAACATAATTGCTCAATTAGTTTTGTGATCATCCTTGTCAACCTTGAATTTTTTTACTCCGGTCCACTGCGTGCTGGTAGTTTTCTTTTCTATTTTCGGTTTTAAGGATTCCACATGCATAAAATTTCATGAGCTTGACAACAACTAAATTTAAAGGGCCACAATTGTAGCACAAATAGCTCGTTGAAATGACCCGAATTTACTACAAATCGGTGCATTGAATATCGACTATTATGCAAATAATCCAGTAGATTCCCACAAGTTTATTGTTCAAATTTGAACCAGTGGTGGAACTGGAACCTGCTTTTGATAAAGAGCGCTTTATCTAAAGTCTCTAAAGTTTATACAAAAAATGTGTACCTACAAAATATTAAGTAGGTAAAATTTTTATAAAAATGTGGGTAATTTTATTTAGGGAAAGTTGTTTTATTTAGATGAAAATTTAATAATTTGGCAACGTTTTTCCGCCACTGGATCTAGAATTCGAACAATCAAAAGTTGAAAAAGATACGGAAGGTATGAATGGGAAATCCGCTCTATATTTTCTATTTGAGAATGAAGACCTCTCCTTTAAAACGCAATTACGTAAAATACTATAAATGTACTACTATAGTTGTTAACAGATTTACTCATATTATGTTGCAGCTTTTATGAAAACCACAATTTCACTTTAATTTATTATGGATCCATTTACAGGATGAATAATTTAACTTAAATGTTAGTGTCCTGTATGTGTGATAATTTTATCAATCTTCGGAGGCTCTTATTGAAATTATCAATAATATTTGAAATATTAATTAAAGGATAAAATTTAATTCTTCCTAATGTGTTATGATTTTTTAAGGGACTAATAAGTTTGTCTAGTCAATAAATAATCTGATTAAATTTGAATAAATGAATCTCTCTGTACCTACCGCACCTGGAAAAAAACCAAAGTAGAGGGAGACCAAATATATAATTCTGTCAAATAGCGAGCACATCCTTGGTTATAAATGCATAAAACGTAAGAATTGCCGCTGGTTTCCCACTGGCAAGCACATATCTCTTCGCGCATTTTTTCAAACGAACAATATTGCTAATACTCCCATTGTTTTAGCATTCAGTTGCGTCGAAACGGTCGATTCTTCGCGAGGTTTTTATTATTTTTTTTCTTCATTTAGTTCCTTTTACGTGTTCGTTTTTAACCGATATCGTGAAGTGTTATTGCCCAGTATTTTTTAATATGGGACCCAAAAGGAGTTTTATCACCTGACGGTCACGTCAAGACATTCTTCGAAAATGAAAGTGCTTCATATTTCTGTGATATTTTTTCTTGGATACTTCTCTCACACGCAAAGTACCATCATAATTGTCGAGGATGCGAAAGGTACGAACTTTGCACACAAGCAAATGCTACAAGAAATAAATAAATATGCACAGGAATAGTTAATTTATTTTTGTGCAGATTCAATTTTCCTAAAAGATATGTTTTAACCTTTTAACGTTTAATGTGTTGTTCAAGAAACTGTGTTATTTTGTAATAAAATGTTACTAGGAAATATGTCATACTTAGATTATCATATAACTTCATCCAAATGGAAGGAACTTTACATAGAAAAAAAGTGATTATAAAATATTTAACACAATTTAAACAATTATTTCAAATCGTGACGTCATTACCATATTAACCTGAACAACTCTGTTGAAAGCAAAAGCCATTTAATCTTCAGTTTATCTACTCACTTGCGATTTTATCGCACCTAATAAAATTAGGGTTCTTGGAGAAGACTTGATAAGATCGACTTTTTTCTTTTCAGCTTGTTTCAGGCGCGTTCTCGCAGGAAAACGGATTTCGCGTGGATTAGTCAGAAGAGCACTAACTTGCGAGACTGTAGAAGAATGCCAAGCTGAATGCGCAGAAGAGAAATTATTTATTTGCGAAGGATTCAATTACAGGTAAGTGTTTATGCAAAGAAATGCATAAAAATTAAAAATAATCTGTCTCAATAATAAATGTAACCCTAAAGGAATTAGTAGTATACAAATTGTTACAAAAATATTATGTTATAGGTATTAATGCGAAATTTTCTTACATGGAAACATATAATTTTTATCCTTGACTTTAGTAAAGATTCGTTTAGAAATCTCGTCGGCGGTTATAATGAACATTTTAAGCACAGCGTAAAATAATCAAAAATTGGTGAGAAAATCTCACCATGTGTGATCATTCTGAATGCAAACTAGGCGTCTCCTTGAAGGTAATAATTACGTTACTATTGTTGAGAGCAGCCTATCAATCCGAAGTATCTCTCTCATTAAGAAAATTTCGACAAATAATGATTATTAGGTTAAAGAGAATACGTAATTATTAATTTTCGTTGATTGTATAAGGTTATTAAAAACACCTGTAACCATCCACTTCACCTTGTTCAACTTTAATTACACAAACAATTCATTGTTACACAGTAATTTTCGCGGATAATTCGTAACATGATCAATTTTCAGATTGGATCCTTCGGGACGAGGAAAAGGAGATTGCGAACTGTTGAACGTGCCTCTATCGAGAATCGACGTCTATCGGGACAGTTATCCCGATCCCGATTACGATTATTACGAAAGGGACCGAAATGCAGCAGCTCTAAATTGCAAACAGCGCCCAGGTTACACTAATTATGATCGTTTTAACGGCGGGTATAACGATTACGACGATTACAGACACGGAATCAGGGATAACAAACCGCATCCTGCGAGGGATCCTTGGGTTAACAGAAGGTACGACTATAATGGTAAGTTTGATCGTAAAAGCCTCTTGTCGAAGAACTATTAAGATTGTGAATTTTGTGCTGGTTTTAGGTCCTGAAAGACCGTTTGTTTCGGATCGGTATATACCATCAGATCCGTGGAGAAATGACTACTACAGGCCCCCAAGGCCTCAAGTAGACCGGAGATACGATATCCATTCATACGATTACAATAACCGGCCGCCCGGTAAAAGAAGAGGAGGTAAATATCTTTCTGATAACATAATTTGGGATGTACTGTGCGTGAAATTACCCACGTAAACGGACTTAATGAGATACTACTTCTAACTATATGCTACTATTAACATTTTAATGCAACGAATTGTAACACTAATTTCGGAATTAAACAAACAATTTGAGGTATTTTCTTTTTGTTTCAGATTACTCATACCTCCCTCAAATCCATCATTTTTATAACGAACGCGACAGATTTGAAAATCGAAGACATTCAGCCGGTCCCGTCCCCTCATTGCTTCCTCCTTATGATCAAAACCCGTTCGATTCACATCGCTCTGTCGATTACCATAGACACCCGAAAAATCAGTACCATTGGGGAACCGATAATCAACGGTACGGCGAAAATTACGGTTTGAATTCGAACTCGTATTTGCCGCCCCGAAAAGACGCTCCCAACGATTGGGGTCTTTACCATAAATACAAAAACAATTTTAGCTACTGGGGTGTTAATAGTTACGGGGCGGGCGGTTACTTACCCCCCGATCCTGCTCTAAAGCCTCCTGAAATCGACGATCCCTCGGCAGGTCCTAAAATTTTTGAAAGCGGGGTTGTTTTAGCTGTGCCTGATAGTGCTGTTTTACCCGTTGAACACAGAAGGCCTGATTACATTCATTTGCAAGACGGTAAAAAATATTTCTGATCTTATTTAACGATTTTAAATTAGAGATACATGGATATTAACTCTGTAGTATTTTGCAGAATGTTCTTTAAGGAGCGTCGCGGGATTTAAATTGCATAAGAGGATAGTAAAAAAATACTTCGCTGTTCCAAACATTTACGAATGCGAGATGTTGTGTTTCAAAGAAACAGATTTCCCGTGCGCTTCGTACGCCTTTCGGTGAGTAAAATCTACAAGAAATCTGTTTTATTTTAACCATTTTATTTCTAGATACACCACAACTATACCCGAACCTACGGATAACTGCTATCTAAGCAACGTAGATTACAAGGAGCTCGATCACTACACAGATTTGGAGCCAGATAGGGATTTCGATGTATACACCATGAACAACAGAAATAGATGTGTACCATCAATTGTTGAGAGAAAAGAAAGCAGTGGTGAGTGAATACTTAATTACTTAATAATATAAATAAAACTCCCAAATATATACAGAGATAAGGCTACTTAAAATTGGGAAACAAGATAATGTCTCTGCGTAGCTACATTGACAAATAAGTCCTTGAGTTAGAGAGAACTCGGAGAAACCAATACAATAACTAGGAATGAAGGATTCTCACCTTGATTCTATATTTTTTAACTACCAATTTTAGATTGTTTTTGGCGCGTCAGGAGCGGTGAGCGATTGCACGATAAAATAGTGAGAGACTCATTGCAAGCCAATTCAATAGTCGACTGCCAAGTAGAATGCTTGAAATCAAAGAAATTCACTTGCAGAGCGTACAGTTACCGGTAAAATATATTGAAATAATGATTGAATACCAAAGTGTCTTAAAAAAGGCAAAAGATTAATTTTAGTAAAATTAATATTCCAGATATGGGCCTCACATAGCGGGAGGATTGATAGATAATTGCCAACTAACCGATTGGCCTTACTACGAATTGGACCCCAGGATTCATTTTGTACTGGAACCAGGTTTCGAAATTTACGAAAGGGGAAGTTTCGGGCACGGTTGCGAATCCAGCCATTTCGGAATTAGGGGCCATCACGAGCACAAAGCAGTCCTCGATCCTGACCAACGTGAGCAATTAAAGATTGTAATTATTATTATTATTATAAATATATTTCCTTCATTTATAGTTTGTTACATCGGCTTTGGATCTCCAGCTCGACTCTTGCCTCAAGCCATCAAAAAGTCAGTTCGAGTAGCCTCAGAAATTCATTGTAAAGAAGAATGCTCGAAAGCTAGACAGGAAACTCTCTTCCAGTGCATGTCATTTAGCTTCAGGTGAATTTCATTTCAAAACTTTATCAATTAAATATCACCTAAATTCTCCATTCAGGAGCAGGAATCCAGGAGTGGCGCCGAATTGCGACCTTTCCGATATTTACCAAAGAGATCTACTCCCCAAACTAGATTACGTCTACGACCCGCATTCGTTATTATTTGCTTGGGATAATTACAATCCCGACTGCGTTTTACTAGGAGATGATCCTTTACGAACTAATCAAATAACCAGTGGACTATATGATAGAGATTGTAAGTATAAATGTTGTCCAAAATTAATCTGTTAAGCAACAATACGAACGTATTTTTAGATTTACCTCATGGATTGGACACGTGGAGAGTCTACAGTGTCAGCGGTTGGCCCTGTAAAAGAGGAGCTCGATGCCAGGAAAATCGCGAGGCTGGGTTCTGGTTCTGCGAACTTGAGGGCGGAATACACGGCTCTTGGGACTACTGCTGCAGACCGGACCACCAATGTGGAGCATCCAGCGGCTATCCCTATCTTTGGTAACTTAAAATTCACCATAAAGCGTAAATTTTCTGCTATAAAATCGATGTTTTTTTTTACTTAGGTGTTATGTTGGGCCGGAGAGAACACAATGGAGAAAATGCAACGATCGCTATTATCCGTATCTGACGGATAGAAAACACTTTGAAGCCAATCCCGAGCGCAAGAAATGGGAAAGACCCTTATTCAGGCCGGACAGGGCTCCGGGTTATCCCCCACATCCAGCACCCTCTCCGAGTCTAGACGAGTACGAGAAGCTGTTCAATGAACAATTTTTGCAACCACCTGCGCCATCAGGCAAGTGAAATTATTTGTAATTAAGAAACCGATATTAATATTAAACGAAGAATTTTCAGGTGGAGTTGGGGAACCCAGACATTGGCCAGTATCGTACCTGCATAAGGAAATGCCACCGAATGCAACAACATCCAAATCGGCGCGCCTCGAAAGCGACAACAATAAATACAGAGCTATACAAAATTTAATAGACACCATAAAAAATAACGATCTTAACAACATACAGTATCATATTACGAACGAATCGGACAAGAAGGACGACGTTCTTCTCGTGAAAATACCGCTGCCTACCAATCTCACGAGAACCAAACAGACATCAAACTCTTCGTTGAGTTTGGAACCAGTTGCCATAGAAAATGACGAAAGCTTCGACGCAAAACGACTGCAAAAATCACTGCCTGAATGGTACACCAAGAAGCCCACCACGGCAGCGCCGGAGACTGCGCCCAGTATCAAAACTGACCGGGCTCCAGTTTACAGGAGAGCCTTCATAACAAGGACAAATGTTACCACGCATGGGAGACGTTCCCGATGAAATAATTACAACACGATACCTGTGTTTAAGAAAACGTTAGACATTCTGCCATCGTTATAATATACCGGTTTAACATCACTTATAATCAGTTTTGCAGAGTTTTTTTTAGTCCTAGCTATAGTGCTAGAGTGTTTACTTCCGAGTTCATTTACAGGATATAAGGCACCAATCCACGAGATCTCATATAAAATTACAAGTGTTTGTGTACTTAGGTAAATTCACCAATTTTTAAATAAATATTTCTTTATTCTATTTCTTTATTATTCGTGTCTTAACAAAATAGAGATGATTTATTAGGAATACCTGCGATCTAAACGAATCTAATAAGTTCTAATATGAGCACTTAGTGATATTTAATTGGTTTTCAAAATGTATGGAATTGAGTCAGGTGCGAGTCAGTAAAAATTCTTGATTTGCCGAATCCTATCATTTCATTTTATTTCGTCTATCATCGCGATGATCGCAGAGCACGAGCGGGAAGCATCCCCTCTCTGGGGGATTTCTCTAGCGCACACTCCGGCTTCGCCAATCGCCTATCTCTGAAGGATTTGATTAGGTGTTAGGTTAGGAATTCAAATCGAACTCAATCTTGTTCAGACATGAGTTTTCGGCCGTTGCGGCTGACGGTACTATTGCCGAAATAAATCTACCGTAAGTGTTCAGTAATACTAAAAATTTAAATATGAAGTGGTTGCAAAGTACCTTGTACCCTTTATCAATTTTCCACAAATATCGGAGGAGCAATAGGAAAAGGCGCAAAGAGTTGGCAGCGATTTTAAAATATTTACCGCCTTGCACCACTTTGAATAAAATAGTGTCGAGGATCGAGGAAAACATCAAAGTATTTCTACGGAAGTCTTGGTACGATGTCAACACTAAGAAACTCGATATGGTAACGAAGTGGATTGACGAGGTAAATTTTATTATAATTGCTATTAATTTTAGTACACTATTTACTACTAGTTTTTACTTGGGAATCCCCTCCACAATAAATCCTTAATCTTAATATGACTGAACTCGTTTCATTCGAGACTGAATGAGAAAGGATGTGTTTTCCATTAAATCTCCTTTTAGAACTATAACTTATTATACGAGTTTTTGTACAATGGGCAAGAGCAAAATCATTTTTTTTTAATTCCCTCTTGAAGTCGTTGCTTCCGCCCCTTATTTGTGCAGTAATGGAAAAGGCGATGCAACAGTGACTCTTTTTGTAGATAATCCCTTTCGAATTTTTCGGCACGAAATTAAACAGAAGGCGCTTCCATTTCGTCGTAAACAGAATTTTAAAGCAGGCCAAAGGCGAGTACTTCTTCCTGGAGGCTTTTCGAACATACGATCTCGACTCTGTCGTTTGGCTGCGCCACTTTGACGACATGAAGACCAAATACAAAGCCCTTCTGCACGTGATTGTGTGGGTTTTGGATCACATCGTGAAGCCGTTAATCCGGCATTTTTTCAAATGCGTGAAAGCGCCCCGATCTAACGCGGTCACGTTTTATCCCAAAAACGAGTGGAATCAGTTTCAGGTAAGTTTTTCATCAAAGTTTCTAATGGATCACGATGAATCTCTTATCTCTAATTAAGCACAGTTTACCAGAGGTAGAATCTAAAAAGTGTACAAAACATGTGTAGCAATTTTTGCAATTTTATTGGAATTTCTCTTCCAGGACTTAGTTTTTAACCAGTTGCTTAAAGAAGGCCATTTGATCGAAGCGGATGCCGCCACCAAGCCGCGGGGAATGTTAATATTGTATCCAAAAAACGACTTATCCAGTCTGAACTACCGCCCTATCCTGTCCTTGCGCAAATCCTGCCCCTCCGAAAAGTTGTTTTACAGAAACTACTCCGCCAGAATTCGCCAGCTGGCCAAGAAGCTGAGCGACAGACCCAGTCTCGGCGACTACTGGCTCGAAAGAACGAAGCGCAAGCAACTATTCGGCGTCAAGCTCGACATCAAAGACGCCTTCGGCAACGTCGACGTCGACAAGCTCGTGGAGATAATCCGAAACAGCGACCTGAGCCCCTCCGATCGCGGTTTCCTGGTGAACCGCGTTCGCCTTCAATTCGTCGAGTACAGGAGGCGCGTCTACCGGTGGAACCACGGCCTGTTGCAGGGCGACCGCCTGTCGTCGGCCCTTTGCCATCTGTACATCAGCCACGTGGAGGCCGTCCACTCGAGGAACTTCGATTTCGTGCGCACCGTCGACGATTACTTCTACTGCTCCGACCTGCGGTCGGACGCGGAGCGCTTCGAGAAGGAGCTGAAGCGGCTGTTGCCGATGAACGAGTCCAAAACGCAGCGCGCCGAGTCGCTGGCTCTGGACAGAAGCTGCTTGGTGTTCTTCGGGCACGCGCTGGACATGCGCACCTTGCAAATCGGGAAATTTTACGACACCGAAGGATTGCGGTACCACTTCAAGTATTGGAGTAAGTCGAAGATCGCCAAGTTCAAGCGGAGGTCGCTGAAAGAGCGCAAATGTTTGATAGTGAAGTCCAGTATGATGTTCAAAAACAGCGTTAATTACTTTTTGCCGCTTTATGTTAGTACCGAGATTAATAGCGAGATGACTGTGTTGGGTAATTACTTTAGGGGTATGAGTTTGATGGCTTTTAAGTTCCATTTCGCGGTGCAAGCGGTGTCGGGGTTCTTCGAGGATGTGGGGATTTGTGGTGGTACTTTGCACCGGATAGTGGTGAATACCGTTAAGAGTTTCAGTCGTAAGGTGTTGTTGCGTGTAAATAAGTACAAAGGGAGGCGGTTTAGAGGGCGGATAGATTACGAGGTGTTGTTAAATGTCGGGCTCAGGGCGTTTTTCAACGTTTTGAAATTGTTTCCGCAATTTTACAAGGCGGTTGTTGATCTGTTGCGTAAGGTGGTGAATTATGTAGATTTTAGAGAATTCTCGGAGCATGCGGACTCCTTGAAAACCGAGTTTTGTCGCTTGCCTTTGGAATTTCATGGTGTACTTAAAAATATGTAAACTAGGGAAAGATGTGGTCCGGGCAAGATTAAGTAGGGATGCACTGTATGTATCATAAAAGTAGGCAAATGTAGAAGTAAAAAGATTAGTTTGTTTTTGTTTAAAACTTTCAATTTATATTTCTGTTTTAATAAAGACTATTTACTAATATTTGTTATAACTATTTGTTTTAACTCGCTATAGACTTTTGAACAAACTGGTTATTCAAAAATATAAAAATATCAAAATATACAAGGTGTTTCATTTAAAATAACTTTTTTTGAGAAAATTTTGTGAGTAAAAGTAGGGAGAAAATTTTGTTAGTAAAAGTAGGGAGATTTTGCGAATAAAAGTAGAGAGAAAATATTGTTAGTAAAAGTAGGGAGAAAATTTTGTGGATAAAAGTAGAGAGAAAATTTTGTGAGTAAAAGTAGGGAGAACATTTTATGAATAAAAGTAGAGTAGAGGGAAACTCTTGTGCATATAAGTAGAGAAAATTGTATGCATCAGAGCAGAAAGAAAATTTGTTTGATCAAAAGTAAGGACATAATATACTTTAGCGAGCTAAAATCCGACCCAGGACTCGAGAAGAAAAGGCTCATACAGGCATTGGGAAGAGTTTAAACCCGATCTGTGCTCGTCAGATTTTGTACCTAGGTGGATTCCTATTACCGAAACAATATTTTCTGAGTACTGAACTCCAACCTTAAGGTATGTAAAGGTAGATGCAAAATTGTTTGCAATATTGGCTAGAGGTTCAAATGAAATTATAGTCTCATAATAAGGGAAAAGAAAACGTGATATTTTGGGAATTAAACTTTCTTTCCCTAACAACTTATATTTATTATTGTCTTTTTTTGTTCGCCTCATAATAGGAATTGACCGTATTACAACCGTACATATTTGCACTTACCCATATTCAAAGTATATTCCTTAATTCGAAAATTCAAAAATAAAACAGTATTTCATACATACTATATAATATATTATAATTTTTAACAGCCACTCGTTGTGCCTCGTAATATAAACAGATAATGTGCACTGCATTTTTAACGCAACAATGGCTATAATACAATAATTTCTTAATAACTAAAAATATCACTTTTGACTAAATCAACCGCTGGATACTTCAATTTCCAAAAATATTCGCCAACAAAATATAAAGGTGTAGAAAAATAAAATTCAAGTAAATTTGAAATTTGAAGTACCAGTAATAGTTACAACATAATATAATGAGTAAATAGTTTCAACAATATGCATGCTGCCAAATGAACCAACGAATTAGGAAAATTATAATATTTTCAAATCATATTACCTTAGATTTTTTTACTAATTTACGTAACTTGTTCACTAATTAAAAAAAATTGCGTCACTTATTTCAAGAGTTTCAAGGTAAAACAAAGGTCTTTTAAAATAATGGAAGATTCAAAACTGGAAGAATCCTCAAAAATATATATAGAAAAACTATCGGAAAATTAAAACTCATGATGGTTAACAAATAAGCTTTCTAAGTAAAGCATTACGGGGCAATTTATAGGCACTAATTCAGTTTACAAACAAAAAAATCTACTATTATCTAATAGTAAACACTTTAAACTTTCACGGAATTGCCCTCAAAATGTAATAATAGAATTTAATACAATACTACAAAAATTACATTTATACATGTGTCTTCTACAAAATTAGAGTACAATAATATCGTACATTTTTTATTATTATTATTTTTTAATAAGAGCCTAACACTTAAGGCACATTGATTGATAATATGTACTTAAGGCACTAATAAATCTACCTTTTCAAAAACAGAGACTATAAAAAACCCATCTAAACAAGAGAAAATATTGATATCTCTCGATTTATCTCTTACAAGCATAATAATGGTAAAAATAAAGAAAAATCCATTCTCAAGAAAAGCCGATAAAATCCCATATGAAATATTTCCAATTTTTCAAAAAATACGCTACATTAACATTTTTATATTTATCCAAAACCAACCACCCCACCTCAAACACTTAAATATACTGTATAATACCGCATATGTATTACTGATTTTTTGGTACACTGTATATCAAACTAAAAATTTTAAAAACAAATCGCAACTCACATTACAGTGCGTTTCAATAACAAAATGTATCCGCTATTCTCATGCGAAATTATCTGCAGGCTAAACATAGCCTCCTCTTTAATGTGCTTCAAGACGTCCTCGTTGAGCTTGATGTGAATGGACTGCGGCCCTTCCAAGTAAACATTCCTCACCTGATTCTCGCCCAGCCCGACCATCTTCGACAGTTTCTGCAGCAACTCCAAACTGCTGTAAGAGGACAGGAACACGGCGTTGAACACCGTCGAATTCTCTTGACAAACGTACAGCTTTAATTTCGGCGTTATCGTCCTGCAAACCAATTAGTATATTCAGCATTGATAGTAGTGATTAGTAGGATTGATTAATCAGGAGAACGGTTTTTTTTTAAATAACGCTTATTTTGTAACAGTCGTTATTGCATCTCTATACCAATAAATTGAGTCCCACCTCTATTAAGCATCTGTCATACGAATGTCATTAATGTCAATTTTTATAGTTTTTGTTGACGTTTCGTCGAACACATCTTAAAGTCCCACTTATTCGCGTACAATTGTGAAAACAATTTAGATATATCTTCGAGTAGAGTAGAATGTGAGTAGAATAGAATAATCATGAGAACGATTTGTTGAAAAATAACGTTTATTTGGTAAGTCGTTTGTAAGTGCATCTCTATACCAAAAAATAATTCCTACCTCTATTAAACTCCTGTCATTAATGTCAATTTGCATTGTTTTTGTTGACGTATCATCGAACGCATCTTAAAGTCCCATTTATCCGCGTACAAGTGAAAAAAATGAGATATCTTCGAGTAGAGTATGGTGTGAGTAGAGTAGTCAAGAGAACGACTTTTCGAAATATAACGCTTATTTTATAACAGTCGCTACTGCATCTCTACACAAAAAATTGATTCCCACCTTTATTAAACTTTTGTCATTAAAGTCAATTTTGACAGTTTTTGTTTACGCATCATCGAACGCATCTTAATGTCCCACTAATTTGCGTAGAATGTGAAAAAACAGACATATATCTTACTTTAATATACAATTAAAAATACTTACTTCAGATGAATAGCGTTATGCAGCCGGATTCCATCGGCATTTCCGCATATCTGCCTGAGATCGTCCCGGGACATTCTTAGCATGTCGTCGCCGGAGAATTTCTCGAAAGTGTCCACGTAATTTTCGAATCGGTTCTGGACGAGCCAATCCTTGGTTTCTTGGGGCGTGGAAATTTGCGATAGTTGGATGACATTCTGGAAATAAATAGCGTTAAACGTGGAAAGGGGGAAGTATGGTTTAGTGAAACTTACGCTTATCGATGTTGGTTTTTCGAGCGATGGAGTAATTGATGATTCTTGGACGACGCCGATGTCCTTTGGGACTTCTGTTACTACGGGGTCGTTCCTTTGAGGGACGGGTCTCTGGGTTGGAGAATTACTAAAATGAAAAAAAAAAATGTTGTTTTTAACAGTTTTCATCAATAAACAAGTTATTGGTTCGGGTTTGTTAAGCATGAAGTTACGTGATACACGATCATACATTGTATTATTATCATTATTATTGGTAATTTATTGGTGGAAAAAAAAAACAATTATCAGGAATGATACTTGATTAAATCCATACAAATGGTGTAATTATCTTAGGTATCGAATTAATTTTCACCTCTTTTATTAAATTTTATTATTTACTTTATTGAAAACATCTAAATCATTATCAGTGATATTATTTAAATATTTATCTAAGAGATGAAGTAAATTTCCACTAAATTTCGAAAAAAATATTACTCATTTAACCAGCTCTCATAAAACTTAATTTCAGCATATGAAAATAATATTGTCATGAAAATATAATTAACAATTCCATTTTTTATTACGCAGATAAACATTCACGCCAGATTTCTGTTTATTAGTAGCTTATTGTTCGATAAAATTACATCATTTTGGATTCACAATGAGTTTTCAGCGAAACTTTTCGCGAATTTTTTGATGTTATCCAATTCTGTAGATCCTGAAGTGGCGTACACACATCTTTCATTCCTTAATTAAGGAAGAAATTTGTACTTTAATTTTTATAGATTATTTCCTAGAAAAAAAATCCTTCAAATACCACAGTGGGTGCAATGAATGAGGAAAAGGTAATTATTTGACTAATTTTTAAACGCACATTTCTTGATAAGAGATGGTTTTGCCAGAAATTTATTGCCACTATTTACAGGTTATTGCCATTATTTATTACTTGTATAAAAATGTATTATACCCTAATTTATTAAAATATACAAAAATTAAATCTAACGCAACAAATTCCTGGTGTTGTAACTCTAAACAAACGCTCGACGCTTCGATGTAATTACTCGACAATAAAGCTGTTAGAATAAACGAAGCTAAATTAGAAAATATTTAAATAATCGAGTATCCTGTTTACTTGCAACAGAACACTATCTAAAATTAGCTGCACATTCAACGCGTTCAATTGAAGCCAAATAATACGAGCCAAATATAGAACATAAGGTAGTCGAGTCTCAAAATAAATACCTTTTATTATTTGTATGCATACAGGTAACTGCAAAGTCCCTTTGGGTGCAACGAAGACAAATTCTATTAGTCTCATATAAAGGAAAGGGATGGGTTTTGTGGAATTGCAACTTTCTCAGTTTAATCACTGTTATTTTAATAATCTTTCTTTGTTCAACTCATAGAATTGACCACATTGCAACACATCTGCACTTACCCATATATTGGATTTTTTGCCAAATAAAAATGTCTGGGATGAATATATACACAATAAATGCGTTGTAGAGAAGCTTAACTCTTTCCACATGAATTAAAGCCAAGAAAAATCAAGAAGAAAGTCAAAGTAAAATATACAAAAGAAATAAAAATAAAAATATGAAAAGCTCGAGCGATTGCAAAACATAATTTCTACATATCCCCTACTAATGTTTTGACGAATAACAATATAATTAGGTAATTTGATTACATGTTATGCGTTATGCGTAGGTAATTTAATGAACAAAATTAAAAACATACTTCCATAAAAAAAATAAACAAACATTAAAGCAATTACAAGCGAACATTAAACAATTGGTCAAGGATAATTGTAGATAATTAAAATAAATTTTTGTTTAAATTAATCACAATTTAGATAAGATTTTGAGACAAGGATTGTGCGGTGGTATTTTGTTAAGACTTTTTAAGACACCCAATGGAATTCTTGACCATGCAAGAAACTTTGAAGCTTTTGAAATTTAGTTGTTTTTCTCTCTTTGAATTACCTTTCATGATAAGGTCAATCGAGAAGCAAGTAGAACTGCAGTTAGAGAAGTTATAATTAATCTGATGAATGAAATTTTCTTACAAACATACAATTCTGAATGTATGTAAATAAAGTGAATACATACACGTGTACGGCTCTCAAATGATGCCTTACGTTGAATGATTTTCTCTTCATCAAGCACCTTAAATTGGGCGAATACAATCGTTGTAAAACGCTCTTATTTCTGGAATTCTTCAAACCGGGATGAAGCCTTAAACTCATCCTTTTCCCAACAAATCTAGCGCGTCCGAGATCTTCAGAAAACGCGTGAAAAAATTGCGCCTGCACTATAACGTCACTCTGGACAACAGTCATGGTATGTATCAATAAGAAATAGTTATTGTTTTCCATGTCGTTTTCAGATCAATGCCAGCGACGTTCTTCCGTGACAAAAATACAAATCTCTTTTGTTGCAAGCCCCTAAGAGGCTGAACTTGCCGTCATCTAAGCAGAATGTCCTGTACCACCATAAGTTCATGTAAATGATAATTTTGAATGCGAATTTGTGAAGTGGCATCAAATAATAAAATTTCCGATACCATTCCCGGACCATTCGACTTTCCCGACCGTCACTAACGAATTAATTTCAAAACGACCGTCCGATTTCGCACTGGGACTTCGACGCACTGCTTCGATTTCGATTGCGATCCGTTTTAACGCAAAATCATACTAAAAAACCGATTTAATTTCATTAAAACTCCTTCGATTGGAACTCTATTATTGCCACTAAACAAACTACGAATCAAAATGTATTCGGATATGTCATGAACAAACCGGTTCGATCTGGTTTCTCCGGGTTATAGCAGTTTCAGGCGGTTGAACGCGAGCGAATAAATTTACTCGCCCGGTGTTTTCGAAGCGCTCTTTCGCCTTCGCTCACTAATAAAATAAAACGGGGACGGATCGCTTATCGCGCGCGGACCGCATTGTTGCCGGTACGAACCGAAAATAACAAATAATTCCGTGTTTAAAACTGCAGTTTAGAGAACTCGGTGGCTCGGTTCAATCTTCCAATTGAATGGTACCTCGTTTTTGAAGATGCTATTTTTAGATAGAACTGGTAACTAGGTCGCTAATAACTTTCATTACTAATTTTAATGTACACAAATGTATTAAATTAAAATGAACCAATAATCTCAATAAAAGCAGATGTAAATCGTTGCTCTATATCTACAAAAAATTGGGCATTATGCAGTCTACCGTAATATTTGCGGTCTACCTAAATATACTGCTCCACAAAAGTTAAGGAAGTTCACAAATATTGAGATTAATTTAAAAGTTGCAAGTTATTTGTTCGCCAAATTTAGTATGAATTGTAGAGGTAGGGGGAATAAAATCCACTTACATATGAGAGAAAACATTTAATTTCGCATATTTGAAAATCTGGTGATCAAAAAGTCTGTAACTTTTAAAATAATCGCAAAATTTGCGAAATTCCTTAACTTTTGTGGAGCAGTTTATTTCGTCGCCCAAGAATATACATTTAAATACTTTGACAGGTGTCATATTTTGCAAAACTGAAACTGGTTGTGAACATGTTTCACAAAACTGCAAAGGTTTATCTATTTTTTTATCTCCTACAGATTCCGAGATTCCTGTACTAAACATCGAAAAAAAAAACTCACCCTGTATCATTCTGATACTTCCGTAATTCTCGATAAGTTGAATTACCCACATGTTTTTTTATAAATAATACAATTCAAGTATTTTTTTTTGGGGTCAATTTTCAAAATCTTGCTGTTACACTTTGTTATAGTACTTTGAATTTAGTACCGTTACATTGTCTATAAGCTCTGCGTAATTTAATTATAGCACAATTTCCAGATCTTTAGAAACACCCCTCGTACATATAATTTTGTTGTAATTGATAATATACGATATTAATTACTCACCATTCGCTGCTCTGGTCGTTGCTACTCATAGGAGACAATGGTGGAGACGTTATTGTATCGTTGGGCAACTGGAAAAATATATAAAATCAACATTAAAATTTACCCAAAACTTTTTTGACATCAATCACAACAGACTATTTAGCTAATTTACAAATTTCATAGGATTAAAGGTATAAACAAATAAAGGTACTCGGTAAAATTTAATCCGAATCAAAAACATTTTATTGGACCAAGTTAATGTCAAACACTTGCAGGGTAAATACTATGACTTTGTAGTATAAAATCCAGTAATCCTCTAGTATCAAGATTAGGACCTATTCTTTGCTTTTATGGAGGTAGGGCTAGTTAATTGTGGTCATTTGCGCCTGATGGATAGGCAACCCAGTACAGTCGAAACGTTTGTGCCAGATAAACTGGAGTAAATAAAGATGGCAAACTTTTACCATATCAATGAAGCGATTGATCGAAATCGTAGCCAAAAATAGCAATAATCAACAGTAACTAGGTGTGTTTTATACAAAATAAATGTAACTTTAACAGCACAAAACGAAGAATTGTCAAGGCTTTCGAAATGCCATTTAACTCCAATGCAGGGTGTTAATTAATTGAGTGCAGATACTTTAAGATGTGAATATTTGGATAATTTTAAGAAGTTTATACAGGGTGTTACAGTTTAAAAAAAAATAACTTTTCTATCATAATTTTCTTATTACTTCACTTATTTTATGAAATTTTGTACACACTTTTTAATAATTATTAAGGAGCATTTTTGTTTGAACTGAATATGTTTGAAGAAAAAATGGTACGCTATTCGTTTTTATAAAAACCAAAATTATTTTTAAAATCCTCATTTATTTTGGAGCAAATTCGGTCCAAAGACTTATTTTCGTACAACGCACCATTTTCGCGTAAAAAAATAAAAACCAAAAGAATTTTTTTCCAAGTTCATTTGAGACTGCTTTCGATATTTTGTCGAAATTTGGTAGGCGCCCACCGTGCATGGAAACCCTTTTTTTGGGACAAAAATTAATTTTCTAATATTACCAGGGACATCCCGAAATTTCATAAAAATACCTGCAGTACTAAGAAAATTATGATAGAAAAGTCATTTTTTTATAAAACTGTAGCTACCTGTAGCTCGAAAGCTAAGAGGTTTAGGACACATATTGATATACTTTTCTTCTTAAAATCGTCCAAATATTCACATCCTGAAGCATCGCATTTCTGGAGCATTTCTGGAGCATTTCTACACATCTCCACTGCTCAAAACACCCATCTAAAGTTGCAATATTCCCCAAATACATTTCGAAAATTTGCGTCCAGAATACTCACATCGTTCAATACGGTACACTCGTAGCTCGGCTGGTATTTTTCCTGCTCGGACGGCGGCCTCTTCATGATCTTCATCCGGTCCTGCTTGTGCTTCCTATCGGCCCCTTTCAGCTTGAACACCTTGATCTGGCAGGCGGCGGCGTGCAATCGCTTGTTCATGTTGGCGTGCATGTTATCGTTGTTTTGGTACGTTTCGATTTGAATGCGAAACGGTACGCCCTTCTCGCCGCCGTGCTTCTTCGCCGTAAACTCCGTACTGATGCAATTTACCTTTCAAACGACAACAAATACTGTTACTAAAACGTGAAACGTGTAATAGAACATTCGATTATCGAAAATTCTAAAATTAAGTCACGGAATGTTTACTGTGTTTCTTGTAGTAAATATTTGAAGAGTTTGTTGGAGTTATGAGTGCAGTGCAATCTTGTATAAAAAGTGTGATTTATTTATTCAACAAATTAAGTTAAAAATTTGGTTGATTGGTAGTCTTGATCTACATACTCGTTGGTTGATTACTTTTGATATTTTTTTATTAAATTAGGCGTTTAAATGAACATTAAGACATTAAGGCCCGTATTCGCGCTCCTTTTCAACGCTAATCAATCGTTTAAAGAGTCTCTTTATTATAAAAAATGTTCATAGTTATTGCATGACAATGTACAACTGTAAAGATCAAGAGACCTACTTTACTCTACACTTCTCTACTCTACTCCACTCTACTTTACTCTACTTTACTCTACTTTACCCTACTTTACCCTACCTTACTCTGCTTTACTTTACTTTACTTTACTCTACTTTACTCTACTTTACTCTACTTTACTCTACTTTACTTTACTTTACTCTACTTTACTCTACTTTACTCTACTTTACTCTACTTTACTCTACTTTACTCTACTTTACCCTACTCTACTTTACTCTACTTTACTCTACTTTACCCTACTCTACTTTACTTTATTTTACTCTATTTTACTCTACTTTACTCTACTTTACTCTACCTTACTCTACTTTACTCTATTTTACTCTAACCTAACGGTTTCCCTAGTTACCTTGATGTAAACTCCTACTTCCTTAGTAGGATCCCAATTGAAATGAATTACATTGACCGCGTTCGGAGGCTGGGTGATGTCTGAAGCCCCGTAAGAGAGGGGTATGTCAGCCTCGAGTATCCTATCACCGGGCCTGGCGCTTTGCCATAGAACCATTTGCTCTTTTTCCATGTATTGAAGACGTCTTTCGTGGAAGCAGATGCGAATGTACGACTGGAAATGAAAAAAAAAGTATCTTTACAATCCATAGTTTTCGTATTGAAGGTTGTACGAACTTTAAGAAATTTCCCTCTGTAGAAAGACAAATCGCCGAGCTTCTTGAGCTTAATTTCATAACTCTGGCCCTGGTTTAAGTACGTTAAAGTGTCCTCGTTTTGTTTGGTAGCTATGCTAGTGGCGGCGGCTAGGACGTACTGGAATCGACTGTCTTCTATCAAATTGTAATTAGTCGATGATATGGAATAGCTGTCCTGGGAATTGGGAGAAGAAAGGTTATTGTCTGAAACAATCGCCACGTTTAATATCAGATTTGATCGCGTAAATCTGGTGGTACGCTCACTGTCTATAACGTTATGAATTCCGGCTAAATTTTCTTGGCTTAGCAATTGAGAAATGGTGTTGTTGAACATATTTTGATTGCAATTATCGTCGATTGTACTGGTGATTGTTGCTACGTTAGCATGGTGAATGGGCGGGCTTTGCCTGTTTTTCTTCGCCACTTGTAAGATAGCCACGTCGCCCGACGTTGGTGAAGGGGCCTCCTGCTTGAAAACCGTTAAATTGTTCATCCCCAATATTTGACCACTGAAAACAAAATGAATATCCATTAATAATTCGATGGGAATGATGGTAAACAATGCTTACTTTACGGTGTAAGTGTTACCAACTAGATCGCTGGTGTTTAAAGAGTTTTCAATGTCTGCATTCAAATCGGTGTAATCTTCTACCTGCCAATGCTGCATCTTTACTGTTCCTGCAAGAATATTACTTTGTAGTTCAAATGTGAGATATTATTATAGTAAAAATAAAAAAATAGTTCGTTTGTCCTAACGTATGGTTTCTAATATGAAGAAAACTTGGAGGAAGATATTGGAAGATTGATGGAGAAGAGAATAGAGTTAGATATTAAAGAAATTGTGAATTATTTTAAGTCGAATAAAAAAATTAAAAAACTTTTCTGTGAAATACGGCAATGCCAATTTGTTTCCACTCAAAAGAGCGAGCCCACGTTTAATTAAAACAGCCTTTAAAAAAAGGATGTGAAAGGTTAAAAAATTACAACCATCGCTTTATTACAGGGTGAGTCATGTAAACTTCTTATTTCATTCTGGAACCGTTGAACTCCATTCGTCGGTCGAATTGTCCGGTTGCATATCGGAAACGCAGCAGTTTTTTTCCTATCAATTTAAAGCCACAATGAAACTCCATCTATTCAACGAACTTAAGCCATTGTGGGGGACAAATAATCAATTTCCTCGAGTAAAAAATGCACGCCTTGACGTCAGTCGCTTCGACGATTGTGCGACCTTTTCAATTATGCGACACATCGGTACTGAACCGCTTAAATTGACGCTGTAAAGATGGAAACTCGGAGACAAGCACGTGTAGCCGAGGTTTTAACATTGGCTGGTTCCTTAAAGATTTAGATAAGAACGGTTATGTGTGAACAAAACTAATCAAAGCGTACGAGATAAAGACCTAAATGAACAAAATTTAACGGATCTAATTATTAACAAAACGCTGTAAATTAAATACAATAATTTCTACGGTAGAATTGCAACATTAGCTTAAGATTTGTACCCAACAACACCTCTGAATTTTTAGCAATTGGAGAGTTGAATACCATTATTACCTAACAAAGTGACGAGAAATCTAACCGCTTTAATCCATTGAAATTCGCCTAATTAATTATGATTCTTTTGCCATTTTGGATAGTAGTTTAGCGACGTTCTCCCTCAGAAAATATAAGTAAAAATATACCTGCGTAGGAGCCTTTTATACCTCTGGAATTATCCATATTTGAATGTGTAGCATCACACATGCGTTGAGATCATTTAACTATGTTAAGTAAAAAATAAACAGAATGCAAATTGATAAAATGACATTGTTGATAGTTAGAAGTTATCATTCCAAATATTTTATACAATAAAAAAGCTACGTCGCAATAAATAATATTATTTAGCTTCTGAATTTTATTTTGTAAGAATATAACTATGTACGGGTCGCATAAGTTATTACAAAAATTAAATAATTGTGCCTATAAAATTAATTAATTGAAGTCTTTAGGTAAGTTTATACTAAGAATGTTGTTGGAAAAATCTAGTAGGTACTGGACTATTGCCTAACGTAAATATTAATAAAAATATTTCTTATTAAGGTATTTACAACTGAAATTTGTACAAAATCTTCACTAAAAGTACAATATCCAAAAAATAAATTAATATGAGCAACCTAAAATCCACTCATTCCAGGGTTGGTTCAAATAGCAATCATTTTTTATTCGGCGTTATAACAAGTACTATGTTAATTTTAAAATTCAAAATACTCAGAATAATTAGACTGTTTATTTAATTCCGTTTGATCAAGCTGTTTTGAATTACGAAAAAATTGGATGAGGTTGATTGAAAATAAGATAAAAATTAAGGTTGCTCGATGAGAACGTTTTCCTACATGTTTATTTTTCTTGAATTCCTGTCTAGCTCAAATCAGTTTAAACCAGTTTTAATAAAAATTATTCAAAGTTCGCCTCATTACATCAGTTAATTAGGAATGGTATGAAATTCAAATATGTTAAGTAGATATTACTTTCAGGAATTAACACGGCAATTTCCAATCTCCAAAGGTAAGAGAATTTTAATGTATAATTGATTTAGAATCGAAAAATGTATTAACGCCTTATAGTGTCAATATTAGTGTATTTTAACAAAGAAATCGATAGATTCCTAGACTATTAATGGCATATTACTAAGCATAAGTGGTACATAATTTTTATATTAAAACATATGCCATGTTTCAACTTAAAATGTAATTAAAAAAGTTACATTTCTTCCACCTTGGTTACTTGATGTTTTTCACAAATGCAAAACTTACTGATGGAAAAATTTTGTGAATACAAATGTAAACTTGAACGAGAACACAAAATAATTTAAATTTAATAAACCTTAGTGTGTTTTAAATAAGCATTTAACTTAATGTTCCGTAAATGATACAATTAGGTACCATTTTAGTTCTTAAAATTCATGTAATTATAAAGTATAGGTAAAAACCTAATGTTTTTTTTAATTTAAATATGTACTTACAGCCTTGCTAAATTTTAATATAATACCTACTGTTTTAGAAATATTAATTAATGAACTAATAAACTTACCTCTCTGTTGAATATTTTTCTTGATGTCGTCCTTTACATTGTGCGTCGTCGGTTCCTTAATAATAATTTGTTTCTTTTTGTTGTCATCGAAATCTGCAGGTAATTTTCTCTTTTTCAAGTGCCTGTCTTGCTCATCGATTTTTATTGAAGTCCAATCAAATACATCATTCTGATTGTCCATGCTACATTCATTTGGCAAATTCCAAGAATTTTTCGAATTTTCCGATTGGTCATTCAATATAATATCTGAATTTACAGAATTTACATAGAGTTGATAATCCATATCAATTTTGGTGAATTTTACTACAATTCTCTATGTTCTACTCTAATAATTGTTTTTCTAAAATACTACCGCCTTTTTCGCCGAATTTCCTTTAAAACATCACAAAAAATGAATTGTACAATTTCTTGATTCCCGTAGTTTCTCTTTGCCTATGATTTTGAAGCAGACTGGAATCAATCTCGAGCATTTTATTCATCAAAAAACGTGATTCAATATCCATTTATCACAAAATACAAAAAACTTTACCCTCTTGAATAGGGTATATCTTGTAATAGGAACGAGTTAGTTGAAGGAACAGCTTCAGTTTCCCAGCCGTTTTGGCGAAAATCAGCACCGATATGAAAACTCGAATCTTCAAATCAAAATAGCCAACCAAGCGCAACAACTGCACAAAATGTAACTGAAATAATAGGACAGTTGTCGTTTAGCTATCAAACAGATGAATTACTTAAATTGATATAAATTGGCGAATGGAGATCAAGTTAAGCGTTAAGACGAACTAAATGTGTCTGCAGATTGTTTAAATTAAACCTCTCTTTCTTTCTCTCTTCTGAATGAAAAACCCACAGATTCGATGCAATTTAAAAGGGTCCGCCGAAGAAGGTTTCAAATATGATATTGTTACGGAACGGTACCAATTAGAATGCATTCAGATATCTGAAACAAATAAAAAATATCCAATTACAATTAATCACAAATTATATTAATTAATTTTGAAAAGTTCAAGTCACTTAAATGTTAATGACACTCAGAAATATTTATTTACCAATGCATTATGTTTGATTTTCGCCGGGTATATCTACTAAATATTTATTTTTTTATCTAATTATTAGATAAAATTCGCAACGTATGATGCAATAGCTTCGTTTAGAAAAACCGGTACGAACTTTTAAGTAACAATAATGTTAAGTATACTATAAAATTTAATTCTTTTTAGATTGCCACTTAAGTCAAAATCTAGAAATAAAATTTAAGGAATCGAAAATTCGAGAAACAACAATTAGTAATAATCGATTCCAATGTCGTTTAATCAATAATTTGGTGATTCTATTAATAAAAGAGCCATTTAAACAATGTTATTTTTTAACTAAGCTACTTCTATACATTTATATCTGTTCACTTAGTACGATAGTCGGCGGACCGACCGCTCACCCCGAACTTTCGCTCCTTTATTATCTATATGAGTGGCGGGATGTACTAGAAAAGGAGCAAGAATTCAAGGTGAGCGATAGGTTCGCCGACCATCATATCTAGTAGTATCTGATGCTATAGAAAACTTCTAAGTAAAAGTAAATTCTTATAAAAAAAACCATTGAAAATACATTCTACAGAAAGTCATTTAACAAAACTGGCTTTACTCAAGACCCAATATTTAATTAACAATTAAATTATAAATCCGCACATTTTTTCCTCAACAGTCCACCAAACACTTCATAATGGTGATTTAAATCTTTCACCGTGTGCAATTTACACAAAGTTTCCAGACCACCGTTGGAGGATTTTTCACCGAAGAATACCCTTTTAACTCTGCTGTGAATTAGCGCCATCGAGCACATAACACAAGGCTCTGCAGTAAGGTAAATGTAGTAGCCGGTACACAAGTAGGGACCATCGGTCGGTTCTACAAGTTCATCTTTGCTCTTGTATTGTTTAGCACCAAACGAACAACTATATTTTAACTGTAGAAACTTTAATAAATCCTGAGGAATCCCGCCGAGATTGGGTTCTTCGTTGATAGAGATTCGATTCGAAAGGGACTTCCAGGAGCCCCCGTTTTGCGTTTTGGCGACGTTGTCAATGGCCACCATAGGGGCGTGTTTCAATGGACTTTCATTTATTTGCCTGTATCCAACTGCTACCACTGAGTTCGAGTTTGGATCCACAACAACAGCGCCTATCTGATTATCCGAGTAGAAATTTTCCCTGGCGTATTCGGCCACATCTATTGCAATGCTCATGTAATCAACGTGCCGTTTTAAATCTTCCTCTGTGAATAATTTATTCGTGCACAGCCTTTCGATGTATTTGTTAGGATGGAAGTTGCAAGGCCACAACTTGTTGACCAGTTCGAATTGGCGCCTAGTTTTCGGCTGTGCCTTGGCCACTGTTGTTATTTTTATGTTGTTTTGCAGTGAAGACATATCAAATTGTTTGGTTTTCAGTAAATTAACGACTTCAATTTGATTGTGTGATGCTGCTGTACACAATATTATTTCTTTGCCTTTTACTCTCTTCAAATGAGCCAGCTCACAGAGAGGCAAAATCGAGTTCATTTGGAGTATAATTTGGGATGTTTTTTTTGAATCGGTTATTGTATCTACGTACACTTCAATGGTAGGTGTGTCTAAAACTAGTTCATCCGGTAACACCGGATAAAAATTGTTATTTTCATGATTAGTATCCATCTTTAACCGTTTAGCTTCGCTCATGGTTTCTGACTCGAAATATTAGGGAATAAAACTATTCTTCGTAGGTCAGCAAGGGTGTGGTATTAATGAAATTGGAATGTGATGATCTGAAAAAATTTGCACAAAGTCATCATAGCACCGAAAAAATCCTTTAAAAAAATAATAAAAATTGGTTAAACAACACTAATAATCGGACACTTCGATTACTGAAATATGATTGGTACTATTCGGTACAATTTGAATCTAATAAATTCATAGAGTTCAAATTTATATAAATTTATAAGTATAAATGAGTATAAATTTATCAAATAGATAGATTTATAGCTACTGCCATTACAAGTTCAAACCCTATACTAGAAATTTTATTTGTAAGGGCATAAATGTATTTACTCTTCCTTCCTTCCTTGTATTTGGATTATCCCAAACACGTGACCTTCAATTCGAAAGAAATATTAAAAAATGTCGCAAGTTTAAACATTAATTAGACCTTGGAACAAATCGTTTAACCCCAATTAAAAAAAGTCAATAAATAATTGTTTCTTACTTTAAACGCAAACACTTGGTGGGATATTAGATTTATAAAGGTATCTCTGTGCAAATAGTAATCGTTAAATAAACGCTACATTGGAACGCAAAATATTCCACTGCATAATAATATGCCAAGTTCATATTAGTGCAATATTGAATCTGTAGTAAATAATATAAATAACCTACCTAATTTTATTGCGTATCAATCAGTATGCAGTACAATACATCCAGTGTAAATAGCTCCATTACTTGCATATAATCGTGAATCTCCGACACAAAGTAGAAATTTTCTTCAATTGTAGGTACGAAAAAATTTACAAAAAGAACACACTTTATCTTTATGCTTGTAACTCTAATCAAGTATCTATAAAAGAATGTATTTATAAAATATGCGTATTTTTTGTCGACCAGCTTGTTATACTATTTGTAGTGTAGTGATAAGAAAACAGATTTAAGATTCTTGTGTTTTTTTTAAATACTTAGGTAAATAAATGAAAATAGAAAATTAAATGAAGGGAAATTATCAATTTCTGACAGGAGTGACAAGGCAAAGTGACAGGTGACAAGGGACAATGACATATTTGATAGAGATATTTTATATTTTACAGTTTGCTATAAAATTGTAACTAAAATCCAAAATGCCAAAACTGTCATTAATGTCATCGGCGTCACTGTCACATAACCAAACAATTTTTAGGATATACATATTTTATTTAAAATAATGTCTCATAAACGTTTCTTAAATACATTAGACTATCCTCAAGCAGATAGTGTGAATTTAAACGGTAATAAATACATTTTACTCACATAAATAATAAAGCGCCTCAATTTATAGATGAAAAAACGTTTCGAAGTGTAATTGTTTGGCTGGAAGAAAACAGAATTAAAGGAGCCCCTCAAGCTGTTCTGGCGAAATTGAAAGATCTGGACTCCAAAGACTGGCATCAGGTTTACTCGAAATACAAAGACGATCTAGGATGTCCTGTTTTAGAATCTAAATTAGAAGAATTACAGTGGATATTAGGTTATGCCGTACAAATAGAACATCTAAAGAATAGTAAGTGCATTTAAATATAATTAGTTATTTTGTAATTAACTTGTTATTTTTTAGAAAACGTTTATATAAAGCACGCGGTTGAGAACTTACAAAAAGAAAATGCACCTAATGTCATTGCTGAGAACCCGCTGGATAATTTGGACTGTATGTTAAAATTTTACGATTACTTAACAATTAATTCATTCATTTCGTAGTCCGCAGCCAAGAATTTGCAGATGGAATTAAAGAGTTAGCAAATGCATTAAATACCGTCGTCCATCCGGATCCTTTAATTACGTTGAAAGCTGTAAGGAAAGTAATATGCCAGAGATTGGCTCCAGATTGTGTGGAAAACCCGGATAAATATGTAGTCAAAGTAAGATCGAATATTTCAGCCACTTATTTTTGAAATTCTTCAGAGATATATTAAATTATACAGTTTTATTTGCTTCAACTATATAAGGTTGTTATTTTTTAGGGAACTCCTTTTCCTTATCAAGATTCTGATTTGGGATTTGATTTGAAAGATCCAGTTTTGAATCAAGCAGCTAAAATTTTACGTATGATTTACATACAAGACTTAAGAAATTTACAGACTAAAGCTAATGAACTGATAGTGGCGGTGCAATCGGTCACTGCTAATCCGAAAACGGATACGAAGCTAGGAAAAGTCGGATTTTAGAGAATATTTAATTAAAAATAAGATATTTATAAATTATATTAGATGTAATTTTTTCGAATCACATGTAATTGAACAGTGTATGTATATGTAATAAATTTATAACTGACGATTATTTTCAGTATCGTTCTTTAATGGTAATAAGTCGTACATTCCTCTTATCCCCAATGCAAAACTACCTAAAATCAGATAAAATGTTAGAGATCAGTTAAGGTTTTCGAAAAAGAAATGTTCGAGTTTAAATAAACATAAATAAAAAAAGATGAATACTATAAAGTAAGAGACGTTTAATTACTTTAATATTAGTGGAGTATAAAAACAATATTTAATTTTACCTAATCCTAGTAAATTTATGAATATTTTCGATTTTGTAGGATAAGTTCTTCCCACTAGTATTAAATAAGTCCCAATACCACAAAAACAACACACAGATGTTGCTTTACAAGCGCTGCACGATTTTTCTTTATCCATTTAGATATAAAATTATTTCTGTGGCTTTTATTTCATTTCCACTTCATGGGGAAATCAGAAAATAAATTAAAATAAAAATATTTACTATTTTTGTACAGGTTATGTTATTTATTACTACGTTTTTTTGGTTTTATGTTGACTAAATTTTTGATAAGTTATAGACCACTCACAAATATCATATAAGTTACCTGTCAATGTCATTATTGTCAACAGTAGCCAATGGCCAATGGTCAGTCAAAAAGAACAACAATCAAAAATTTATAAAACCACAAAAATTTTTAAACAATAAATAAATATATTTTTTATTATTGTTAGGTAAGTATGTTTTTTGCTACCCTTTTTTGCTAAATGCAATTATAAATTTACTTTAATAAATTTTTGATTTCGTACAAATTTAATTAAACCATTTTAACAATTTTGTTTTTACAATTGTTTATGGCTAACTTAAACTCAAAAAATAGTACTGTGATTCTCCTTTAAATGATTTTAAATAATTTATAAAACGTACAATTTTAAAAATAAATTATGACATCTATAGATAAGAGAGGTATCTCTTGGTAAAAATTTTACAATGCTTTATAATTAATAAAAATCATACTATACAATTACACCTTTGCAACGTTCATTTGATTGTAATTCACTATAAATCACATTTTATTTTTTCTTTAAGAATTGCAGGAAATTGTGTAATTTGTTTGCTTTAGGTTTATCTACGTACTATTCGTATACAAAGAAGTATTAGCAAAATGCATCAAGAAGGAAGTATAAACGAAAATTTGTCAAGTTCTATTCCAAAATATGGACTAAAACTAAAATTAAATCATGTTTATAAAGAGAAAAGAGATCAGAAATATATTCCAAGATTAGGAATTATTTTGTCTATGTTACCATTAATCTTTAGGTAAGTTGTCATTTATTAAATCACTGTCAATTATCTGTCGAATATAGTTAGTCAAAATTACTACAAGTTTTATCAGAATGAATGAGTGGAAACCATTTTCCTTTCCTTATGAAAGAAATACCACTCTCCTAAGTCATCCGAGGCAAGATTTTGCCAGACCACAAAGGAGACATTTTCCATTCATTTACACTTACAACGTGATAGATGTTCAAGACCTCCCATCAGGATTGCCCAATTGATTTATGTAAAACAACATATACATCATAATTAAATGTTAACAAAACCACTGACTAACTTTTTTATCAAGTAATACTAACATTTAAGGTACCTCATATATTATCTAAAATTCAAATGGAGAGGGATGAAAGTCGTGATGGATTACGTGAGTCCTAGAGAACCCCAACAAATTTACGGTAAAGAAAAAATTAGCAGATTTTGTTAAAAAAATTGTATGTTTATTTAATTAACAGGTGTACCGATTGGGGGAATAGGTAGTGGCACTATCGGAAGGGGTTACAGGGGCGAATTCTGCAGGTTTCAACTAAGACCTGGCATTTACGAGTGGAATACCGTCGATGCCAATCAATTTATCGTCACGATTAAAGACGAAAATGGCAAGACCATTTTTCAGAGTCTTTTATCCACTTTTCCGTGAGTAAATAGATATATTGAAATCGATATTCTAGAATCAATACTATACAGGGTGTCCCGCATAAGAACCGACACAGAGCAGGGGCACGTAGGGGAGCCTAAAATGTGTTGTCCCTTAAGCGGGACACCCTGTATTTAATCGAAAATTAATTATTAACCGAGGCTAATTTTTAGTAAATCGAGCCTATCTAGTTGGAAAAGTCGTATAGATGGAAGTAAATGCAATTATACAGGGCTATATCCTAGGTCTTGGACGGAATATGATCTATCTGAATATGGAATTATGTTAACCTGTAGGCAAATTAGCCCTGTTATTCCTCACGATTATGTGGTAACTTTACAACTTCTTGCTTTTAATATTTAACACGAATTATTGCATTTAACGGGCACAATTAGCATTCTGTTTTAATGTAGAAGAGATTAATATTTATTCACTAATAGACCGCATTTATAAAAAGAAGCATAACCTTCTGCTTTCAAAAAATGAATCAATTGCTTCAAGGTATATGCATAAAAAGAAGTGAAAGAGGAGGTTTCGCTTCGAGGATCCTGCTGTTGCTTTAAAGCAAAAAAGTTTTATGTTTTCCATATTTATGAAAAAATGCATTTGCTTAAAAAAAGATTTGCTTGTAAAAATTGAATTTAGGTTCGTAGCAACTTTTCACAATCTTTTAAGTAGTTACTAAGCCATCACACAGCTTGTAGCTTAAAATTTTTGTGTATTTTGGCTGTATTTCCCCAGTTTGTTATGACCGACAGGGTGCATTTACGTTAGAACTGTCTAGAACCATTTAGAACGCTCCAGAATTATCTAGAACTGTCTTGAATCATTTAGAACTGTTTAGAATAATTTAGAACATGGATCAGAGCAAAACCCTTTCCTCTTACCTTTCGCTTCTACCTTTTACTTCAAAGTAAATGCTTAATTTTTATAAATATACACTAATAACTATTATACTTTCTGATTATTGTAGAATAGCTGCTTACCAGCTGCTGTATTTGCTTGGACTGCGAAAAACGTCTGTAACGCTAATAGGACCGTTACAATTGCTTTTACGTTTAAAAACGGAACGGGCAGCGTGGCTGATAAGAAAGGTAAAATTAAAACGAGCTTTAAAACCACTTCGAATATTTCACATTTTTTGTTTTTAGCGACATGCAGTTCAAAATCATTCAATTACGAAAACTCAGAAGGCGTCATATTATACAATACTTTAGATTCAACTCAGGCTGCCTACGCCTTATCAGCACTATCGAAACCTGGCGTTTCGATTTCCAAATGCTCCTATTTCGACCCCAAATCGGACGGATCCGACGTTTGGTCGCAATTGGAGCTAAACGGGGAATTCGATCGACCCAAAAAGAACGCTCAAAGTTCGTAGATCCCTAATTTACGACGCCGTAGCATTGAAATACCTTTTGCAGATCATTTCTTCGGCGAAACGGCTTGCGGAGTGGCCTCGAAATTCGCGGTAAACGCCAACGAAACTCGACGAATCGAAATGAGCCTCGTGTGGGACATACCGAAAGTCATTTTCCCCGTCGATCAGAAGACTTACAAACGCTATTACACGAAGCACTTCGGATCGGAGAACTCGATATTGAAATTGGTATCGTACGCGTTCGATAATTACGAATCGTGGGAACAGAAAATCTACGATTGGCAGAAGGTGGTTTTAGATGACAGGTAAACTTTGTTAAAATTGTTGATTTGTTTAAAACTATTTAAAATTCTCAGCAAATTGCCCGATTGGTACAAAGGAGCGCTGTTCAACGAAACTTACTATATCAGTGATGGTGGTACTTTATGGATGCTCCTTGGCGACGAGGAATTACGAACTATACCCCAAAATGATCCTAGGTAAAATACATCCAACCCACTATGCAATATCAAAAATTGTGATTATTATTTAAGAGTCGAGTACGGCCGTTTCGCTTACCTCGAAGGGCAGGAGTACATCATGTACAATTCCTACGACGTGCATTTTTACGCATCGCACGCTTTGCACAAGAACTGGCCGATGCTGCAGAGGTGCCTGCAGTACGATCTGCGCGACTTCGTTTATTTGGAAATAAAAAGCGACGTCAAGGAGTTGTATGAGGGGACGATCTGCGAGAGGAAGAAATCGAATTCTGTGCCGCATGACGCCGGAAGTCCAAGTAATGTTCCCTTAACTCATTCTACTGCGAAACTATTCTCTCTTATCTGGGCTTGGAAAATATGCACTAAAAACCTTCGAAATGTGCACTTAATATGCATTTATGCTCAATGTAAAAAACAGAAACAACCAGATATAAAATATTTTGTTTGAAAATTTTATTAATAGGAAGATAAGACTTATATACATAATGCGGACTATCAGGCTAGATTACTTATTAGAACATTAGAAGAATGTGTAGAAGAACTGTCGAAATTCATTTAGAACCATTTAGATCTGCCTAGAATCATTTAGAACGCTCTAGAACCCTACTTTCCAGAATAATGTTGAATACTCCGTAATCATTTAGAACTGTCTAGTATCATTTAGAAGGCTCCAGAACTATATAGAACTGTCTGGAATCATTTAGAAAGCTCCAGAATCATTAGAACTGTCTAGTCATTTAGAACTGCCTAGAGTAATTTAGAACTGTCTAAAAACGATTTAGAACGTTCAGAACCATTTAAAACGCTCCAGAATCCTACCCTACCTTCCAGAATGATGTTGAATCATTTAGAACTCTCTAGTACCATTTAGGACGCCCCAGAATAAGTTTAAACTCTCTAGTACAATTTAGAAAGTTTCATAATCCTTTAGAACGGCACAGAATCATTTTTTTTGGTTATACAAATATGCTAGTAATTTTTAACGTTATTATTTTAATATTTGTTATTAAGTTTAACGTATTTTAATTTTTATTGGCAAAATATATTGAAAAATGTATTCATCGATTCATCGAAAAACTCGTTAAATAGCCAATAAACAGTTCAAGATGTCAGTCAAGAAAAACTCATTAGTCATTAAAAAGTTACTCACTTAAACTTTGCACAATTGCTTCCTTTTCCAATTCATTAATTGCCTCTACATAACATGATTCATAAATTTTCAAGCAAATCAACCACTTCATTTCTGAATTACCCAAACTGGTTATTAATTGTACTTATTAACTTTTATTTTAGGCGAAGGACCATTGACGCTAATTAACGCTTACCCGATACACGACGTGAGTTCATGGAGAGATTTAAACTCGAAGTTTGTTCTGCAAACATTGAGAGACGCGTTTGCGGCTTCTCCTCAAAAGCCGGACATCGATTTCATGAAAGATATGTACGATGCGTGCTTCATGGTAATGCAAAAGTCTATTAAAAATGACACTAACGCAGATGGTTTAATCGAAAACTTGGGTATTCCTGATCAGACGTACGACTCCTGGGTTATGAGCGGTGTGAGGTAATTCCACCGACGGTAGAAATTTGTTAAAAGTATTAATTTATTACGCTGTTTTATAGCGCTTATTGTGGAGGTCTCTGGTTGGCCGCATTGTACGGAATGAGTACCATGGCAGAGCGATTGGGAAAGATCGACGATAAGAAACTGTTCGAAAGCATCTTGAATAAAGCCAAGGCGGCGTTCGAGAAGAAAATGTGGAACGGTTCATATTACAATTTCGATTGTTCCACCCATCATTCTAAAGCTATAATGGCAGATCAACTTTGCGGCCATTGGTACTTGATGTGTTCAGGGATTAAAACTGACATCGTAAGTATCCGTTAATTTATGGGGATGACTGAAGCTGAAAAATCACCTTTAGGTTTTTCCCGAAGATCACGTGAAATGTGCTCTTAAAACGGTTTATAAGAGTAATGTTCAGTCGTTCTGCGACGGTAACATGGGAGCTGTTAATGGAATGATTAATGGAGAAGTGGACACTGCGAGTGTGCAAAGTTTGGAAGCGTGGACAGGCGTTACTTATGCTCTCGCTTCAACCATGATTTACGAGGTAAATTCGAATGTTGTTAAAGTTACTCGTAAGACTGTAAAGTAAACTTTTAGGGTATGGTTGAAGAAGGTTTCAAAACGGCTGGTGGAATGTACAATTCTATGATACGGTGTGGATTAGCCTTCGATACACCAGAAGCTTTGTATGCTGAACACCATATAAGGGCTGTGGCTTATATGAGGCCTTTGAGCATTTGGTCCATGCAAATGGCTTTAGAGAGCAGTATTAATAATTAACATATTTTTATACAAACCGACTTTGAAGGTAACTAATTGATGTTTAAATCTAGTCCTAAAAAATAAGTTTAAATAGTCAACAATTCAATACTTTTTTAATATTCTAACAATTACAATTGAACAAAAATATCGACTTACATTACTTTTGAAACATCTTCAAAAAAGTAATTAACTAATAATTGAAACTATATATTACAATATTATGGAATCATTATTTTTATAAATAGATTCAAAAGGCGAATTATTTATTGTTTGTAGTATATACAATTTTTATGTACAATAAATCAATACTGCTTTATACAAAACCTTGACCAAAAATAAAATTATTGTAACTATTGTCAGTGGATAAAGCATCGCACTAATTACAAAAATTATTGTAGGAGACTTAGCATTCATATAACACCCAGTCAATAAAAAATACGTCACTAATGGTGCGCGTATTGCTTTAGAAATGCCTTCAAATCTACACAACTTTCCTAATAAAAATATAGTTTGAGCGTAAAAAGCAATTGATCGATAAAATTAAAACATTAAAAATATTCCATGATTGCATAATAACACTTTTGATTTTCTGTGAATTTTAAGATGACGGGGTACTACATGGTCCCTTTGAACTAGAGGAGCACAAGGACAAAATTTATTTAATCATTAACAACAACCCCTGTTCAAAGACTGAGTAATTAAAAATATATTTTAAATGTGTAGTACGTTTATATGTAGTTTAAAATGTTTAGAACCTAAAAATAAATGTCTCCTTTTAAATTTACGCTGAACTTTAGACCTTCGATTCTATCATATCAACATTTATTTTGTAGTACACGTATGGGTAATATTCTGATTGGCCGAAACCTAATCCTGGAATGTCTACGCTCTGAAATTCAATAAGAACATTTTGTATTATCTATTATCTCAAACTAATCCGTTTTAATTTAATCACTGTTGTACTTACATCAACATTAGGTCCGGAAAGAGCTGCACTACTATCTAGATGGCCGTATAGTTGATTCAAAACATCCCTTAAACGTTTGGCTTGTTTCTTATTTGGATGGATCAGAATAGCCTGGAAATTGACTGGTAACCCGTATCTAAAAGATTAAATATTTATAGCAAACACTAGCAAATATATACAAAAGCTGGATCTACCTCAACACGGACTCGACGAAGACTCTCAACGCTTTAACGTGTATCCAAGCACAAAAGCATTCGCTGAAGTTAACTTTCAACCATCTCACTAACGGACCCTAAAAATTACATTTACTTAATAATAAAGAATGCAATATGAAGGACGCCTCGAAAGAGCAACGAAAATTAGTCCACAGATTCTCGATATAAAGGATGCTTTAGGTAGCTGTAACCCCATAAAATCGAGGCCGTTCGCCTCGAGAATCTGCCTACAACACTCTCTAGACATCACTTAGAAATACAATTAATTACGTATTGCTTCTTCTTGTCGGTAACGAGCTTGGTGATTTCGTTTTTGCCGGCCGCCAATTCCTCCTCGTTGTACGTGAAATCTCTCACGATGAACTTCTTCTCTCTGGCGTGCAGCTTGAACTCCTCGACGACCTTCTTGAAGAGCGACACGGTGAACAGGCCGTAGTCGCCGTCTTGGATGATCAGCTCCGACGATCGAGGGACGATCATGTCCGTGATTTTCTCGTAAGTGGCGTTCCACTCGTTGAACTGAGCCCTAAGAGAACGATTACGAGTTTTTATCGCACGTTAGCGGCGTTAGAGGTGGTTAACTCACTTGGGAACGATGACGAGCAGCGTTTGCAAGTACTCGGAATCTAAAATAAAGTGTTCCTTCTTGACCAGATCTGCCAAGTTACGGGTTAGCAAACTCCCTCTGAAATGGTAAATGGTTTGAATGTTTCGAAAAAAATGTCGAGATTCTCGCCCCCCCTATTCAGAAGTTTTTTATAATCAAATGGTTTTGTAAACAAAGATTATATATTTCAGAATTTTAAACAAGATGAAAATGATGTTAGTTTTTTGTAATCTATAACTGTCTAGAACAATTAAGAACGCTCCGGAACCATTTAGAACTGTATATAAACATTTAGAACGATCCCGAATCATTCGGAACTATCTAGAACCATTTAGAAGGCTCCTGAATCATTCGGAACTATCTAGAACCATTTAGAAGGCTCCAGAACCATTTAGAGCTCTCCAGGCTCATTTAGAACTGTCTAAAACCATTTAAAACTGTTTAAAATCACTTAAATCTGTTTAATTATTGTAGCCATTTTCACCTTGTTTATGATTCAAATAAGCAACGTTGCCATGTTTAAAATTCGGAAATATATATCATTGGTTACAAAACCATTTGGTTATAAAAAAACTTCTGAATACGGGTCAGAATGTTGAAAAATCGGTGATATCTTGTTCGATTTCGCTTTACTACAATTGTACATACGTTTGTTTTTTCTCCAAGTTTTGAAGACTGCCTTTTAAATTATTGTAGGCCGAGGACTTGGTCTTAAGATCGGCATCGATTTGACCAACTTGCTTGCTGATTATATCGGCGATGTTGCGCAGCGATTGCTTGATGGGGTATTTGGCGATGTCCCATTGGAATCTGGTTAAATAACTTGGCAAATCGGCTATAAATACGGAAAAGTACACAATAAATGTTTATAATTGCGACAGACATACACAACATTTTATTTAATTAACATAGATATCCAATCTTGGGGAAAAATTATTGCGTTGTAACAGAAAAAGCTCCACTATTCGGGTATTCGCTCGTAAGATATTGGTAATGTTATGGGGAAAAATCAGCGTTCTTCTAAATTTATTTTGACGTAGCCAGTAAGATTTTATAATAAATTTTATATAAATGAACTGCAAAGATGTATTTTATATGAGCAAATAGAAAATTATTATCAAACATATTCACAACATGCAACATGCTTCGAAGAACTTTCCAACCAAACAATGATTCTTAATGCATGTAAGTTATTAAGTGTTAGTGTGTTAATTTTGATGTAAAATGAATTTCAAAATGTTTTTCAATATAAACTTTGAAATTCACTCAATATTGGTAGTAAATTGTAGTATGTTTTTCCTCATAACAACTAACATTCTCCGCTACAAAGATGCATTCCATAGCAAAATTTTTCCACCAATGAAGTATGCAAGAAGCCACCAATATATGAATAAAATAAATATCCATGGACTACAAATTTAAGCAAAAACTATGTGATCGTGTTCGTGTACAAGGTAAAACGGTTTAGATCAATTCATTTGATTTCAAAATGTACGCAGCACTGCCTCGAAAATAAAATAAAAATAAAACTGTGATCAGATCCAAAACATCCAATTTTTACGGTAACCCCATTGGCTTCCCTATTAAGAGTCAAATGAAGTAATACATTCTAAATAAGTAATAAAATCTAATTATTAACGCCATCTTCGTACTGAGTGACCCAAAATGAATTTTATTCCAATTCGCCGCAATCAAAAAATAAATGTAGGGGGATGGTGACTTGCTCAGCTCTTGTAATGAACCCAAAATTATTCTAGAATTGTATTTCCTGGAAAATACAAGGAAAATTATGGGAAAGGGCACATCAAAATATCTTCAGACGATAAAAAAGGATTCAAAAGAGTACAAATCGAAGGAAAGAGCAGAGAAGATGCATCCCAATTCGAGGATTATTAAAAATCTCCCTGTTGCAAAGAGATTGGATAGAAGATTTGTTTAAACAAAAGCACTGGCTGTTCTGGTTTGAACTGAATAGCTTTGAGCAAGCTCAGTAATGCTCAGCACCTTCATTAGGAACAAACCCCAAAGTAGAAAACATTCAATTAGGATAATCAGGAATCCAAATGTGTTGGTACACGCAAATATTTGTATATTTTGGATCTGATTGCTCGGCGTGAGAAGCTCGTGTGCATTAAGCTGGATCCGGCGAGCCACTGACCTGGCCCCAAGATTGGTTGGCACATGTCAACTTGTGGGGATTGATCGGATGTCGAGGAGCTCTCGGTATCGGCGGGCGATTGTAGCGGCGTCACATATACCCCCGAGGAGCTCTCCGAGTCCCTGTCCTCCAAATTACATCCACCGCCTCTGTCATCGATGTCGGGCGGTCGCCCACCTGCCCCCACCACCAAACAACCGTCACAAGCACAGCCAAACAAGCACAAGCCATGTACCAGTTCAGTATCAGTACAATGCCCCTCGTCATGGTTGCTATTTTCTGATTTTACTGTCGAATTTTTGCGTTTCGAGTGGCGTTTCCGCTTTTTTGGCTCATCGAAGCCTGAATGGAAATGTTATAACATTATAAATAACCGGTTAGCGATGATCGAATTGTCACTTTATTCAATTCAAACACTCTTTGTTCCCGACCGAAGCCTATCAGACGCAATTACAAATAACGCAGAGCCCAATTTGCCACTTAAAACATATTTTTAACATAAAAGCGTCCAAACAAACAAGCACTATAACGAGTTCATCCATCACAAATAAATTGGAGCCTCTTAAAACTAAACAAAACTGATTTTTTTTTTCAAATACATCATTGTATTAAAAAAAATTCGAATGCCTGTGGTGTTAAAGTGTGGGTAAAGTGTGTAATAATATATCCCTACTCGCAACAGAAGAATTAATTGTTCATCTATAACTACTTCAAAAAATTAAATATAATGTTTAAACATTTCCCTTGGCAAAATCACTCAGAAACTTAAGAAATCGACAAAATTTGTGATTCAAAAAATTTGTAAAAAGGCATTTGTGTAATTTTGTTTGAAAGAAATTATAAGAGACATGCTCGCACGTGTGTCTGTGGTGGTTAGTTGGATTAGTATTATTGTTAATGTTGTGCATGCCATTAGAAAAAAAAACTCTAATGAAAACAACAGAACATTTACCAATGCTAGTTGCATTTACCGCAGAATATTTAGTACATTAATGCTGTAGGTTTTCAAAATGTTCTAGTTATTTTCATTTCTTCAAAAACTTTCGATCGGTATCGAAATGAAAAAATAAATACCCAAAGAACAGTTAATTAAAAATACCTTCTTTTTACGGAGCAGCATCGAGTTGGGTTAATGAAACTTGTGTAATAAAAAGCCAAAAGTATTGAAATAAAATGTACAAGAGAATTGTGTGAAGAAGTGTACCTAATGTGTAAATTCTAGAGCTTCACAAGCTACAGAATTGGTTAAATGAAGGATTTATAGTGAACTTTGCAGATGGGCAATCCTGCCTAAATATCTAACTATTGTTTAATATGAACAAACCAAGAAAAAAATTAAAAAATAGTTCTTGATTGCATGGGTTTAGAGCAAGAATACTTGTAAAAATTCGTTTGTATGTATAGTTTTAAAAGCTTGAAACCCAACTTAATATACTCTGTATAAATGTACTTAAGAAAATACCTATAGGATTCTAATTATTTAACTTACCAACGTAGAATTAACATTTTCTAAGACTAAAAATAGATGAAACGGTATGAAATCAACATTTTCTTTAAAAAATATTCGTTATTGTTAGTTATAGATAAATCAAATGATTTGAATTTTATCATTTTTAAATATGTGTACTTAGGATTGCACAGCAAATTGACTTAAATTTATTATTGTTTACATGAAATTAGTATGAACAAAGTTTTAATAATAAATTAAGAAGTACAAATAGTATAAAATTTAAGAAGGTCCTTTAAGTCAATTCACAAAAATATTCAAAGTTTGTATGTGCATTTCTAAATCAGCATCATTCTCTACAAAGATTCCTACAATAAAAATTAATCTACTGTAGAGTATCAAAACTAAATAACCAAACCTTTCTGTGTTAGTTATACTAAATATTCCTTTTTTTTTTCGTATAAAAAAATTTATGGAATAAACACACCAACATGCCAATTTCACATAGTATATCAACCATCATTCCAAATCCAAAAATAAATATGTCAACGAATAGAAAAAACATACTGTTGTTCGCCTGCAAATTCTCCTGCAACTTGTCCCTCTGGTCCTCGAGAACCTCTCCGAGGTACTGGGCCACCTTCCGGGTAACCTGCTCCACGAATCCATCCAGCTTTCCCAAATCATCGGATAGCCCAACCAATTGGTCGAGTGTTCCAACCTAAAGCCAAACCCAATTAATTTGCAACACAAGATGTGTTTTATTTTTTTTAGTATTATAAAATATCAGTTTTACAAACATTAGCAGATAAACGGTTATGAATAAATAAGATTAGATTTATTTTTATTTTGTTTAGTTTAGTTTCATAATGAGTGGAAACGTGTATTTCCAATAAAGTAAATACAGACTTGTTAATTAATCACAAGACTCGAATATACTTCCTACCCCTGTTCTATAAAAGGGAAATTTATGTAACTTTTATTTCAATGTCATTATTGGCTGTTTTAATCAATAGTTCTTAAAAATTAATGATGGTATTAAGAATACTTTTAATGCCTTTTGACGTCGATTCAAGTACTCAATTTTTAAGGAAAAAAATTGGTTCATTTGAATAAAAATCATCCTGTTAATGCCAATAAAATTGAATAGTGTGAGAATATTTTATAATAGCTTAAAATCTATTTGTATTCAAATATAACTTTAAAAACCATAAAAAACTCAGTAATATAATAAACTCTGTACCTAAATTTTTATATTCTGTACCTTTAATTATAGCTTTATATACCTTTAATACTAAGATACGATTGTAGATTATATAAATCGTGTGATATGGTAGTTTTCTCTCACCTTCAAATCGGGTATTTGGAACTTGTAATTTGCAGACAAATTGTTCTGTTTACTAGTCATATTATTCATAGTATCCCATGTTTGTTGACAAGTCTTGTCACCTGGGGCGGAAATCAACCAGTATTCTGTCATTTCCTTATCGTGGTCTGATGTGCTGCCTCTAAATGAGTGATGACTTTTTGAGCCTTCTTTATCTAGCCTAAAAAAATACAGAAATTATAAAATTTAGATTGGACGTTGTTTTAATTGGTTACTTGGTTCTAAACTTCATTATTCTAAACTAACAAGCTGTGATCATTAATGTTGTCATGTGACTTATGGTTTGCTTTGAATTTTGATGTTAATTTCAGGAAAATTGACCGTTAAATTATCACAATTAATGTAAAAAGTAACGCCTGCAACATATTGCTACAAAAAACTCTAAAATAAGATAATTTTTAACAGAAATTTAACCAAACAACCAGCTTATATAGGTGTTTAAAAGTACAACATTCGCCCAAAAAACAAATTCGAGCACTTTAGAAACGAAGTAACCGACTGAAACTAACTTTGAACTTAGTAGGTCACGTTAACCAAAACCTACCCTTGAATGAATAGTTTATTTTTAATTACAGGGTTATATGCTTCCAATGAACATTACAACCCCAGAATGAAAGAAATTAATAATGCAGCGTACTTCAAAATTTAATTCGATGAATTGATTGATGTATAGTCGATAGTAGTTACCTTCAGAAGCGCTATAAATGCAGAAAACACCCTCTTCAACCACTCCCCAAGTTAGAGTTGGCCCCAGCTGATCGTTATTTGAAGTTTCACGTGATTGTATTGCCGTCATCTGTCATGAGACGGACCTACCCAAAACAGTTCTTTATTTTTTGTTAAGTTGCCCATACTGATGTTAGGCATTTTTTAGTAATTTTTACTTTATGTTTTGACGGAAAATAAATTTTGTCGACGATATATGAAATATCCATTTACGGATTATTGAATACAAGAAATTCTTGATTATTAAAGTACTGAACATATTCTTATAACATATGGAAATCTTAGATATTACTGGTTTTTAAATTTAGAATTATTCTATTTAGGAAACAAATTTTCTCGAAGAATATCACACTCTTACGGGAGTAAACTATCACATTACCCAACATTTTTTATTTTAATTGAATAGTCTCATATAATTGACTTACGAATGTCCAGAATGTCCGGAATGGGTAAACTTGGAAGATGAGGGATCTTCGGTAGATTCGGTGTCATTGGTTTTCCTGAGGCCCATGAAATGCATCATAAATTTATCCAATAAATAAATCATTTAAATAACTTTCCTCGTCGCAAATTAATGTTCAATCGGCTAAAATTTGCGGCATTTTAAATTTCTTAAACGTCAGTGTCACAAATGTCAAACTGGCGATCGCGAAAAATCGCCTAAAATCGAATTTGTTTTGTCAAAATAGTTTCCATCCAACTGTCATTTGTCATTAGCGGTTGTCACATTCTTGTATTGTATTTCTGTCAGTGAATGGAAGATATTTATTTTTGGATAATTTGAAAAACTGTTTCGCAGAAAATTTGCGTCGAGATAATGTTCATGAACTGTTGCAATTAAATTTTCTGGGCGACGTTTCGAAAACACTGTCTAAAATGGCTGGAATTAAAGGTAAAAATGTCACTAACATGAATAAAAAAAATGATTCATTGTTCATAAAGTCATTGGTATTTCAGATACTTTAATTTAATTATAATTTATTTAATTTAGCATGTCAATAAACTTTCAATATTATTAAATTTAAATGATACGATAATAATCCTTATTTCAACTGTGAACTAGATATTCGAGGGAGGAATTAATAAATTATAGCACATTTATTAATGGTGTACAAAATGTATATTTCAGCGTCTTTGTTTAGGAGAAACAATGTAGGATATTAAAAGAATTTAAAAACAAGCACCTACTCTATATCCCCCCATTAAAACATACAAGAAAAACTTTGGAATTGTTCTAATATACTTTTTTCTGTTTCATTTGTGCCTTCTCCCAATGTCTGGCAATGCAGCGTAAGTATAATTATAAACACAAACTCATAAAAAGGGATAATAATTGAACATTTTGTGTTTTCAGTTTAGTAATGTTGGCATTCGCCGGTTCGATTGGTATGACTCTAATCATCTTAGCATGTGCACTTCCCGAATACGGGTAAGTTACTTCATTCTCACTCCAAATTCTCGTATATAAAACCCTTTACTTGCAGTTTGTGGTGGCCGTTCTTTGTCGTGCTATTCTACATTCTAGCCCCTATACCTACATTAATAGCCAGAAAGTACAACGATGGCTCTGGCTCGAGTAACAGCTGCCTGGAAGCGGCTATATTTATCACAATGGGTATCTTAGTCAGCTCTTTCGCGTTGCCCATAGTACTGGCCCGAGTCCCCACAATACAATGGGGGGCTTGTTATCTAACACTGGCCGCGAACGTTGTCGTGTATGCCACTCTGCTGGGATTTTTCCTTACTTTCGATCAAGATGACTCTGACTACAGCATGTGGTAGATAAAGGAGGTTTTGCAATGCCAGTTTGCTGAAATAAGTGGAACAAAAATTGAGGTTTCTTGAAAAAATAATTCCAAAACAACAAACTTCTGATAGATATGAATACTCAGTTATAGGATACATTTTTGAATTGAATTTATTATGAAGGGGGTTGGATTTGTATTTGTAGGTTTGGAATGCTATTTTTTTTTTCTTAATATATTCTACTTATTTTCTAGGGAAGTATTTGTAGTGTAGAATAATACTTGTGCAATTACTTAAAAATATCCTTGCGGAACCTCGCTTCTTGTTCAATACATCGAAGTGTAAACTGGTAAATTTATACACTAATAGATGTAAGAGTAATACTGTATTTTGTAAAGTGATTTATTTTCATTCTGTAGGTTGACATAGAAATATTTGTACACTGCATAAGCGTTAATTTAGGGTAGTTTTTGTACTTATTTAAGTATTTATAATTTTAATTTAGATTTATTATAAAACATAATTTCATTGTGTAAAAATTAATAAACGGTTATTTTATTATTAGTAATTTTTTTATTACCAAGGTATTACTGCGAGGGGAGGAAAATATCATAAAAACAAGGACTTCTAATATAACTTTAATTCACAATAAATCTATTCTGCAATAATTTATAAATAAAATAGATCAAATTTTTATACAGATATTCCATAAATCAAAACATGAAGTGTTTTATAGAATAAGCGTAAGAATATTCGTCGACAACAATACTAATCAGCTATTTATTGATCACAACAAACTGATCAATCACATAAATAATGCAAGCGAAACTTTTGCTTTATAGAGAGTGTATTTAAATAACACCGAAAAAATTTAAGGGGTGATTCTGTGATGAAAATTGAAGTGGGTACTCGCAATCAGTACAAGTTTTTTGAAAAAGCCCTTCCGAAAAAGTACTCCTCCAAATATTGAAAAAAAGGCTAACCAAAAAAAGTTTTTTCAAAACATTTCACTATTATTTAGATACACTCTGTATAGCCGAATTATAAACGAGCCGTATACTTTTTAGGGGCCATTGTGATATTTGGAAGTTTGAAGCAAAAAGAGTTTTTGTTTTAAAAGGGAACGGCGAGCGGAAAAAGTTGAAATAGCAGGGAGAAATTTTAATTAAAAAGTTTTGAATGCCAAAAATTCGCTAGATGAGTCAATAAAAACCAGGCGCAAATTGCGAACTGTTACTTATTGATAATGCCCAAAATAGAAACTCCGGTGACATTTCTTTCTTGAAATTTATGGTTCAGAAGGTGAAATTGTGGTAGATATTAAAGCAAAAAAAACCATAATCCCGAAATTAGGTCAAAACTTTTTAACTAATTTGCCTCAATCCTTGTTCTAAATATTACCCGCAACAAACAAAAGTTTCTTTAATCCTTTGTGGAAAAATTACAATAGCAAAGGCCTTTTTTTAATATTTCTAAAAAACTCCCAAATCCCTTACAAAGAAAATTTCTGTATTTTTTCTATGTAACTATCATTAAATAATTATCTAGTTGTAAAAAAATGAAAAATTATTGGTTATTGTTAATTGAATTATTGTCACTTCATATTTCGATATAATTCGCAAATAGGTAGACATATTTTTATCAAACTAGATTTACATAGATTTAATAGAGAGGGTAACAAAATTCATTAAAAAAATTTTTACACCTTATAATTTGTTTTCTAATAAATACTCTTTTATCTTATTTTGCAGTCAAACTTTTCTACCTTCGTTTAAATAGGTAAGAAATTTGTAATTATAAATATTGTTACCCCAACTCTTGCGCAGTGCTTTGAAACAGCATTTCGAAATGTTTTCAAGCTCTTTTGACCGCACCAGCGTATAATTAAAAAGTATTATCGATATAACAATAATAAATTTTGTTAATAAAGGCAACTACAAAATGTTAAAATTCCAATTCTCTTTTAAATATAGCGGGTTTATTAAGTAGTAACGAACATATAAAATCCGTTCAATTTAACTAATATTAAAATATATCTATTAGAATAGATTATTTTAAAAAGTTGAGCTTATGTTCATTTCATGGTGAAATTAGTTGAATTCGGGGGTCCCTTTTAATTCAATATAAGTAAAATAATTGCTTAATATTAATTTATTCCCGATTTTATAACTTATTTTAGTTTCATAACGCATAAGTAGAAGTTACAATTTGATTGAAACAATTCTTAATTGGTACTTTCGTATCCTAATAATCGCGGAAATTTTGATTAACTTTAACATTAATTAATGGTCATTTTGTGCGTCATTTAAATAAAAAAATATACTCAATATAATTTTCTTATCACAGTTGTTTCACCATGAAACGTTTGATTGACCATGGACATTAGACTACTAAATATATTCATGATTATCTCCTCTAAAGCTTCTAAGTAGCACCTACTTGTTAAAATTTATATTTTTTTCTCTTTTATAATCCCTCTAAATTCGAGATATTGTCTAAATATTGTCATTTAAGTTCAAATATTGTCTTTTTTCCTAGATTTGCAAGTATTGTCAACATGTATTTTTTATTGTCTAGGTATAGTCTGTACCTATTTAGGCTGTATTCTTCAGAGTAACTAATATGGAACATGTAATAAGTATGCAGCAATAATTTAAATTAAGAATTGAAGAGCATTAAATTTCGAGAAATATTTAGCTCAGTATATTTTTTTGATTTATCATTTATTTGATATTCGTTAGCCGAAGTTACTCGTTAGAAATGGCCTTAAACATATAAAATATCTATCTAAAGGCGTATAAGGAATATTTTTCTAAAAATTCTGGAAGCAAACGTTAAGTTACAAATCCAATCTCGACATATTCAAAATAGTTCTTCTTTGATTGTTCGAACATTTTCGTATATAGCAGTACTTTTTATTAACTCGAGTGAAAATATGTATCGGATATGTTTCAAATTGTTATTACCTCCGGTTTCAATTTCTAATTTATTTCCTCATAAAAAATCATTGTATATTGGAGTTTTCCATCGATTTTTTTTACTGTTCAACCAAAATAAAATGAATGTTTCTGTTCCACACGGACCGGAGTAAATTTTAATTTTATAAAGCTCCTTTTCCAAAGAAAATATTATTTTAGGAGTTTACAACAACTGCCTTAATATGTACTCGTATATCACAAGATTGGAAAAAGACCACTTTTTATGTATAAGCAAAATATGGCACTACTGGAAAATATATTAATCACAGTTCTCTAAAGGTATATTAAACATGCCTGACGGTGTTATTGATATTACGGAAGCAAACATTCTCATTGGAGTAGGCGCATCGTTCTGTACAAACTTAATTTATCTACATAATAAAAAAAATCCTGTTTGCTGCCTAATACTCTTAAAACACCTTATATTAAACATCTTAGAGCCGGCGCTCATTCTTCGGATCCAGTAATAAAACTTTAAATCCCTATTCCGAAGAGCCTATAAGAAAAGTATTAAGGAGGATCCGCCGGCATTTATTAGGTACCTAGGGGGCACACCTAATTAAAACGAAAACTTAAATGGGTTTACAAAGTAATTCGATCCATCAAACATAAATGCCACTAATTTTCATTACAATTATTTTTTACGGCACCTTAAATTATCCTCTACTACCGTGACGTTTACACGCGCAAACTACGCGTTTTATTGACTTTATAAATCATTTTGTTTTTCTCCTATAAAAAATTCGGCTGAATAAATTTACTTGCTTAATCATTCCTTATCTAGTACTCATTTTGTGGTGCATTAAAGACGATTAATGTAAGTGTAATTGTACAAAAACAGTATTTCTTATCCCCTCCAATTATGAGTTAATTGAGACGCAGTTGATTCATTTAAAAATGAATGGTTTGGCTTTAACTGCATTCAAAAATATACCGGGTGTTTATTAAATCAAATTAAGGGCTTTTGAGAAATTGGCAATGTTAAATTGGTACATTTGAGAGTTTAAATTGGAGTCATTTAACCATCTGGAAAAGCCAATTATTTACCATTTGTCCATTTATTGGAGGCATTTGTTAGCAATATTTCAAGAAAAGTCTTTAATGATTTATAATCACCAGATATAGGATATGTGTATACTGTGTTTTACATTACAAGTTTTCTCTAGGATTATATCTTCCAGATAACTTATAATGTAAAATAACAGCGATATGAACGAAAGGAAGGAATTTACTGTATTATTCACTTGCTGGTTTAAGAAATTATTACCCAAAATCGATTTCAACTTAACAATAAAATTAGATTGGCGATTAGAGTAGATACCTAATTGTGTAAAATTTCAATTAGGCTAAGTACATTAGCTTCACTTTTAAACCCAATTAAATTTATAAAGCCTTTTGAATTAGCTATATACCTAACGGTTTACACCTACACATTTGAGCAATTATTTGTAATTTCAAATATAAATCCCGTAGAAACAAATACGTAGCCTAAAAATGTTCCTGAGATATTTAAAAAACCCAACGAAACGACAATACACTATACTCAAATGATATGAAAGGTTGTATGTCAGATATGACTTCATAAGCCGTGTAAGCTTTAGTAGAATTTTAAATAGGTTATTAAAATCGTTGATTTGTTGTCACGTTATTGGTAAAAGACGCTAGCAATATCTTTCAACGACGCTTATAGAGACTTTGTGCATCTGTCTCATGGCGTTGGATCACCTGCCCGTATCGATTTCCGTCAGATCCCTGCCTTTGGTTTCCGGTACACAGCAAACAATAAAACACAATCCGCATATCGATATGAAAGCGTACAGCCAAAAAGCCCCGTACAGTCCCAGCAACTCCTGAAAATCCACGAACGTTTTCACCCCCACGAAGGCGCAGAAATAACTGAAACCAGTAGCCAGGGCCGTCCCGAAACCGCGGTGCTCCAACGAAAACAGCTCGCTGACCAACAACAAACTAATGGGACTTATTCCCAAGGAAAAGGCTACGGTGAAAACCAAAACGCAAAGCAACGGTATCCAATCCAAGTTCGGATTCGATTTCGGGTGAATTTCTTCGTAATACGCGAAAGAGCCAAACGAGGCCAAGGCCATAGTCATAAGAACGCTAGAAGCTACCAGCAGCGGCAACCGCCCCGCCGAGTCCACCAGCAGCCCGGAGAGCAACGACGACAGCAGCTGCACCACGGCCACGGCGACGGCGGCGTTGTGCGGATTCGTGTGGCCGAACGTCTCCTTGAACACGCTCACCGCGTAGAAGTAGAAGGCGTTCGCGCCGGAGAACCGCTGGAAAAACATCAGGCCGCACGCTATCAGAGCGGGGCTCTTCAAGCTGCGGAAGAGCTTGGCCGGATCCTTGCGCGCCGGCCGCGACAGCACGTGCGCCTGCAGGAGCGCCAGCTCCAGCTGCAAATCGGCCGCTTCGCCGCGGAGCCACCGCAGCGCCTTCTCGGCCTCGGCGTCCTGGCCGCGCAGCACCAGCCAGCCGGGGCTCTCCGGCACGTTGATCAGCAACAGGCACATGAAAGCCGGCACCAGCGATATGCACCCGGCCAGTTGCCACCAGTTCAGAAACGCGCCGCCGATGAACGATACCAGCACCCCCACGTGCCCGGCGATCTTCAGCAGAGCGCTCAAGCCGCCTCTCACCGAAGGCGCGGCGATTTCGCTCACGTATACCTGCGCGCTTAGTTGCACGATGGCCACCAGGAAGCCGCTGATGAACGCCGAGAAGCACATTATCTCCACGTTGGCCGCGAACAGAGTTAGAATCCAGCAGAAGGTGAGCGGGACGCCGGCGAATACGAGGGTCTTCCTCCTTCCCCAGCGCACCGCTATGCCGCCGACCGGAGCGCCGAACAGCGCTCCCAGGAGTGATAAGGAGGCCAGCCAGGAAGCCTGCTGGCCGCTGACTGGGAAGCCGGCGGCGTCGCTCTGTTGGAGCGAGGCTATTGCTGGTGAACTGTAGCCTTTGCCCAGGCCCGCTGCCAGAGGTCCCAGGGAGACGGCGAGCGATGCTAGCACTTGTCCGCAGTATTCGGATCTCTGGGTGATGAAGATTTCGCCGTTAGGTCCTGCCACCTGCAACAAGCGTGAGTTTGTATTCGATGCGAAAATTGATTCTAGTTTGGCAAGTTTGCAGTGTAAGGATAGTGGATTTCATCGTGGACAGAGTGCCACAGCTATTGAACAAATGTGGACATAGGAATAGAACAAGAACGGGTGAAAATGTATCTAATCATTATAAAATTGCTCTATAGAAAGGGAGATTAGGACTGAACGCAATATAGTAATTATACTGGAGAAAACGCGGAAAATCCATTTGTATGCTCCTCCACCATTTTTATAAATGAAATCGCTGTGTAATTAAGGTATGCATTCATAACAGAGGAGTTGTAGCTATAAACGGAAAACTTCGTTGAATGAAGTTAACATTTTTCGCCCGGAGAAAGCCGTCAACACACAAAAGCGACGTGACAAAAGTTTCAGCTGAATTTTAGTTACAAGCGAAGTTAGAGGAGATAAGACATTAACGTAGTTACAAGTAAAGTTTTATCAATTTCATAGTCCATTAGAGGGAGATTTTCGTTTGCAGTCCCGGCAGGTTTTTTGCTAAATTTTTTTTGTATATCGACGCCGCGTTTCCGTCGAATATCGGCCCCTAACGCCGATAAAGCCTTTAATCCTTTCAAAACATTTCCGAATTCGGCCTTGCTTATTTACTTTTCCTAACTGGAAGTTTCGCTCCAATTTCTATCGGCACGTCGAACCGAAACCAATCGATACGCGTATAATAGCTATAATATTCCAAGAAAACAAAATTTAAAAAAAATACCATCAGTTTAATGCGGAGCGACGTGGAAATTCAATAAATTACGCGGCGCGTTCGGAAAAAATCAGGTAATGGAAATAACGTCGAACACAGCGGAAATGGAAAGGTCGGCATTTAAATTTATTATCGCAATTTCAACTAGGACTTTTTATTTTCGAAAATGTGCATTTAGAATATTTTACTGGCGTTAAATTTTATACAGGAGATTTACTACAATATAATAATCGTAATAGTGTATGATACGTAAGTATGTATTTGTACATTAGTTTATTTGCAATAAATCCTCTAGGTAATGGGTTATTAAAAAGTGATAATTTGCTATTACTTTGCTTCTGTGGACCTATAATAATTTTTCTATTGTACATGTCTTTGTTAAGTAGCAAAAATTAAAAAAAAAGTATACATTAGAGCTCGAAAATAAAACACACCTATTCACTAAATTATTTAGAGAAGCTTGGAGGAAATCGATTTTAATAAAAAAAAGCCCAAAACTCAGCTATATTTGACTAAAATTCCAATACACGTAACGCTTCCTCAGGGGTATTATATCCAAATTACTATATATAATCAAACTGTACATATAAGACACTCTGTAGACATATAATAATTTTTCTATTGTACCTTTTATTGTATATGTCTTTGTTAAGTAGCAATAAATAAAAAAGTATATATTAGAGCTGGAAAATAAAACACACCTATTCACTAAATTATTTAGAGAGTGTAAACTTGGAGGATAATCGATTTTAATAAAAAAAGCCCAAAACTCAGCTATATTTGACTAAAATTCCAATACACGTAACGCTTCCTCAGGGATATTACATCCAAATTACCATATATAATCAAACCGTGCCTATAAGACACTCTGTAGACATATAATAATTTTTCTATTGTACCTTTTATTGTATATGTCTTTGTTAAGTAGCAATAAATAAAAATGTATATATTAGAGCTGGAAAATAAAACACACCTATTCACTAAATTATTTAGAGAGTGTAAACTTGGAGGATAATCGATTTTAATAAAAAAAGCCCAAAACTCAGCTATATTTGACTAAAATTCCAATACACGTAACGCTTCCTCAGGGATATTATATCCAAATTACTATATATAATCAAACTGTACATATAAGACACTCTGTAGACATATAATAATTTTTCTATTGTACCTTTTATTGTATATCTCTTTGTTAAGTAGCAGTAAATAAAAAAGTATATATTAGAGCTGGAAAATAAAACACACCTATTCACTAAATTATTTAGAGAGTGTAAACTTGGAGGATAATCGATTTTAATAAAAAAAGCCCAAAACTCAGCTATATTTGACTAAAATTCCAATACACGTAACGCTTCCTCAGGGATATTACATCCAAATTACCATATCCAATCAAATCGTGCCTACAAGACACCCTTTCCAATCCATTAAAACCAACAATCCCATCAACCTTATCATCATGCACACATCCCTCATTAGCCACACGTTCCCCATCAAGCGCTATCGCTACGTTAATTGCATCCAATACTCACCGTGTGTGCATAAAAATTCCGCGTCATTATCGATAAGGAATGCACGTGCATCGCGCTACATTGCGCGCCAACTATTTACTGCCCGCTGGACGCCCGACAGTCCCGACGATGTCCTCCAAGTACGCGGGGCGTAATTGCGTGCGGGCGAAAGTGGCGGCGGCACCGATTTTTAGGGCATACTCGTTATTCGGGCGATTTTCACAGCACTGCGAACCGGGATTACTCCATAACGTCGGGTTCGGCGTGCGCGCACGGGCCTGGCCGCTACCCGGCGTCCCGTCGCAGAGCAGGATCCGGGGGATGCTGACGCAAGCGGGTTTTCGGTCGGGCGCCCGATCGTCGAGCGGGAATCGAAGCGGGATAATCGCGCGCCCCGCGGCGCTGCCCGGCTTTATTCCCACGTTCGAACATCGCCGGATGGAAATTCCGGGAGGAAATTTGAAATAAAAGATGCGAAATGTGTGTACGGGGTGGGCTCTAATTGAATGCGCATTCATGAAGAATGCATTTTGATAATATAGATGACCGTAACCTACGGTTTGTAAGAGAGGTGTTTTCGAGCAGAAAAAGTAGATAAAATATTTCAAAAACGAATCGACAGATTTTACCATTTTTCTTTGTTATAATCAGAAAAAGAAAACCTTTATAATGATATATCAGACAACCCATATGTTCCCTATTCAATTTTGAATGTTTGGAGTTTCTGGTCGAATGTAGAAAATTCATTTGCTACATGTAAACACCTCATCTCTTCCCTTTTCAATGTGACACTCTGTAGAGAATTTTCGTGCAACTACTGGAATATAGCAATATTTGAAGGAATTTACTATTGTTAATTAATTTTAGTACCCTCTATATTCTATAGTTCTACGGATAAGTGAATGAAAAGGGGAAAATAAAATAAAACCGCATTGAAGTTTCTAATCGCATTAAAGTATTAAATATTCCCATTAAAGTAAGCCGAATAACAAACCAAATGAGTGAATCCTTAAAACCTAGTAGACCGTAGAGATTATTAAACTAAATACATCGTTTTTTGATAGTGTTAGTGAAGATAAATTCGTAATTTCTGCGTAGGAAAATGCTGCTTATTCAACCAACCTTTACCAAACTGGAAACGTAGATAATAAAGATATGAGAGTAATGGGAGGGATATACGGAAAAAAATGAAAATTTCCGGAGACAAAGAAGAGTGAAATCCAAAAGGATTGTGCTTGATACGCACATCAATGAGTATACACGGATGATATAAATAGAAAATTATAGCATTCCTATAAAACGAATACATTGGTCAAAATAGAAAAATGTATTTTTCAATCAACTTTCTTTATAATAACAATAATTTCCATGCCATAATAAAAGCACGAATTCTTAATTCCTACATCCCTACACTTATTTATACGGATCAGAAATCCTGCAATCCAACAAATAACAAAAATTGCCTCGCAATACTTTTAATGAACTGTCAAGAAAGAACAGCCGAAGAATTCTCGAGTGCAAGTGAAAACGAAATTGTTCCGAACTTTTTCGAGCGAACACCGCCATTCGCCAAACAATCCAATTTCATTTACTCCCGTCTTATCATTCATGCGGAAACGGGAGCTTCTTGCACGGGACATGCAAGCAAAAATCGCGGACGATTTAAATTCAATGGAGCCCGTATAAGCAACACAATAATAAATTTGTCGGTGCGGTCTAGACCACCGCATCGGAGCCTTCGGGTCGATAGAGATGCCATCCAACCCCTGTTTTCCAGAGACGGGCTATTCCGAATTAATTGTAAGCGATGAGCTCGCCTCGAGGGGGCTCGAATAATTACTATAATGACATTTTTTGAGTTATTGAAGGCTTCCAACATGTTTTGCTAGTATTATGACTAATTAATATTATCACTAAGAATTTAACTGTATAATTACTACCTATATAGTTTCATTATCTTTGATAAGAGCAGCGATTAAGTGTGTGAAACGGGTTCAAATTTAACAATGCTTTCTCGATAGTGTTTGTTCGAGATCAACTCGGTATTTGCAGTTGTATTACACTGAAAAAAACATTATAATATATAAGAATTTAAATGGTTTTTAGTAAGTGTATGCAATAACTCTATCAAGTAACTATGGGTGCTGTTCTGGCTGTACTGGGTGTTGACGAGCCCGTTTCCTACGAGCCTCCATCTAAGAAAATCCTGTGTAACATATACGGAGTTCAAATAAGTTTAGCGCACATAACAACGCTACTAATAAGCGTGATTGGTAAGCGGTAACAACGCAAGAGAAATCGCCAGATACTTAAATTCGATTGTTCCAGTGTTAACTCTAACGATTCTGCTGGAGTACGGGACCATTCCGGCGGTGCAGCAAGGATTCTACTGCGGCGATCCGCAATATTCGCACAAGTACAAAGGCGAGACCGTCACTCCGGAAATTCTGGGAGTGACCGCCGTCCTGGTGCCGCTCTTCATAATAATATCCACCGAACTGCTCGCCTACCAATCCTTCAGGAAAATCAACCCCTACACCGTGGTTTTTTACATGCAGGAATGCATCGTCGGCGTGGCCCTAGTTCTCCTGCTGACATCGATAACCAAAGTCATCGTCGGTGAACACAGACCCCATTTTTTCGATACCTGCCAGCCGGATACGGCAGTCAATTGCACCGCGGGACAATTCGTTGAAACGTTTACTTGCACTTCAGAGTACTCTCAAATATTCAAAGTCGATTCCTCGCTTTCGTTCTTCTCGGGACACTCGTCGATTTCTTGGTTTATTGCGATATATTTGTGCGTAAGTATACACAATTCGACAGGAATAATTGTAGAATACAGTTATTTCTACACCTGCAAATTTGTTTGCAATATGGTTAATTTTACGAGTTGAACAGAGAACGATCCCTTAAACTTAATAATGGATATTGTCTTTCTTACACCCATATTGCATACAAATTTGCACTTAACTGCACCCGTAAATTAAAACTACTAAAGTTTCCTCCTCCGTATACTAAAATCCGTTGGGAATTAATCATTTTCAGTACATCATTCACGTTAGAACAGTGACAGTGAATGCTGGATACATCATTAAGCCTTTCTTGATATCGCTAGTGCTAACGTGGTCGCTGCTCTGCTCTCTATCGAGGATTACCGATAGAAGACATCATTGGTGGGACGTGCTTACTGGAAGCCTGTTCGGCATTTGCTCTGCGCTTTATTTCGCGGTAGTGGTTTACGAGAAGATGAAAAAGAACGATCCTTTGGTGCGTTCGTACAAGCTAACGGAAGAAATACCGCTGTCGATACATCATAGAAGTGCGTTGTGAATTGGCTAGAAGATTTTGTTGTTTGAGTAGATATTTATTTTTTTACTTGTTCTTGTTACGTTGAAAAGTCCAAAAGGCTATTTGTTTATAGGTTTATTTAGTAAAATTCATTTTTTATTAACACAATTGTATTTTTTAACATTTTAGGAAATTTACCATGGCTTATTTACAACACTAATATTTAAAGAGCTTCATTCTTATCTGACATGATTCGAAATACTAATGGTATCTAGGTATATTGCTTTATTATGAAATGCATTTGGAACAATAGATGTTCAAATAAAAAATAAGATTATGAAACACGTCCCACGATATTTCGAGTTTACATTATAATATCATTCGACATTATCACGAAGATTTCTCATTAATTATACAGTTCAAAAATACATAGCCGTAAAATGCGCGATAAATAATCTACTTTTATGTACTAGTAATTTTACCAGAGCGCATTCGATCTGTAAAAATTTGAGAGCTGGTAAAATGGCAGGCCTATTTATAAAAAAATAAAACGAAATAATTTTAAATTTTCAGTAGGTACTCATAATTAGAGAACCATCATTCTCTTGCCTCATTATATCTACTGCAATCGTCAATACTAATTAATAATAGTTATTATTTTGCAACATTTAAAGAGACATTTTCAACAGTTTTGAGAATCTACTTATCTTTAATTATGCAATTCTCCATCATAAAAAAGAAACCCATGAACTTAAGCAAATGAAACTTACAAACATTATTAAATTAACATTCACACTAAGAGCTCCATTTCCTGCTATACCAAAAGCGATAATGTTGTCAATGGTTTTCTCTATATAATATTTGGAAGTTCTGTTGCCTTCGTTAATATTGGTTTCAAAGCGAGATTCTAAAACCGGAGCTAAATGTTTAGTTAAAGATACTGGCAAATAATATCCTTCATCATCACGAGGGACACTAAATTCTACAGAAATATATGTAAAGTTTGTCTTTAAATTCGTGTTTCTACTGCCGCACGATCTCAAATCTGGCGTTTCACAGGCGACGAGAGAGCACAATTTTATGTTCACTGGTTCCCCGATTGTTGCAGGACCATTGTAAGCCATTATCCTGAAATATCCGGACAAATACTTGATTATTTTTTGCAGTGCAAAATGTTACTTACTGATAAATTTCAGATGAATTTAATCCACTCGAGGAAACAAAGATTTCGAATGTACAACAGAAGCCCTTATAACAGATGTCTTCTTTGATAACCAATTGGGATAAATTTAATTTTTTGAAGGTGTATATCTTGAAATCAAAGTATTTTTTTGAGTAATAGTTGCTCAAATTTGCCCCCTTATTGTCGAAATATTTTAGTTGGTGGTTAATCTAAAAACAGCTAAATAAATATGTCTTCTTAAATTTGTCTAATTGTCTAATTACATTTTTGGTATTTTTGGCAGGAGCTACTTTTTTAACCGTAGCAATTTGAAGTTTACTCCCTGCGTTTCCTGAAATGTAATAACTGAGAACACTTCCATTACCACCGTATATACCGCTTCCTCCCACTCCGTATTTAACGTTATTAATATTGGCAGCCAGCAGGTTTACTTTATTTGCCAGTGAATATCCGAATTGGACTGTTAATGCTAAAAAACCCAATTTTAGTAAGGATCCTGAGCATATAAAAATTGTACATGCGTACAGTGGAAGAATGGCAAGATTGATAGCCAAGCGGTGGGAAAAATAACATCTGTTACCGAAGGATTATTTAAAATCCTAATTGCCGGGTCGTAATACACGATGTCGAAGCAAGTGAATATTCCGAAAGTTACACCAAAATCTGTAGTGAATACATTATGATTCTGATTGAAATCGCCTGGGGTTAAATAAGATTCGCGGAACAGATTAATTTTTCTATACCTAAAAAAAAACGAGATAATTGCCGTATTTCGCAATTTACATTGGTAATAGATGAGGTTTTAATTTACCTGGAAAGCGATTTTCCGTTCCCTATACCTTACTAGATTAATTTTTTACCTATTGCATACTTACTTAGCGACCAGTTTTCCATGGCTATCGAAAACAATAGCAGCATTGTAGTAAACGATATTGTTGTTTTCATCGTACGATTTCTCCAGTAAATTGAGTGCTACATAGATTGAATGAGTTAAAGCGGCGTTGGACAACCTTTGTAGCCACTGGAACGTTCGAAGAGTGGATATCAATTAAAGTGCATTGTCCCAAAGGGGGTAACTTACAGAATGCGAATTCGTGGTGGTCGATGGGGGATCTGGAATTTCGATGGCAGCATTCGTAACGTTTGGATACCAGCCGGTGAGGCCGTACTCGGGAAAGACGATTATTTGGGCTGATCCTTTCTTAAAACGTTGAACAAAGTTATGGTGCATTTTGTGATTGTGAAATTACTTACTTTTGCAGTTTTTATAAAATTAACAAACTGCTGTAAATTTGATTCTACTGTTGCAATTAAATCTAACTCGAATAATGGCTGGTACTCGACTACAGCAGCAACGTAATCCTAAAAAATATTTATTTATTTTCTATTAGGTTAGAAAGCATTCAGGAATTAATATTTTTTTAAATATTAAAAGTGTGGAGAACTTAACTAAAATTTGTAAATTGATAAATTTTAACATACCGCATAACTTTGTCCAAATATTGAAAGAGTCAACAAAAATAACTTCACGCTTGCCATTATCGCCGCAAATTTCTACTAAGAATAACTTTTGTTGAAATATGATTTATATTCTTATCTAAAACACTCAAAGAAATTGAATGTTTATGTATAAACCGTGTGTATTGAAATCATTTTTATACAAAGACATGTTACACAAATATTAAGCGAAATTTTACAGTTTGTTTTATTTGTTTTCTCATATGAACGTAGGGTAAAAGTAAAAAAACTAGGTACCTAATAGTTTCTGTAATAAATTTAACTAGTAAATGATTAATAGAAATGTTTTAAGCATTAGTTAAAAATATTTATGAAAGTAGCTATTTGCAAAAGAATTAGTTAGAGTTATCTGATCGAATACAAATTACAATACTACCTAATGTGTTACAAAAAATTTAATAAAAAAATGACTTATGAAAAATGATCTAAATATAGAAGTAAAAGTTTGAAATGATTTATGTTGCGTATTAATTTGGATAATGACAGGAATATCTTTGAAATATTATAAGGCAATAAGATTTTAATTTTAACACTTACCTATGTAAATACAACTGAATATAATGTAATTCCTAAAAACATGCAAAATTAAACACTAACAACACAGAAATTTTGTGATTAATCAGCATGGTTACTATTAGTAATAAAATGTTCTATAATTACTATTTATTTTGTTACCGTTTTTTTAATTATATTGATTACGTGGATTAGATTCATAGAACACATATCATTTAACATAATATAAGCACCTAGTAGGCATAAATAATTGCCTGTATACGATGAAATAAAACTCCCAAATTCTACTTTTTGTATGTAGGTTCTATATTTTTGACCTCTATTAATTATACAGTAGGTAATACAATCATCCTGTCAAAAATGATACCATTATTACAAAAACTGATTACAAATGCAACTCTACAGCAGCAAATACATTAACATACAATTAAATTTTTACACAAACCAATAGGTTATATATAAAATACCAACAAGCAGAATATTGTTAAAAGCAACAACAACACCTCCGTTGGCTATAAACCCGAAAGCGATAAGGTTCTCCTGTTGGACGTCTGTCGCCCAATATTTCGAATTTCTGACCGACTTTTTAACGGAAGATTCCATCTTGGTGTTACGAACGGGCACCATCTCTCCAGTCAACGAAATCGGCAGGACATATTGATGGGGATAATCCGGAATGTTGGTTTCAACGGTTATGGAATTGAATTTTGTGGTCGTTTTAACGTTTCTGCCGCCGCAGGATTTCACGTCGTCGTTTTCGCAGGACACCAGCGCGCATATTCTAACGTCCTTTATTTCGCCCACTCTCACCTCGCCTTTGTAAGCCATTATTCTACAAAATTAACAATTTTCTATTTATCCCTTCAAAGTCTATAACATAATACAATATCAATTGATCAGGTACATATTAGGATTCTCTCTTAACAGGTCCTTACAGCCCGATTTGCTGGGATATTAAGGCAAGAATGATCGGCATCTTTTGCATCATTTGCATCTTGAAAAAGCTACTTACTTGAATATATCTGAATTATTAACGGAATTCTCAGTGACGTTAATATTGAAACTGCAGCAGAAATATTTCTGGCATACTTCTTCTTTGATGGCCGATCGAGAGAGATTTATTTTCCTGAATTCATATTTGTGGCTTTCGAAGTATTTGGATGCGTTGAAATCAGCCAATGTGGGTACATGTCCGGGTATAGCTTTTAAAGCGAACGTTGTCTAAAATCCCCAATTAAATCAAATTCAATCACTTATAGTTTGCTAGTACTCACAAAAGGAGTTTCTGGTTGGGCATTTTTCACTGTAGCAACAATCAACTTAGTTCCCGGTACACCTGAGATGTAACTATCAAAAATAGTGCCATCAGCACCGTAAATACCGCTTCCTCCTAGGCCTTCTTTCACATTGTTCAGATTAGCGGCCAGCAAATTGACTTTGTTAGCCAGAGCATAACCGTGCTGGGTCGATATAGCTGCAAGTTGAACAAAAAACCATCACCCATTCGAATCTGCTATAATTAAGGAAAAATGCACTTACAGTGATAGAATGGTACGCGCGATTTCCAAGCAGCCGTGTACACTACATCTGTGACATTATTGAGCGTCACGGATTTAGCAGGATTGTAGAAGTTAATGTCGTAGGATATGAAGGTGCCGAAGGTTACGCCGAAATCGGTGGTGAAGGTTGACTGTGGTTGTATCGAGTTCTTGCCGGCTGATGTAATGGCTGGTTCATTGTATACGTTTATTTTACGGTACCTAGAAGCTCAATGGAAGTTGAAATGCTCACTAGCAGTGCTGGGTATAGCACTTGTCGATGGAAAAGTTGGGGGAAATTTGGTGAATATTATGAGAAACTGATGAGGAATCCCTATTAGGAGGAGAATTGAGGGAACTTTGTATCAGGTATTCTGGAAGACTTTTACCCAAATTTGCTTCTATTATAATTTAAATATAATTTAGTATAAGTGACTTACTTTGCAACAATGTTACCGGCTTTTCCGAATACTACGTTAGTGTTATAATAAATTGAGTTGTTGGATTTGTCTCTTTCTTGTTCATATAAATTAACTACTACGTACATCTGATTAGCCACGGCAGCGTTAGATAGTACTGTTAACCACTGGAAATAATTAGTAAATTTATATAAAAGATGGAAAATGGTGGAAATTTACGAATGCAAGAAGGAAAAAATCTTTAAAATTTTTAATATATGTATTTACGATAGCATAATTTACTTACGAAGTTACTAAAATTGGTTGCACTTCCTGGATATGGGATCTCTATAGCGTATTGGCTTGGAGATTCGACTTTTCCTGTTAGACCGTACTCAGGAAAAACAATGATTTGAACTTCTTTATCCTAAAAATGTGAAAATTATTAAATTTTAGCGTAGGTGACTAATTTTTATATAATTTTATAAAGTACTTCAAGTATGTAAAGTATAATTGCACCAGCATAACCATTAGTATAACCAGATTTCTAATCGTTAATTTATTGATACGTACCCGAGCTTTTTCAATAGTTTCGACATATTGTTGTAAGTTTCCTTCAACCCTTTCATTTGGATTCTGACCTGTTATAGTCTCAATCTCTACCACACCTGCTACATAGTCCTAAGAAAAACAAAATTATAACTAACGAAGCCGAAAGAAAACATTAAACACTATTAAATGGTAGGTCTTAATAGATTCCAATAATTTTAAAAGACTTAATACTTCAGAAGGTCTAAAGAAATATCTAGAAACTCTTTTTTCTGTGAATTTCCAGCCACATTGAAATCAAAATGAAAATTACACTTGCATATAAGTTCCTGGAATATCGGGAAAAATTGGCAGAATCGAAATAATCTTTCCAAGAAAAATATCTGATAGTAATATCTACTCATAACATATGTATAATCCGTTGTATTAGCCTAGTAAAATTATTATTCCAATAAATTCACATATTTGATTTGCTAGATCGAAACGTTCTTTTTGAAGTTAGTCACACCTGTATTTGCTGTGTATAGATAAATTGCCACAATCTAAAAATAGAATAGAGCGTTATACCTACTTTTCCAGAATTATTTTCAAGCTCGATTAGAAGCTATGGTAAATGGCATAATAGTAAATTCAATGAGTTGAACAATGTAATTAGTAAAATAAAAGTGGTTAGAATGAAAAAGTTTCAATCACACAATACCACTCTTTCTCTTTCCTTCATATCAGGCATAGATGATGTTTTTGTTGCACCCATGGACCACATTCCAAACAATAATTTACGAATTGATAAATGCGTTTAGAATAGATGAAACCCAAACCAATTCTAGCCGCCTAACCTAAGTACCTAGTTTTGTTATCTTAAGTAAATAGAATAAAAATTCGGTTGCACAATGCCACTGAATCGTTTTAGCAAGTTAAAATAATAAAAAAAATAACTTACAGCCTTTGTGAATCCCACTGTGCAGACAATAGCCAAATATAGCAAAAATAATTTCGTGAACGACATCATGGTTATTGCAAGGCTTTTTTCGTAATGGGATCCGAGATTCGCCAATCAAATTGAGTACCCCCGATGAATCACCTTATCAGATAAATAAATATACCTATGTACCTATATTGTCAATAGGTGTGAGTTTATCTTTTGAACAAAATTTTCGTGCGTAATTTTTAATGCTTGTTAAAGCGATTTTACACAATGGGCAACGTGTAGCATGCAACAGACATTGGGAAAGTCTCCAGTCGAACAAACAAGTTTTTATAGCGAGTTTATTGTAGCCTGTGAGTTACCATTTATACCAAAGCAACAAAATTGAGTTTGTATGAGTGCCTTATGTTCTCGATGAAACTGAAATATGATGAAATATATTCAACTTTTTCCTGTTTTTCTTGAAATCGCTTAACTGGTGATTCAATAAAATTTCGTTATTTCAGTAATCTTCAACAAACATTCCATCACTACACCAAAAATATTCAAAATACAGACAAGACGTTTGAAATCGCACGAATAGTCGCCTATTTTTCCATCTGTTGTGGATCGGCGGCAACATTTTGTAGCAAAGGTCGCATGCATCAATGGCAACATGTTGTATGCGATAATGTTGCCTTGATGTAAGGCCGCCTTTACACTTTAATAATGACTTTACGATATTTGCGCTTATCTTGGAAGCCCTTTAAATCCAAGTAGATAATTATGTTATTATATTAATATCGTTCAGAGTTCCACGACCTTGAATTAATTGAGGCCCAATTGAAGAGTAGAAAAATAGCAATATTCATACTTTTAGTAGACATGTATTTATTAAAGGGAACAATTTTATCAAAATACAATATTTTTAATTCAATACATCATATAAATATAGTTTAATCGCACCTAGAGTGTTTAAATCATGACTAATACGCCATTCAGGCAGTAAATTTAAAGCTACAATATCCTTATGTTTGCAATTTAACATTTTTAATATAAAAATTGATTCATTTTAGTTTGCAATATGTTATAACTCTTATAACACTCTTACAACTGTTTTTTAATAATCTTTCTTTGCTGGAAACTCATAGGAATTACCAGATTGCAAACTGAAATGGACCATAGTGTATAAACGTCTTGCTATATCAAAAATTAAGTAATAGAACATTTCATACAAAAAATTAAGATTCTCAAAATCACAGATAGAAAACAATATAAAATACATTATTTTATAGTTAGAACATTCCTTCGTAAAAACTATAATTATTTTCTCTTAACAAATACTATAAAAATACACGCGATTTTATTTATATCGTTTATAAATATCAAAATAATATATCTTCTGTATTATGCTCATTATAAATATTGTATGTGAATATAGTGAATATGTGAACAACGTGTAAAGCTATATAATTCGAAAGCCTCTACAAATGCGAATAATTTTTTTAACAACACAAACCATTATAATTTATGCTTTAATGCAAGCCCTTTTTTACCTCAAAAAATTAAAACAATTTTGGCAAATCGCAACAGAAATAAATTATCATAATATGGCAGCTCGTTCAATAAATTTAATAACAATTTCCATTGTGGCCTTTGGAATCAAACATTTTGGTTTTCATTAAGCGCTTGAATCAATCGAAATGTGCATGACTAATTAAATATTCAATTGAATAGTGCACGATTTTGAAAGACAAATTAGAGCGATCGCCGGTTTTTTCTCTGCCTTTTCCTCCAAATTAAATAGCCAACGAGCAACACCACCAACGCTATGCACAGCAGCGTAATTATTACGATCAGAAACACGTTCGGGCCGGCTTCAGGACCGGCCAAGCTCAATACATGCACTATTCCAAACACCACAATATTCTCCTCTTTGGTTAGAGTTATAAGATTCGTGTCGTTGTTGAATACGAAATCTACAGGCAAATAATTCTGTTGCACGGCAATCGGTATGCTCTGATTTATTTTCGGTTTTTCGATAGTCGAGGAAATCGTCACGTTTCTAAACGATTTAGGCGTTACTAGAGCAGATTCTACTGCGAGAGCGCACACGAATACTTCCACTTCTTCACCTGCGAAGACTGTTTTATTCGAGAACGCAATCCACCTGAAAATAAATTTTAAATGTATAATATATAGGGAAAGTATAATGTTCGTACGTTTTAAAAAATGACAATAAAGTTATTATTACAGGTTGCTCCATTTTTGATCGCAACATAGGTTATATAGGCCATGGGTGCGATAAAGACAACTTCCATTAGACACTTACATATAAAGGAAAAGGAAAGAGTGACATTTGTATCATTGCAACTTTTCATTCTGACAGCTGTCATTTTAATAATCTTTCTTTGTTTCACTCATAGAAATGACCATGTTGCAATCGGAAATGGAACAATTGAAATGCCGATGCGTTGTTGTCATATTGTTAGTGTCACAATTCCGCTATTTGTAGTTGACAGGTTTTGACTAAAGTTTGTTGTTTTTGTGACTACCCAGCAATTTTTGTCTTTTTCTGGAGCATTCTAAATGATTCTAAGCAGTTCTAAATGACTCTGGTTTGCTCTAAATTAATGTGGACCGTTCTAAATGATTCTAGACAAATCTAAATGGTTTTGGATCGTTCTTAATGATTCTGAAGCGTTTTAAAAGATTCTAGATGGTTCTGAATCAGTTTTAAATGGTTCTAGAGCGTTTTAAATGATTCTAGGCAGTTCCAAATGGTTCTGGATGTTCTAAATGATTCTGGACAGTTCTAGATCATTCTGGAGCGTTCTAAATGATCCGCAGCGACTTTTGCCTTTGTCTTGTTTTTTTTTTCAAGTTTACGAGTAATATTTGTGTTTTTCGTGCGTTTTAGATAGTTTTTTAGTTTTTAGATAAAAAGTTTTACTGGTATTTTATTATGTATAGAACAACATGTGGGTAATTCAATTAACCAAGAATTGGGGAAATACCAGTAATTATTTAAACGTAAATAAACCTCATTAAGCAAACTAAATAAAATTTTACTAGTATTATAATTATAGCAGGTTAGTAATTCAATTTATCGAGAATTACGGAAATACCAGAATTTTACAGGTGAGTTTTTTTCGATGTTTAGTATAGGGATCTCGAAACTACTTATTATACGCTAATTAAATGCGGAAAACAATGCCAATTTTTATAAAAATTTGCATCAAAATAGATAACACAATCCTGCAATTTTTCCTATAAATAGAACGCATAGTTTACCACAAACACATAGCGTTATCTACGAAATACCCTTGAAATAAAATATATTTGTTTATCCAACAAAATGTAACATGGGTTTAGTTTTTAAGCAATTAAATGTCCGTTTCTTACTTGTACTCCTGCAATGTTTCGTCCGCAAACTCCGCAGAAAAATTACAGCAGACTTTGGAATCGACGCAATGATTAACAATTTTGCTCGTATCATTCAAACCAGTAATATTCATGTAGTCGAGACTTAGCTTCGGCATTTTTCCAAGAAATCTAGACGAGACCTTAAAGAATCAATTAAATTAATACGAATACAAAACACAAAAATTCCATTATTCTATCAACTTACTGTTACAACTGGTAAACGAGAGCTGACTATTGGAATGTCTTGTTGTATAACGGTACCCATTCCATCTGGTACGTTGTCGGAGCCATCAGGACTAAACGAAACTATGCCGGTTCCGTTACTAAGGAAAATTCCCGAGCCTCCGTAGTTATAGTAAGCTGGATTTTCGTTTTTTTGGTAATAGCCCGAAGCCAGTACGTTCACTCCGTTGGACACCGCGAAGCCTTGGTACACGCTGAAACCTGCGAAACGAACGTTGGAGTAAACGTGATTGCTTCGTAAAAAAATTAACTACCGACCAATGTTTAGAGGAAGAGAATTCTTAATGGCTGCCGTGACGATGACGTTATCGGTTTTAATTTCTTGTGGAATGGGACGAAGGAGATCATTGCCGAACAAAATGGTGAACGGAACAGATCCGTGCTTTTTAAATGTAGCAGTGAAGGAACAGTTCGAGTAGTTTGTACTTTCTTCGAAATTGGATCCGTTGACCAAGTGATGTTTTCTACATCTGTTAAAAATGATTGTTTGTTAAATTTTTTTACCGATAAGATTGAGTCGCTCAGCGCCAAAGTGGCCCAACAATGAGCTTTTCTAGTTCACTGATAGATATAGCTTGCATATTACTTGGGTCATTTGGACATATGTAGACTTGAAACTTAGACAATATGACACCAGCTAATTCAATTCGCAGTTGGGCGAATTTGGCGCTGAGCGACTCATTTGGGAACTTACTTTGCTCGGAGGTAACCCTTGGTATCAAAAGCAACAGTGGTTATGTAGTAATTATCATTCGATTGTTCAACAACGTTTGCCACCACATAAACGTTGTTTTCTTTGGCTGCACAGCTCAGCTTCACTAAATTTTCCTAAAATGTATTTAGTCAAACCTTCTACTTTGTTTCTTATCTCGGAATTACCTTCATTTTATTTTTGTGGCACGCCAATTCGCTTATGTTTCCCACTGTTGTACTTATTACCGGCAAGTGTTCTTTTATTTTATCGTTTGCATTAACCCCTGTTAGACCGTATTCGGGAAACACCAAAATATCAACCTAGAATGGTAAAAATGAATCAGGCATTCGTAGTAAATTAAATAACTCACCTTATTTTGATTCTTCTGTATTATGTCCACATAGCTTTTTACGTTATTCGACACGAATACATCAGGAGTATCATCTGCATTGGATTCCTCTGGTTTATACACAACCACACCAGCTGTGTAAGTCTGCAATGTTTAAATGTTTTAACGAGCTCATGTTATACTAGAGATTAAATATTTAATTACCTGTGCTTCTGCTGCGATGAAAGTGAAAAGCATAAAACAAGTAACTGGAAAATAAAAAAGGGTACTTTAAAATAAGTAGTATTCTAAATGCTGCATCAATTTATTATTATCATCTTGGTAATGTTTTTAACACTTACTAGAAATCATTCTCAATGTCGAACGAAATATTATTGATAACTCTTAAGAAAATATATTCATAATTTTATAATTCTTTTTTTATTTATCCTTTGAATCAAAGTGTGTTATTGAAGTACACCACAAGTAGAAGGTGATAAGGTTTATCTGTACATAGCTCACATTTAATTTCAAATATTGCTCAAAGTACGTCAACCTTATATTTTAGAATAATGCTTTAGTTTACAACTAATTCATATTGAATAAAAAATGTTAATGGAGTGGTTTACGAATATACCTTACCACTTACCACAGAAGAGATTAGAATATAAATGAAATTGCTTACGTATTTAGGTGTAAATGGCAGATAAGAAATATTGTGTACAAATCGAACCGGGCATTTCCTTTTATTTTTCTATAAATAATTGAAGCCAAAAGATAACTGGTGACTACATTGTAAAGTATGTACCAAACATGTTGCACAATGTTAGTCATTTTGAAAACTTTTTGGGCATACATTCTAGACATTAATTCTTGCTATATGCTATAATAATAATTGTATAATGGCAGTCTGGTTGGCTATATTGATATCAAATTAAACGCTAATTAAATTTAAAAATTGTATACGAAACTTTCATACGCTTATAAAAATTGGTAAAAATTGGTGAAATGTATTGCTACCTGAAATTTAATGTTGTTTAAAATTAAGATAATTATACGCAATTCAAGTAAAGAAAAAATAACAAGGGGCTGAAAATGATAAAAGGCTATAAATAGAATTTTCACCAACAGAAATCAATAAACTAGTCCGAAATTCAATAAAATTTTTAATAATTACCTGAAATAAAATTGAACATGTTAATTTCCATCAATTACAATACCGGCACCGAATATTTGAATCACATAAAATAAACAATTTTAAAACACTTTTTATTTTTGACCTACTAAATTCTAGTCCTGGGTTATGGTAAGTTTAGCTCAACAACAACAATCGACGTTTTTTGTTACATTTACTACAACTACCAATTCTCTACATCCTGATTGGTGAGAACTTCATTCCAACCAATCAGAATCGTTCTAATTTCGGAGATTGGAAGGCACCTTAAAATTTTGAAGTTGACGTTACGTTGACATTTAAAATAACACCAAGATTACCAACCTACCAATAGTTAAACTGTTCTTCAATAGTGGACCAAACGAACAAACATCGGAATAATAATAAAAATAAATTATTAATTATGAGTAGAGATAAAATTAATGAGCGTTTTTCGGTTTTTTAAGATCTAATGAGAGGATTGAATCATTAAAAAAACTAAGTTATATTCATTTGAAGTATATCTGAAATTTGACAGTTGGTACTTGGAACAGTTTCGAACTGGGTTGTCACAAACGAACAAATATATTCATACAAATTTGCCCCCACCTTTCTGCATGTTCTTTTCCGTAATCCAATATCAGTTTCCAAAGACTAAAATCTAAAAAGGTATTTATTTACATCATCTTAAATTGTTTAAAACTTGCAATGACGCGTTTTTACAGAAAATTTATCGTAAACGCACGTCATGCGGTAATTTTCGTTATTCAATTTACATTATTCATTTATAGTAGGTATTAATGCGGCAATAGTATACAAATTAAGAAATTCTATTTTTATGATGATAAACTACCAATGGTTTCGCAATTACTCAATGATTAAAAATGAAATAATACTTGGCAGTCTGACTAATTTTTCTTCCTCTTTCAGCCGCATTGCCTGTTGTTTCGTACTTAATTAAAATACTTGTTTTTACAGCACTGAAAAATGCCGGAGATGACGGAAGTTGACAAGCCCGTCGTGGCCGAACCGAAACCCGAACAAAGCGAATCTTCCACAGACAGCGACTCCGACGAGGATATTCCTGAGTTAGAAGATGCAGGCACGGCTAACGCTACTTCAGCTGCCTTCCCGGGGGCCGCGGCGGCCGGCTTACCGGTAGACCCGGGTCTATCCAAAGCCAAGCAATCCCGAGGCGAGAAGAAAGCTAGAAAAATTATGTCCAAACTTGGCTTGAAACCCGTAAGTCATTCAGTTATTATTCCTCCTAAACGCTGTATTAATGAAATATGTGCATTTATAGGTTCAAGGCGTGAATAGAGTAACCATCCGCAAATCTAAGAATATACTTTTCGTCATCAACAAACCAGACGTTTACAAGAACCCAGTCAGTGATACGTACATAGTATTCGGTGAAGCGAAGATCGAGGATCTCTCGCAGCAGGCCCAAGTCGCTGCTGCGGAGAAGTTCAAGGAAGTGAACCCGGCCGGTGATGCTGCTGCCGGTACCACTACGACTTCGGTGGCTCCTATTGCTGAGGAGTCTGAGGACGAGGAGGTGAGTACACCCTGCCGGTTGGTGTCCCGAGGTCTTGTTAATTGTGCATTTTGTTTTTTCAGGTTGATGATACTGGAGTGGAGGAGAAAGATATCGAATTGGTGATATCTCAGGCGAACGTGAGTCGAACTAAAGCTATTAAAGCTCTTAAAAATAATCAGAATGACATAGTGAATGCTATTATGGAGCTCACAATGTGAGCTGAGCGAACGTAATCTTGAATCTTTTAATTTGTTATAACAGTATATAAGACTTCAGTGTAAATAAGTACAATAAAATTTGAAAGCCTGTTTTATTCTTATAAACTTCGAGAATGTAGATCGAGCGGTTAAAAGTTTACATTGCCAGTTGGTGTTATTGATTGGTTTTAGCGTTGCTGTTATTCAGACCTAGAGACACTTAAAGATGGTTGATATTTAAAGAGTAATTTCATTTGGTATAGTAACACCGATTAGTATGGACTTTTTATAATTTATAGGTTAATATGTTATTCCTTCATTCGCAGATCTTTTTAGCCTTGTATCAATTTATAATCTCCTTTTTTGGTTTGGTTATGTAACTATTGTAACAAATTCATTGGTTTTAAATACAATGTACAATTAAACATTTATTTTTTTGAATCAGTATCAAATTATGCAAAAAAAATTGATGAAGAATTCAGGTACATTTTCCTATTAGGAAATTTTTGAGTCGTCTAACTACACAAAAACAATGAGGATAATACTATCAATATGATGTGATTTATTTCGTAATTACAGATTTGTACACTTTTCAATGTGAATTGTACCTAGTAATCTATTTCATTTTTTAAAATAGTGACTCAAATGAGAGTTCTAGCGATTCTCTTTATTTATAACAATCACTTTTTTAAGAAACAAAATTGTAAAAAAGCATGAATAAAAAACAACATATTGGAAATGCGTGGAACGATATAAATCGATCGATATTCCTATATGTACAAAATTATAGAATTTTGTTTTTTTTTAATAAACTTATGTTATATCACACAATACAAAGTATCCTAAAAAGTAATATCAAATTCATTACAATTTTGAATAAAAAATTAATTATTTTTTTAATTACGGCTACACTACAGATACGTTTAAAATAATTCGAACAGGATGATAAATAAAATATATCTTTCACTTGGAAAATAATTTCAAATAGGTTGATTTATTTGATATTACTTTCTGATAACTCGGCGTAAAAATGCTTAGATTTTAGTTTCTTGCATATGGCTCTACAACAAATCAATAACGCTAATGTACAAATAAAATGAAAACATTTCTCAAAAACCACCTCTTTGGAACGCCCCCCTAAAATTGCCTCTGTGAAAGAACCCCCGGTTACCGCCCCTGTTACCTCTGAAATTCCCGTTCCCTCGATTTTGATTCTTATTCCGATTTCGACCTGAAATTTCAATCGAAATTACAATCAGAACGAAAATAAATGCTTCATTTTTTTACCTTTATTACCTCTGTTATTGAAATTCCCCCTCGCGCCGTTCCGCCCTCGAAATCCTCCAAAGTCGTTAAACGACATGAGCGGCTGCGGACCGCCCCAATTATTCTGCGAATGATCCATATCTTCCGCCCATTGACTCTCTTCGTTCAGCCTTTGATTAATCATTTCGCTGCGCTCTTCCTCCGCCATCCAAGAATTCGGACCCGCCAAAGGCCTGCCCGGAATCATGGGCGGCGGCTGAAGGAGCGGAGGCGGCAGCATCGAAGTATTCATGTGCGGCATTATCGGCGGACCCATTAGGTTATTGAAATTCAACAGAGGAGGCGGCGGTAGAAGCAACGGTGCATCGGGTTTATCTACAATTCCATTATAATAGAACAGAATCCACCGTACAGTAGAAATACTACCTTCGTCGTTATCGAAGTCGTTACTGAGATCGTCGAATATATTATTAGCGTCGTCTTCGGGGAGTTCTGGAAGCGGGGGCGGAGGCTCCAACATAAATTGTGATTGTTTATTGTTCTTATGACCGTCGATAATAACCTGTTAAAAGGAGTTAAAATTATTGCAAATGTACATTAAATTGTGTGGATATTACACCTATTCGAGGCTCTTTTAAGAATTTAAAGGCTCTATAGGATAATCAGGTCCTAGATATACTACTACCTTGAGATTGTCATGCTTGTGCTGTCTGCTATCCTCATCGCTGAGATCCATATCGATGTTCTCCGGCGATTCAACGTGCAGGGAGTCTCGGTGCTTGTGATCGTGGAACTTCGGAGGCGGCGGCGGCGGTGGAGGCAACTTGAGCTGGTTAATGCTGAAGCCGATCCTGTAATCCTGGTCCATCGAACTAATTGGTGGTGCGGGAAGGTTCAAAGACGGATTCGCTTGAGGAGGTATCCTGTAATCCTGCACAGATTTCAAGATCAGTGTTAGTATTCATTTGAATTAATTTATTTGCCATTACCTGATCGGATTGATTCCAAAGGGAGTCGGTGGCGGAATTTTGGGAATTCGATTGTCCTGGTGATCCTGTTAAACTTATGAGATTTCTGTGATCCACATCTTTCGTTCCAAGACTGCTGCTCACGGAATCTTCTAAAATAAGAGAAATTGCAATAATTATGTCACAGTAATAAATAAAAATGGTAGGGTGTGTACCCCTGAAAGATTATGAAAAGGGATTGGTTGTAATTTTGAAAACAGTTACAAAATAACCCGAAACGAATACATTCAGGGATTACCGGTTAAAAATTTTCCAAATTTAATACGGACTAAATCAATGAAAATGGCTACGGAGCTTTGGCCAAACATTAATATACACTTTAGTGCATTTCAGTTTGCAATATAGTCATATATACAGTAGACCAAAAAAGTATTCGTACAGTTGCATTATGTTCTGGAAGTCCGCGTTCAGTAAACAGAAACAAGAAGTAACTAGCAAATTAAAATCTACATTTCAAGACTATTCTTGCAATCATTAATTAACATTGTTATTAAAAATGTAAAATAAAAAAAAAAACGAAAAATGTTTGCTTTATCCCCAAAATAAGTATTCGTACAGCAACGTTTTATCAATTTCTTCACTCTGTAGATATTAAATTGTTTATTGTTTTCGCCGGTATATTAGTATTAGGTTGAGCTCCTAGTTCTGTTTTCAAAATAATTCAAGTTTACCTTAAAATGCCTAGAAAAACTGAAGAAATAGATGGTGACTTAAAAAAGTCATCATCCATCATTTTATAGAAGGAAAATAATATAAGGAGATAGGTAAAATTGTTCAAAAAACACATATTACAGTTCAGTACATTGTGAAAAAATATAAATCTACTGGTTCCGTGGAAAATAAGTCAAGATCGGGAGGTACTGCCAAGTTAACTCAACGAGATCAGAATTTCATTTATCAAAAAGTTAAAAAAATTCCCTTTGTAAGTGCTCCATACATCGTTTCTGAACTGGAATCCAGTACATGGCATAAGACCCATCCGGAAACTCTTCGATACCACATTAAGCGATTAGAATATAGAGGAAGAAGACCTGCTAAAAGCCAAGGATAAATAAGAAAAATCGAAAGCTAAGAGTGGAGTTTGCTAAGTGTTACATTAATAAACGTTTAGAGTTCTGGAACCAGGTTATATTGTCAGATGAGAGTAAGTATAACATTTTTGGATCGGATGGAGCCAAATCTGCCTGTTAATTGTTTTTTCATTTGTATATTTATTAAACGGGTAATTACACGTATAATGATTATAATACGAGTGTACGAATACTTTTTTGGTATACTGTATATATATAGTTGAACAAAGAAAGATCACTAAAATGGCAGTTTTCAGAGTGAAAAGTTGCAATGACACAATATATATTTCTTTTTCCTTTATAAATGTCTAATGGAAGTTCTTTATCGCATCCACAGCCTATATTGCAAACTGAAATGATTCAATCTGTATATTTAATAAAGTGTCCATGATTTTTACTAAAGACTACTTTATAGCAGACTTTAAATTAATGAGAAATACAGGCACATTTAAGTTAATAGTCCATAGTATATAATTCTTTTCAAAATTTGAACGAATTTACAACTATTTATTATTTTCCTCTATTTGTCGAACTGTAACTGCCATTATTTAAAGCCTTTAGTAACTATTGATCAACCTACCAAAGTTATTTGAGATACCTGGAATGATTCTATGATCTACGTCTACGGCTCCAGTCGATAAAAGATTGTCGTGATATTCTATAGGGTCATTGTAACCTTCCTTTTCAAACATTGGAGGACTTTCAGGGGTATCTATTAAACAATACAATTCTCCATTTTGGTTTCATTACATCATGACATTACGATTCCTAACGATCATTTTTTACTTAGGAATCGTATAGTTTATAACAATCTAAATATCTAGCAGTAAATTGCCAAGAAATGGGACGTTTTAGTGTAATAAAGAACTAATAATGTGACTTTTAAGTTAATCATGTGCGGCTAAATATTCACAGATTTCATTGATTGAAAAATTTATCAGATGACTTAAAATGGAACTTATTTCATCAACAATTCTTACACTAACCTGTATCAGGAACTGGTGGAATACTGTTCCAGGAACCGTCCGGTTCCCACGTCGTTACATCATCTTCTGGATTATACTCGTCATTAGGTTGATACCGATTCGAATTCAAAGACGATTCATAACTATCTTCTATAAAAAAATGACATACAGTAATTAAATCCTGTCGTGTACTGGTAGATCTACTTACTGAAAGGTATTGCAGGTTCCGAGTTGCTGGTGTAAGTAGCCTCGTAGCTCCCCGATCGACCGAAATCATCCTCCGCTTTCGAAAAGGGCGGCATCGGAGGCGGCAACAGCGGCACGTGACTAGGATCGTAACCGAACGAAGGTTGAGTCGAAGGCGCTTCCACGGGCAACGGAGGATTCTGAGACGATCGTTTCGGAGGGGTGTACGTTTGCTCGGTTATCGAATCGTTTGAATTCGTAAAATTGCTAACGTTACTAAACAAGCTGCTATTGAAATTCTAAAAGAAAAATATAGCCGCATTATTCGAGTAACTAGAGGTGAAATGCGTTTAGTTACCTCTAAATTAAAAGTCTCTGATCCTATAAAACTAGAAAAACCATTGGCACTTAAGAACGTGCTACTGCCAACATCGATACTGCTATCGTTTACAGCCGATGTAACTGGTGTATAGTAATTTGAACTGAATTGCAAATCCACTTTTGGATTATAGTTGTTAGAAGCTAAAACCAAAAATTTAAACATTATAATACGCTAACATCACACAATAAACTCTTTTTTTACCTGATTTATTGGACAGTGCACTTTTAATATTAGGTTCTTCAGGTAAGTCTATATCCGAATCAGGACTTGGTGAAGGCGCATTGATGTCAGGAGAAGGTATTGGACTATTTAATGATTCTCTGTGTTCTTCTAATTTCCTTTGAAAGGTTTTAACACGAGTGCCAAACATTTTATAAGCCTACAAAATAAGAAATTATATAAACGAATTGATATTTTAATGTTATAGACTTACGTTAGCGACCACTTTAACATCTTTTCTATCGGCTTCGAGTTGCGTTTCCGCCTGTTTTAGTACACTTATAAGAGTTATTCGGTTTTTTATTTCTAACTTTAAAGCATTAATGTAATCTTCCATGTGTTTAATATAGACTTCTATTTCTTTTTCTACATCGTCTACATGTACACGATCTGAAATGAAAAATAATTATTAAAACTCTATGAAACACTCTATTAAAACAAGTTTCTAATAAAAATATCGAAAAATACCTTTTAAAGATCCTATTAATCCATCACCAATCTGTATTTTAGGATTGTGCTCATTGAGCAGCTTCAATTTAGTATCAGTATCTTTTTCTAGCTTCGAACATGTCTTAATTTTAGTAACAACATAACTAGGCTAAAAAAATCAACTTTGTGAATCAAGTAAATTATTTATCACTCAGTAACATACTTGAAACTCGTGCGGTTCGTCATTTTTCGGGGCACTGGGAAGAACGCTTAAAAGACCGCACAAATCTGATATAAATTCCTCATTGTAAACACCCCTTTGTTCCCATATTTTGAATATTCTAAGTATTTTGTGTTTAACCTTCTCGTCCCTGAAAGAAAAATTATACGAATAAAATGTGTATATTAATTATTTTTATTTGGTTTTAATGAATAGGAATAAACTCTCACCTAACCATAGTCGTTGCCTTTTGCAAGGCAGTGCCCCAGCTTTCGACGAAGTCGAAATTTTTTCGTTTGGAATACTGAACTACATCATTGGCTAAATAAAATAAAACCAGTCTCTGTTCAACTTTTACTCGCTTTAAAACATTCAGCCATGAATTGACTATCTTCTTATGGTGAGTTCTGTTTTGCAAACACCATTGACAACAAGTATTTATTGCTTCTTGAGAATCCTTTAAGTTGAGAAGTTGCTTTTCGAACTGCAAAACGTTAAAATCGTCGTCGGCCACTTTTTGAGTCCCCATGAGGAAATGTTCACTTTATCAATGTAACTCAAATTGTATTAATTCTGTATCTGGCAGAAATTTTCTCGCAACGAATAAAGGCAAGTAACAAGTATTTGCACTCATTTCTTCTTAAATAACACGTTATTAATATTTTGTATGGACGCCGAATTCCACTGGAAAGAACTATCAAATGTAACTGGAACTGCACATAATAACTACCTTCCGATAAACAATCACTGTGGTATAATTATACCAAAGAAACATGCAAACGTTTGTAAAAATGCTATATATTCTTAAATCATTTTTTAAAGAAATATAATCTTATGTCAAAATAAACTGTAGCCATTAAATTATTTTCATTTTCCTAAAAAACTAATAATTGGAATTTTTCGGTTGGTTAACCTGTAATCAATGACATATGTCAATTTTAATACTAATGAAATCGTTTAAAACTACTGAATGTATTTTTATGTATGCATTATTTTTTGAAACAGTATTTAAAAAAATAATCAATTTATTTACTTTTTACTTCCTTACTTAAAATGTATGTTATTAAAAAAAATGTTTAATACATTTTAAGTAAAAGGCCAGTAAAAATAAAATTGTACAAACGAACGTTTTCAAATTGTTTAGAGTTGGTATGATGGTGATTGTTATGACAATTGACATTGAAGTTATTTTGGTGGTACGCCTGCTCTGTCTTTCATATTTTTAAAGTCAAGATGGTAGGTTAATTTTTAATAAAATCTCCTTACATCTCCCTTAAATTACACCAAAATTATTTAAAATATGCGTTAGAATTAATATTTCTCTTAGCCGCTGATATTTGGTTCGGTATTTTTTGGTGTTAATTCAAAGGAAATCTATTTTAAGTAAAGTATTAAGTTGTCCCTTTCGTGTGTTGTGTTGACCGAAGATAGGAAATATTAGTGATTAGTGAATTAGTATTACAACAATACGTGTTGATTCCCTTAGAATTCATCTCTCCGAATTGGAATAATAGTTTTTCAAGGTAATTCTCTATTCTGAAATATTCTAACCTATTTTTGTTTGTAGGCTCGGGGACCTAAAAAGCACTTGAAGCGTTTAAATGCGCCGAAAGCATGGATGTTGGACAAATTGGGAGGTGTATTCGCACCCCGCCCGTCCACCGGTCCTCACAAACTCCGAGAATCGCTACCCTTGGTGATTTTCCTAAGAAACAGGCTAAAGTATGCTCTCACTAACAGCGAGGTAACTAAAATAGTTATGCAAAGACTTATCAAAGTCGATGGAAAAGTCAGGACCGACTCCAACTACCCCGCTGGTTTTATGGGTACGTTACCAACGGTTTGTTGTTTATTAAATTTTATTGATTTGGGATTTTTTTACAGATGTTATCACCATTGAAAAAACTGGTGAATTTTTCCGTCTCATCTACGATGTGAAAGGAAGATTTGCTATCCACCGTATTACTGCCGAGGAAGCTAAAGTAAGTAGGCATCACTTGTTACTTAATTTATTGTTGAATGGATTTACTATAATGATGTTGTAAGGCACTTAAATAATTTGTATATGATACAAGTGATTATTTCTTACTCATCTGAATGTATTCTAATCAATTCTAAATAGTGTTAATTATGTAGAATTTGAATTTTAATATGTGAATTTCTTCTCTAGTACAAGCTTTGCAAAGTTAAGAGGGTTCAAACCGGTCCCAAAGGAATTCCGTTCTTGGTTACCCACGATGGTCGTACGATCCGTTACCCTGATCCCGTCATCAAGGTAAACGACACAATTCAATTGGAGATCGCTACATCTAAAATTCTCGATTACATCAAGTTTGAATCTAACAACTTGTGTATGATCACTGGAGGTAGAAATTTGGGTCGTGTCGGTACGATTATGAACAGGGAACGTCATCCTGGATCCTTTGATATTGTACATATTAAGGATGCCAACGGTCATGCCTTTGCTACTAGGTAAGTAAAGTTACTATTTTTTAACTCTCTTTTAATTTGTGTTTTTTTTTTTGATTTTTCGATTAAATTTATATTTTTTTTTTTAGGTTAAATAATGTATTCGTAATTGGTAAAGGAGCTAAAGCTTTTGTGTCTCTTCCAAGAGGTAAGGGTGTGAAGTTGTCCATTGCCGAAGAAAGGGATAAAAGGCTAGCAGCAAAAACACACTAAACATGTGTTAATTATTATTTTCAATAAAACTTGTGAAAAGAGTTAATATTTTTGTTTTGCTGTATACATGCTTTAATGCAAATATTTCTTATTTCTTGACTAACATCGTATGAAGACTTCCTTAAAGCATGGAATCAACTAGCTAAAAAATAAGCCAGGTTATACAGTTAAGTGCAAATCTGTACGCAATAAGGTGCAACAAAGGTAATTTTCAGTAGTGTGATGTAAAGGAAAAAAGAAAGTAATATTGTGGGATTACAACCTAATTATTTCAACAATTTTGCTTTATCAACTCGTACAATTGACCATATTGCAAACAAATTGCACTTATGCATATAAAAAATTCTATTGGGTTTTCAATGAGGTTTATATTAAATAATATTCAAATAGTATTTGAGTATATTTATTATCAATATACACACATGGCTAATTTTCTATTAATAACTTTTATTTAAAAGTAACGTTTCAACGAATTTAATCAAAAACCAACGACTTTTTACACAATTACTTTCAGTTAAAAGGAATTTTAAAAACAAAAATCGGCCCTTAAAACAATAAATAGAAACAAAAGCTATAATAAATTGGCACTCCGTTACAATACTAGTACATTACATTTCAATTAATCCGCTATTGACTAAAAAATAACACCCGTAAGTAAACGTCGAATATCACGCGCCGCAATTGCCGCCCCTGGTCACGCCCAACGTCAGCGTTTGAAAGTTATTGCAGCCCGCCGCTAACGTGAGCATCTGCTTCAATTGGTCGATGGTCTTGAGGCAGACCACGACGCAGCATTGCTCTCCCTTTTCCACGCAACCCTGCCCCGAGTTCGGCTTCGTCTTGCAGCTGAACATCTGGCTCTGGGCCAAGTTCAGCATGGTGTTGAAGCCTTCGGAGGGGCTCGAGTTGGAAACGAGAGGTTGCACGATGGAAGGCTGGCTGTTGAGGACATTGTCGTATTGAGTCGGTGCTGCTGTTGGTATATCTTGGTAAGTATTGCAGCAAGCGTTGGGGTTACCGCAGCAACCGTCCTGATTAATGTTGCTGTTTGTCCAGGTTTCCGGTTGAGGGGGATTTGTTAAATTCTGCATATCTTGGTTTTTGTCGAGTAGGTTGTCATTGGTGTTGGTTGCGTTGAGGTTCTGTTCTAAGCCTAATACGAAATACTCGTTATTGTTTCGTTCCTCCAGGTTAAGGTCTGAGCTGTTGCCGTTCAATAAACTCATCCAATCCGAGTTATTACCGCTGTCTTCGGACAAAATATGCGCGGTATTATTTTCTGTAGATTCCGCACCGGTCGAAATGGTTTTGTGAGACAATATTTTAATTTTACTTTGCCCGTTGGTTTTACTAGTGTCGTCCATTAGGTTGAAATTCGACAAATCGAAATCTTTCTTAATATCAATGTTATCCAAGTTTATTCCGGAATTTTGAAACTCTGATATCACGGTGTTGCCATCCAACTCGTCCCTGGTGTTAATTAACGTTTCGTTTTCCTTAACGTTTTCGATATTCTCCGTGCCGATGTTGAACAGCAGCTGAAGGGGCTCGTTTTCGGTGGCTACAGCGGCATAATCCTTGAGTCTATTGGCCATCTCGAACTCCTCTTCTATGACAGCGGCGTGCTTCTCCGGCATGATTTGCGTGAACACGTAATTATTATTGAGTAAATTTTCCGGTGTCGTTGATGCCACTGTGTAGTACATGTTTTCCTCGAAAGCACCGTCTGGTCGAGCAGTACTCTCCATCAACAGCTTATCCACATCTGAAGTGCTTCCATCTTCGTGCATGATAAAACCTGCACATTCAATTCAAGCGAATATTAAGCGAATCGTTCTTATAAAGAATAACTCACCGTTTTTAGAGTCGTCAACAGGTAAAATTAGGTTTTCGTCGGGTTTCGACGGGTCGAAGGATTCCGTATCAGCGACAGCCTCCGGGTTGAAAATTTTTTCGTGTCTTTGGTGAGTTTTTATGTGAGATTTGAGGCTGTGTTGCGTAGAGAAGGCTCTACTGCATTCGACTGTTTCGTTGCAGGCGTAAGGCTTCTCGCCAGTGTGTATCCTGATGTGGGTCTTTAGATGATGACTGGCCGTGAAGGCTTTACCGCACAAATCGAAGGTGCACCTACCGATATCAAGAAATGAACAAAATTATGCGAACATGTTTGGGTGCATTTAGAGCCAATACAGTGTGTATTAATTATGGTATGTTATATTGCTCTATTGTAAAGAAACTGCAAAATATAGCGCATGAAATATATTTGTAATGAAGAAGTTGTACATTACAGTGCAGCTTTTTGATTGATTTTTAGGTGTATGAACTCTGCAAAAATATTTACATACACATGCACAAATGCAAATAATTTTTTTATACTAGGCTGATAGAAGCCAATTAGAAATATATGTAAATTTTTTGAGCAAAAAATGTCTTGAACGATAACCGAAAGATTAGGAGTAAGATTTATTATTTTCCAACAATTTCCTCTTAGAAGCAAACTAAAATAACTGTTAATGAAATGAACAAATAATAATATTTAAGTAAAACATTCTACAATGAAACATAAATATTTTTAATGGACATTTAAAATGACTAAAAATCCCTCGTTTTTTTCATATTGTTAATCACAGCAAGCATCAGCGAAATAATCAAATGTATTGTTCGTGTTTAAACCAGATTAATCTGCAGCGAAGATAATCCAAAACAAAATTGAACATGATATAAGCTTAGTTTTGTGATGAGATAAGCGCATGTGTTATTAGTTGATCTAAAATAAATTACCAATCACTTTATTATATCACTTACTTATAAGGCTTTTCTCTGGTATGAGTTCGTATGTGTTTTTTTAGATCACTGAGAGTGGTAAAAAATTTATTACATCCATCTGACTCACAATTAAAGGTTCTGCCATTGTGCAAACGCTGATGAGCCCTCAACCTGTACCTCGTGTTGAAGGCTTTGTCGCACCCTTGCTCCTGGCATTCGTAAGGTTTCACTTTCGTGTGGACTCTAATGTGTATTTTCAAACTGTAGGATGTTAAAAAGGCTTTCCCGCAATCTGATTCTGAACATTTGAATCGGTATTCACCTAAAGAGTAATTTACTAGTCACTCAAGAGTTGGATATTTGGAGCATAAAAAATAATTTGATTTGATTTTGAATAAAAAAACAAACCTTTGTGAGTTTTTAGGTGTGTTCTGAGGTTGCCAACTGTACTGTAAGTTCTGGAGCAGCCTTCGAAGTCGCAACGAAATCTGTTAACTGCGTTTTCTTTGGTATCGGGATCAGTCGAAGTAATTATCGTAGGAAATGGTTCGCTCGGCATTTTATCTTTAGAATCGGGGTTAATATTCGTACAAATTTCATCTAAAGAGACTGTATGTTGTGCGGAACTGTAATATAAATTTTAAACCATAGTTTTATAAAAATTCGGAATTAACCTGCCCTAAGTAAATATTTATTGATGTATTTTTGTAGTTTTGTGGTACTCAATAAATTTGTTAATTATTAACTATATTTAAATGAATGGATATTTAAGGAATTTAAGATTTCAAGTAGATTACAAAATATTATATATCCTCAAATATATCGCAGATACTCGAGTTTGAGATAAAGGAAACTGATTACAATCAGAGACCTTTAATTTATCTTTTAATGTTTGAATACAGGGTGTTATAACTATACTCACAAAATTTTAGAGATTCAGTGCTTCTCAAAATATTATAAAGGTCCCTATTAACATACCTTCACTAAAGAGAGTGATCAATTCATTTATTTTTCGATCTATTTCGAAGTTTTTTGTGTGTTAACACCTAATATAAGTAAGGTAAGATTCTGTCTATTATTCGATTTTGAATTTCTCTAAATATAGTCTTGAAATAGAAATATAATAATCCCAATTAATAATACCTATTGGTTATTGGGAGTAGTTTATTTTTAAAATTACTCACAAATCACTTTGATGAAATAGGAAGTAAAAATTATCAAACTTAATCATCAAAAATTATGAAACAAATTGAAGTTTTTGGTATGATTTCAGTAACTCATGTCAATACGAGTTTTTACAAGATAATGTATTCAAGGATGGAAAAATGCAAATATGCGTAGATAAAAAATAAAGATATTCTAATTAATTTAATGACGATTTTTTATTGTTAAAAAAAATATTTATTCTTAAAGGAAACCTACTCATTATTATATTGCTTTAAAAAACATTTCTCTTTACCCTTTATTCCTATTAGCATGCTGTGTATATCTTGATTTAAGTGTAAATAAAAATATCAGACATACTTAAATCTTATTTTTTATTATTAATTCCAATTGATCTGTTATCTTATCATCTGTTACTGTACGATTAGTTTAATATTAGCTATATTATTCCAAATTGTTTCTCAATATAACCTATTTTCAATAAAATTGTATCAGTAGATATCCAAGTATATTTAAGTCTCCGGATAGTTATTTCGAAAGTTACTCAGGTATCTAGAGAAAAAAATCTATTACCCAAACAGTATTAGTCCAATAATAAGTAAACGTTTGGCCCAAAGTATCGATAGAGATATGTGGATAGAGTTTTGATGACTTTATTATTCCAGTTCCTAATGAAGGATGTTCATCGAACATTGTAAAAGTATTAAATTCATGTTAGTCATAATTATATTATTAGTACAAGTTACTTATATGCATATAGGTAATAACCAAGAAGTTCATTTTATAAAGCATTCCGTATAAACCTATCAATATCGATATACCAATTTAATACGAATAAACAAAATGTGACCTTACCTTTGTTTCTCATTAATATCCTCTTCACTGGAAAAAACATTGTCGGAATCCGAGTAAAGCTTCTTGAAATTAAAGTCCAAGCTTTTATCCAGACAATCTTCGGTCAGTGTGATACTGTCGAATTGTTCCTTGTGGAATATTTGATTTTGTAATTTTCCGGCCCAACTAGTCATTATTGTAGACGTAAATAATATTAAAGCACTTAAATTTCATTTCGGAAGCGCATAAAAATGCAAAGGAAATTTGAACTAGAGAAACAGAGTAAACAACAAAAATCCATTTATAGAAATATCTATTAATATAAAAACACTGTTCAAATTTTAAACTTATATACTCGACACACACAAACTAACACTTAACATACAGACAGTTACTCTTTGACCTTAATCTGATGGCTGTCGCGTGTGTTCCTCATTATTCGTTAAATTAAGCGATTGATTAGGAATCAAAGACACCAACTGTTACTGCTATTAGCTCATTTATCGCAAGTCCTCTTATCAATTTACGTGTTTACTAAAATCCTGTTTTCAACTTTAAGTAGTGACTCCCTGTTCGGAACAACAGCAACGAACAAATCCGATAAATTCGATGACTAGTGATTTTCTATTTTTATGACGATCTTTTCGTACTTAGCGTTCCAAGGTTCCATGACGCACGCATGGAACGCTAAGTTCGAAGCCGGAAATAGAAAGCTCCAGGTCCAGTAACTGTCAGTAGTGTTCAGTTGGATAAAATGAACCATATTTTTTAAAATTTGAGTCTCTTGAACAGTTACAATATTATACAATGTCTTATAACTTTTAAAATTAACTAGAGTAATAAATGAAATCAGAGATTATTGAACATTTGTAAAACACACATTAAAAACTATTGTATCAATTTTTTATCTTCCTCATTTCCATAAGCAAATCAAATCGTCTGTTGGTCCTCACGTAGTTAAGGAACTGTCGTTTCGAATTTAAATCTTGTTTTGGACTTCGACGGGTTCGAACTTTATTCGCTACAGCCATTTTATCGGGTTTAAAATTATGATTTCTGGTGGTTTTTATGGTGGGAATATTTGGGATAGCGGGTGCCTTAATAATCAATGGTATTTTCGATTTTGTTGTTCTTGTAGATGATTGCAATTCGCTGTTTGAAGATAGTGGTTTGGAGATTCTTACCTCCGGTTTCGGTGCCTTGTCCAAAGAAGGCTTCTTTTTCAGCTTGGTATTTGACTTGTTTAAAGAAAATTTTATATTCCCACTGGTTTTTGGAGGTTTAGATATTTTTAACAGATGGCCTTCAACCTTTCTAATTTTCTCCAAAGAGCGTTTTTTCGTTGGTAAAGCGTCTGCAGTCATCTCTTTCTTAGGGGATGATTTTCTTTGAAGCTGCTCCCTGATTTTCACCGCCAATTCCAATTTCTTCTTAGGAGAGAAACTAAAAATGAAAGTTCATTAAGTTTGCATTAAGAATTCAATTGAAATTAAGAGATATTATACACCATTATTTCTAAGCCATTTTAAAATTTTTAATACTCACTTCAATTTCTTCTTAATCTTAGGAATATGACTGGATGCGGTACTTTCTGGTTTGAGGCCCGAAAGCAACCGATTTGCCCTAGCAGATTTTCTCGCCAGCATTTCTTCAATGTTTTCAATTTTTTCGTTTCTTTTTTTATGTATTGAAGCGAAATCGGGAATTTTGATCTTTTTTCCTGTCGTTCCAGTTTCCTTTTTCACTTTCTTATTAGTACCAGAAGCTTCCTTCTTTTCTGAGAAGTTTCCAGAAGAATCGGTTTTCTTTGGGTAGAGGTTCATAACTAGCCCTGAACTGTTTAAAATTGAACAACTGCTCGATGTATCCCAATGTTTGCGTCTAGTAACCCTAGATTGTAGATATTTGGTAGCTTCAGGGTCTGATGAATTAGTATCTTGAACCATAATTTCAGACATTGTTTCAGATGCTTTCGGGGTACCTTTTTTCGCCTCGGAGATGGAATCTGGTGATGTCGAAAATCTCAACGACTTATCTTTGATGGTCATTCCTTTACTCTTATTAATTGAAGATTTTGTTGTACTACTAATATTTTTCCCCTTAATTGGACTCTTTGATGAACTTTTTCTAACGATATTTTTTGGTTTCTTTGCAGAAGCCAGAGGAAGTTCAGATACATCAAAAATGCTGTTTTCAACTTCAAAAGTGCTGTTTTCAACTTGAGAAATGTTCTCTTCAACTTCAAAAGTACTGTTTATAACTTTCAAAGTACTATTAATAGGGCCACAATTGGTAGGGGATGCATCCGAAAAATCCTTATCAATTTTCGACTGCTTCTTTAGCCTTTTTGATCCCCTTTTCTTAGTATTTGATGTTTTATTTTCTGAAGCATTTTCTTTATTTGCTACTTCAGAATCACAATACGAATCGATGTTTTGAGTTTTTGGTGATTTAGTTTTTTTCTTATTATTCTCCTTTGAACCAGTTTTCTTCCTGCGAGCTCTCGTATTTCTTGTACGAACTTCTGGCGTACTGGTTTCATCATCAGAGTGCAATTCAATCCTTCTATTTTTCGCCCTTTTTGTTTTCTTGTTAGGTTTTGATGTATCCAGAGAGACTAAATCCATGATTTTACCTAAAAATTATTAAAATGCTAATTATCAAGCACTTGCTATCTTATTAGCAGTTAAATAAATTTAATTTCTAACTTATACATTTAAAAAAATGCATCATAGTGCTAAAAAACAAATAAAAACTGTATAGAAAACTTACCAAAGTTTAACCAACACCTCCTTACGTATAAAAACGTTAAACTACCAAGTAAAAATAAAAAAAAAACAACTTTTAATATTTATCAAGCTCACTAATAAAACTGCCTGCAGTGCAGAATGTGCTCTAAAGATTCGTTACAAATTAAAAAGATTCAAAATCAACTGTAACCTTCAACAAACAAAGACAAGTCTAACAAGTGACAAGATATGCAGACGTTAGACATAAGACATAAGACAACGGGACCAGTAGAATTGTTTGACTCGTTGACTAGTACTATTTCTGTATACGGAAAATTTTAAAAATTTTTTAGCAATCCGATCATCGTAAATCTTCTCAAGTTTAAAAGTATATGTTTTTAACTGACTTTTCAATGACTATTTAGTAGATATGTGAATATAGAGAATAAAAATAATATAAGTTGATAATAAAATTAAAAAAAGAAGAAGAATTGGTGTTAGAACCGATTAGACCGGGATCAATGTTGAGACAGACTGTAACAAATCGAAAATAAAACCAATAAAAAAGAAAATCTTGATTTCAATCAAGTTTAATAAAAGCTAAGTAGTGAAAAAAGAGAAAAATAAGCTTATATGACTTTTCAAAAATTTCAATAATAAATGTCAATTATGTCAAATTGGACATTTGACATCTGTACCGTGAATTTGAAGTTCCATCAAATTAGTGGAGTAATTTTCTACAATAAAATTTGGTGGTGCTCGATAAATTTATATATTTTTCATATTTTCTAACTAGTTATAGTGCTTAGTGCGTACTGGATTAAACATTCTCTTATCACAAACGTTCATTTAATAATCTCGTTCATTCTTCCTGAACGAAAATGTGTTACGGTTTCCAATAATTTTTTATTCAATTAGTTGTTTTCAAATTCGTATTTCATTGTGATCTAAATTTTTATACCTGTACAATTGATCTAAGACAAATGGCAGACTCGGCCAGCGAATCCGATTCCAGCAGTATCGACGGTGGCCCTATTATGATGCCACCCAGCCCCATCACCAGGGAGCAACTGCAAAAGCGCATCGAGAGTCTTCAGCAACAAAACAGAGTGTTAAAAGTCGAGCTAGAAACCTACAAGTTGCGAGTCAAGGCGCTCCAAGAGGAGAATCGAGACCTTCGAAAAGCTTCAGTTATTATAGTAAGCTCTTCATAGTACAATCGTTAAATAGAAAACACATTTAAATTACTTATTACATTAATTTTTGAATTGATACATTTAATATGAATACATCATCCACAGGAGTCATAAGTGACACAAACTATGTAAATAAATATCCGATGATACTATCACACCATTCTAATATGTTTTGTATTTGTTTAGCAAGCGAAAGCGGAACAAGAAGAAGAATTCATCTCGAACACTCTTCTCAAGAAGATCCAAGCACTGAAGAAGGAAAAGGAATCCTTGGCCCATCACTACGAAAGGGAAGAAGAATGCTTAACCAACGATCTCTCTAGAAAGTTAACCCAATTACGTCAAGAGAAATGTCGCCTCGAACAGACCTTAGAGCAAGAACAAGAGTGCCTTGTCAACCGTCTGATGAGAAAAATCGAGAAGCTCGAAGCCGAAACTCTCGCAAAGCAAAGCAATTTAGAACAGCTACGTAGAGAGAAGGTAATAGATAACACTACAAATTGTCCATTAACTTATAAAAATCTGTTTTGAACCAGGTCGAATTAGAGAACACTCTGGAGCAAGAACAAGAGGCACTCGTCAATAAGTTATGGAAACGTATGGACAAATTAGAAGCGGAGAAACGAATGCTCCAAATCAAGCTCGATCAACCGATATCCGATCCGGCTAGTCCTAGGGAAATAAGCAACGGCGATACGGCCAGCAATTTGAGTACTCACATTCAAACACTTCGCTCTGAAGTGGCTAGGTTAAGATCGACTTTGGCCACCAGTCAGCAAGAGCACACTCAAAAAATGCAACGTTTTGCTCAAGACGAACGGAATATTAAAGAAGAAAATTTAAGGTCAGTATAAAAGAAAACTTATATGGAAATTGATGTTATTAAATATACGTTAATGTTGAAGACTACAAAGAAAATTACAATTGGAAGTTGAACGTAGAGAGGCGTTATGTAGGCACTTGTCTGAAAGTGAAAGTTCTTTGGAAATGGAGGAGGAGAGACATTACAATGAACAGGTGTTAGGCGTAAGACAGCACACGGTATCTCCTGTTCCTGCGTACAATCCATCGCCTAGTCAAAGTCGACCCTTAAGTCCAGGTAGTTGTATTTAATCTGCTTTCAACAAGAACAATAGGCGGTAGAGTCGGTTCTAATTTGTGAAAAAATGTATTTGTAGGCATGAATGCGATACAAACGTCGAGAGATTCGTTAGCCGTAGGGCCGCTGAGGTGCCACTCGTGCGGACAACTTCTCAACCATCCAGTCAATCCGGCCTGCATCTCGTCGGCTTTACATCCAGTCGGTTCGAGCAGTCCTCCGGCTCCTCATCGTAGAACTAGCGAACGGTTTATAAAACCGGCGATACCTGCTGCTCCTCAACCTGCTAGTCCCATGGATACTTCAGTCAATAAGGACTAGTATGATAGGTAAATAGGCAAGCTAGTCTAAGTTTGCTGAAGCATTAGCTTATGAATAAAATTTGAGTAAATAATTCTAAGGGTTACTAATTTGTTAAGCATATGCATTACGTGTATTAACTGTTAAAAGATATTGCTTTATTTTTATTCATAAGGCACATGAAGAGTATGTTCGACCTAACAAAAGTTTAATGAAATGATTTTACGTTGCAGATAACGTGATATAATGGAAACCCTGCTACAAAGTGAAGTAATTAAACGTTTTACAAATTCTCTATAACAGGTTTGCCGGATGCAGGAGCAGCTGAATCTTTTAGTTAACAAATTTTGTTTTGCTTTGATCACTGTTTTTATAAAAAACATATTAAAAATATATAAATGTATGCAAGTACTTATGTCATAATATTGGGGGTTTTCCTACTTCTGGCCCCTGTTGAAATGTTTCTAAATGTTTATGATGATGTAACAATAAGATGAAATATTTGCATTGGAATTATGACTAGACGATATTTCTAATTATTATCTCTTCTTAATATTTTGAGAGTAAAGATATTAAATTCAAATACCTCTTGTCTTTTAAACGAGGATTACCTAATTAAGTATATCCTGAGAGAAAGCGGTAAAGTTTAATTCAGATATTATTAAATACTTGTTTGTTTATTTGATGTATGCTTTGAGAAACAACCAGTTTTCTTCTAATTGCTTCCGATTCATTTCTAAATAGATGTAATGAGATTAAAAATGTTTTTGGATTTTTCGTCTAGTAAAGTGTCATTATGTTTGGTCATTAGAAACTTGCAAACAAAACTTATATTATTAATCTATTTGTTAAATTCCTTGCAATTTAATGGTGCTGACGAAATATGTTTCGAATTTGTTATAAAGGAGAACGCGAGTATGCTCTTTTTAAAAACATGGTGTAACCGAAAACCGAATTTTTTATTTCAAAATATTAAAATTTTTAAGCATTAAGTTTTTCGAAGCTAGTTTTGAATAATTGATTTGATTTTGATAATTGGTACATCAGAATTTATGGTGTTTTTATTTAGTTTTTACATTTATTTCGGTTATTGTGATAAAATAATACATTTAAATCGAATTATTCTAATTTTTTTGTTTCTTTACATTTTACTTATAAAGTAATATTATTCATTTGTATTTCTATTAGTACAGACGATGAGTATTTAATATGGCATCTGCATTTTTAAATACTTATTTACCTAAGTTATTCTTTTATTCAGTATATTAAAATGCGTAAGGCCAATTTGAAATTTCAATGTTGTAAAGATAAGTTGCATGAGTTTCTAAAGTTCGAACATAAGTGATAAAAAATTGAATATATTTTTTATATTTCACCAATTTGTTGCCAAAATTCTTTTATCGTGGCATAGCCATTTTCACATTTCATGTGATATTTAATAAAGTTGAACGATGAAAATTTTAGTCTAGATATCAACATTATTGCAAAATGTATTAAAATAAATAGAAAGTAAAATTTTTGAATGTGTCTGCTATATTATTTTATTAATAAATTACATTACACGTGAATAATGGAATGGCTTGTATTTTTTCTCTCCTGTCCTTTATGAGTTTTACTGAAAATATTCTGCAGATTTTTATACAGGGTGTCTCGCATAAGAATCGACAGAGCAGGGGAGTGTACGGGAGCCTAAAATTTGATTGACCCTTAACTTAACTTTAATACAGCCAAATTTTGAATTATCGATGATTTTAAGGCTAGAGTTCAGTAATATTAATAGTGAACATGACTATTTTTTAGCGTTTTTCATCAAAACGACAAATAATTTTGAAAAACAAAAAAATAAAAAAGATTCTAATGCGGGACACCCTGTATAGTGTAAATACCAGGTATTAAAAATAACAAATCTAAAATTTAAAAACAATTATTATAGTGAGATAAGTTTGCAAAGAAGATCCCGAAATAAAATAAAACAGAAACTAAACGAAAATAAAACAACGCCAGCAATGTTTATGCAAAGCAAACGAGAAATAATTTTCATTGCGGATTCCCTTCTGCATCCTTCTTGATACACTATCTTCACATCTAATTTAAACGGGCAGTTTTCGAGCAATAAAAATGCACGCCTTCTGGCCTCGTGAAAAATCGTCTTTTTATTTATTGTGCTTTTCTATTCCTCTGCAATTTTCGTTAAGCGGCACAATTTCCACTAAATTAAGTTTAGGCCATTAAAAATTACATACTTCAGCAGGTATAAGGTAATCTTTAATGGGATTTATTTCGATTTCCAATTGAACTCAGGAGTAAAGAAGACTTGCACTTCTCCAGAATCTACCAAGTTATGAAGTATTCATTAGATTTCTTCCTATAACTGTTCTGAACTGTTACATACTGTTCAGGACCGATTGAATGCAAATTTTGGGAATGCGTGGATCGAACGGTGAAGCGGAAGCTTCTCCGCTCGTGCACGCTGGGGAAACGAATTCGCCGGAAAGATAAGTTTTTCTTTCTACCGAGAAATTTGTTACAATTCGCGTAGCATTTATACACATTAACATCGGAGTTATTTATTTCGTCTGGCCCCTTTAAGTCTGGAGAGCTGGTGTGTTGTTTATGACCGCATTCGCTCTTCTCCATTTCATGCGGGGAAACACAAAAAATATATTAGGCTACAACATTTTTTTAGCGTTAGTTTTCTACAGAGCCCTTAACAAACTTGGACAATTTTTTTGATTAAATCGAGAAGAAAAATGGCCATACTACATGCGTCATGTGTACCTATTTTCATAATGTTATTTTAATAGAAGTAAAGTACATACGGGCATTCGGTTTTCAAATATTTACCCATCGGTTGCACTGCAATAACGGCCGTTTTTACAATTACAGTTCGATAATTCCAGGTGGTGAATTCTCACTAAATTCAATCATATGCTTGTCCGAATCGATAACTGTTACAATGTGATGTCATGGAAATGCTACAATAAGGCAACTAAAAATTAGAATTTGTAATTAGCTATCCAATTCTTACAGTTCCTACTCGACTGCTCTATGTAGAAATGTCCTGCTAGAACTTTTTCAGCGAAGCTTGAACTGCTGTTGATAAAAAAGGCGGGTGGTCATTCGAAAACAACCGTTTCACGGTAAAAAATAGCACCTTGGAGAAATTCAAAGGATACGAATTTAATGAAATTTCCCAGCGGAGATGGACGCAGGGGTTATTTGTATTCAAAAAGAATTCGATTTTACGCAGACATGCAATAGCCCCTAAACAATAACCGTTTAATAGTGGATAGACGAATTATTGCAAAGGCGTGTAGGATACAATTTCCAAATCGAAGAGAAATCCACATTTTTTTAAACCATCTCCCCTTTATATACGCTATTTTAGTACACCATTATAATTTATTATTTCTCCTTCACCAGTTTTTACGTCTACAATACGATCTAAACCAATTCAGTAAAAATAGGGGACGCTACTGGGTGGATTTTGAGTGGATTATTCTAGAGTGGTCAGTGTTATATAACTAATAAAATTGAATTTTTATGTCTTATTTTTGCATTTTATTGTATCTGTTCCCGCCGTTACCCTCGGGAATCGGACACGTAACACCTTAAAACTCCTTATTTTATTCAGATGCTATTCGAATTCGTCTGCGGAGAGAAGCTGTTATACCTACGTGAATAATTTAGTAATAAAGGAATACCAAAATGCACAAAAAATTACGGCAATCGCTAATCGAATTTGAAGCCCAAAATGAAACAATTTCTCTGCTCAGTGAATTAATTAATAATATGTCGCGCAACGGGACAATCTGTAATTTCTGTAAATATTTCGCAACCGGCATTGTTTGTTTATTTGGCATTCCGGGAACGCGGCCGCCTAATCCGGGCTCTTTAGAAAATAATCTGAGGCATTTTCGCGCTTTCCATGTCTCAATTTACATTTTCATAGCTTATCCCGACTTCCTACCTGCTTTGGGAATTAGTTTTATTTAGATTTTTTCCATTGTGTGGGAAAAGAAGATTATTGCAAATCGCTCTTATTGAATTTTTAGCATAATAGGTGTGTCGATAGAACGTGAAATATGATACAAATTTGTCGAATAAAGTTTATAACCAAATTTTTTTATCTCTAACAAATTGTACGCGATATTTATTTTAATTATGAGGTGTTTTTGGGAGTTAAAACGGGAAAATTGGTTTGGACAATAATTTATTACCTGTAACTTTGTTTCCATTAATATAAATTTAGAGATTTTTAGTTAATTATGCGCTAAAACAATGGCTGAATATTTATACAGTTTATACTACACAATATGGTGTATGCGGGCAACAAAGACAATTTCCACAATATATTTTTGCTTCCCTACACGTCCCTGCTCTGTTTCGGTTCTTATGCCGGACACCCTGTATTGCTGCTATAAAATTTTTAAAATTTACATACAACACCATGTTATTCCAATTCTTTCGCACGCTTCGTGGAACTCCTGGATCTGAAACAAATAGTAAAGATCTCAGCACGACGCAGCTTCGACAGCGACAACACACGGCGAGCTTAAAGCTACTTCTTAAACACCGCGAACATTGATTAATCTGCACCTAAATATTCTTCAGAAGGAGATTTAATATGTTCATAATGACTGGTAATGAGATAAAAGCTACTACAGGGTAGACCAAATTTGTTTGCATATCTTTATTAATTAACAAACCTCACAAAAACCACAAGTTAGAACCAATAAAATAGAATCAATCAAATTTATTGTTAGTTTACGAGTTCGTTTCATCCAATCAATTATTGTAGTTTCTAAATGAACAAACTAAACACCTTCAGAAATACTTTAGAGAGTTATCCTGTAAGTATGCAAATTCACTGTGTCCCCGATAAACGAGACAAATCGCCTTTATTAGTTCGCCCATCAAAATAATTGGATTATTTAATACCTAAAACCGTAATCTCCTGGAAATAAAAAATTAACGAAACAACCGCACGTGACGTTTATCACGTTGATTCGAAACAAACTAGTCCTGTTTGTTTCTGAAATAACGACCCATCGAGGCCCATTGGTCTCTCTGTTGCGCTGTATTAAATACTCGACCGCAACGAAATTTATCGCGGGCGATTTGTCATTATCACATTGGTAGCTTTTTTAGGCACTTGAAGATGTCTCGTGGAAATCCGTGCCATATGTCATCCATTACTTACAATAGAAGCGTGAAGAATCGGTACGGTCGCAACCCAGCGTGATTAACCACTGACCACTGGGCATAACAAATTTAAGTAAGAATATTTAAAAATATTAGATTAAACAGAATATTCATCATTTTTTACTTACTGTGTTTGTGATATTGAGTTTAATTATTGGTGAATAAGGAGCCTCTGTTACAGTAAAGCAAACATTCAATTGAACGTACGGCGAATTTCAATTCCAAAAGTTTGGTCTTGAAACCATTTTGTGACACACTGTATATAGATAATCCATAAAAGTGCACCGCTAATTTAAATTTTAGTTAGATTCTCGTCAAAAATATGATAGGTGAGTGCAGGCAGGATTTAAATTAAAACGGCTTGTTTAAAATTCTTTCCGAATCCTCCGTCGCCCTTATGGCTTTCGAAATAAAAATCAACAGCTTTTCGATTACCAAAGCCTTTGATCTACGCCATCAATACGCGATCCCATCAAAAGTAGCGCTTCATTTCGTCTCGACGAAATGAGACGGACTTTCTGCGAATATCAATTAAGTATACCGAATTGAACTAGTATTAGAAATTGAACCAAAAAACAGAGCAGTAAGAGAACATATGTACATATAAAGTTTACTTTCCGTATTTCCGTACCTACAAATAAACTAAGTTCATCCGTTTTATATTTAAAACAACGCTATAATAATTGTCTGGAGAATTTGTAAAGACCTTTACAAGCTTCTTATTGCAATACTTGTTCATCAAATTAAAAGAAGCGGACCTAATGAGCAGTAACAAATGAAGAAACAAGCTTTTATGGCAGTAAATAATTGGGGTATCTCGCGTTTGTTTGGAGAAGGGACCGCAAAGAATCACTTTATTAAGATAAATGACTGGAATAGATCGTATTATTCAGCTAGGGAATACCGCCAGGCAGTAAATCACTTGGTTTGGGGCATTTGATGACATAAAAAATTATTGTTTGGTTTTACGTTATGAAGAAGTAATTTTTTTATATGCTGCTCGTAGCTTAATTTGGATATATTTATTTAAAATTTAAATGTGTAAATACTAAATTATTATAATTAATTAGATATAGCCATTTATTCTTATTTGCTAAAAAGATATATTTTTTGAGATTTTGGATTATTGCTGTTATATTCATCATGTTTTTGTAAAAAAGCTTTTCTTAATGCTTCTAGATAAATGTTTATTATTTTAATAGGTGCGTCTATACGCACCTGTAGACAATTAAAAGTATAAATATAGGTGTACCTATAAATAATAGAGTAAAGTTTTATTGTGTAATAGCAATTACAGAAATTCATTCCATTAGATAGCGGCGTTAACGGTAGATATTCCCGCCGTTTGAGATAGAGCTCCCTCGGAGCGGGGGCGCATGAAAGTATGCATGAGCCGGCTAAAACAATGAAGTCATGGAGTGTGGGGTTTTTCAATAGGAACACAAGAAATAAGAGAGGATTTCAATCAAACGAGATGAACCTCATGACTTTATGCAAGAGGTGGGCATCCAGCGATCCAGCATCCAGCGTCGAGCAATTTCGCCACTCTTTATTGACTTTACCATCGCGGCGGTTTCTCGTTTGATACAAATAAAGAATATTTGCGGAAAAGTTTTTCATTCCCTGTTCGACAGCATCGCAAATAGGATATATTCCTTTTTTAACCTCAACCGGATTAAACGGATTGAAATTAACTATAAACTCTAGAGTATTTTTATATAGGTACCTAATCAATCTTATATCATGGTGTTTCATATAGCAAATATAATATTTATGGCTAAATCTTTTCAGCTAAATTATTGCTAAATAAATGGCACCAAATACTAATTTAAATTAAGGTAATAATTACAAATTCTTTTTAAACGATACTCAAAAATAGTAATAAAAATAGTAGAAAATTTAGCGTTTTGGTATAAGATAGAATAACAGTAACTTTTACAAACTTTAGCCAGTTAAAAATCAACCTCATATAGTTGCTAGTAAAAAGAAGTCATTTTAGAGCTTTATTAAAATTTGATTTAGCAAAGTACATTTTTATATAGAGCTTGGGCCCGCCAGGAGACGCATTATACATTAAATTCCCCATTGGTCGTGTCTGCGGCGTTCTTTATTGCGTACCGGAATGAAATATACGGAAGCTTGAAGAAGACATGGAATAAAGTAATGCTGTCATAAGCAGGCTCTCGTGTTACATAAATCAAAGGCTTATTAAGTCAAGTGGTTAACGTAGTTAGTCAGTCGTTGCTTACTCTGTAGCATACTTCTGGCTAAAAAATAATATATTGCCTTCAAGGCGGTGCGGCTGTTCTTGTTCTCCTCTTATCTTCCTCAAGGACGTATCGAAAATTTTATTTGTAGCACCGCATAATGTTTGCAGCGAATTATGCAATAATTGTTGCTAAAAAAATGTGGTTATCGAAATATTATGTTTAAAAAGAGGAAACGGAAGGGTTGCCCGGAAAATTCGCTTTCCACTCACCGGAGGAACATTTGTTGATGTTTCCACGTTTGTTGAGGTCGAGTTACGTTATGTGTAAACATTCCGAATTCAATATTCACTGGAGCGTCTTGAAATTATTTGCCCCGCTGCACCTGATTTCTCACCCTTCCCTTTGTAGCCGCCCTATCTTAAAAATATCCCCTGGCTAAGAACCTACCATAATATTTACACACACTAGAAATTCGTGCGTTACCCTCCATATTAGTTTTTTTTTTGAGTATGTAGGTATTTGTTTATTTTGTTCATTCGGATAAAATAAATTAAGTCAATACATTTACATTTTATATTACACACTTTTACACACTTTTCTATTGTATTCTACTCGGCAGATTCGCCGGTCTCGCTTAAGAGCGCCCGGAGAAACGCATTTAACGGCTAAGAAGAAACTTTGAAAATTGGTAAGTTCGTTCTCTTTGAAAAACTTGTTTGCCATTATACCTATTTATATATTTTCAAAGGACGTTTTCCTAAAAATGCAAATTAAATCTTTAAACCCACCTTACATAAAGTATTCGAGGGAAAAGTTTACTTCATAAAAGTTTCCGTCTTTTCTGCAAACTTAAAAGAACAACATAACTTTTCCGCAGCAGATTCGCCGATTCTTGTACCCTTAATGCACTGTTTTACTATTCTAATGAATGCATATCGGCTTATGGCAAGTCCGCCGGCTTTTCTTGCCGGCTTTCGCAAAAATCTCAGCGATTCTCAACAGTTTTTTTCCTATATAGGTACACTTTCACTCTCTTTAAACGACTCAAAAATATCTAAGAAATTTTTGGAAAAGAAGGAAGTTACATAAATATACTTCTTCGATAAAACAATCTTGGTGCAAACAGAGATAATGTAGCACCTTATACCTATGTATCAATTTAATTTTATATTAATTTGCATGTACCCCTTTAAATATGAATTTATTTACATTAATGCTGCAACAAACTAATAAAATTTTCCCAGATTGCTATTATGAATCACCTATAAATTTCTATCCAATTAATCCCGAATGCATAACGTTCCGATCTCCAAGAATTCTATCTGGAAAACCCGAGATGTTATTTTCCCATTACCTAATAGTTTTTAATACAACACTGTACAGCAAGAAGATAACGACATTCCGAGCAATTAAAAGGATTGTTTACGACTACATCGACTTGCGTCTAACCGAAATGTGGAAGTGCGGTGGTTTAATCTCGTTTCATTTGCTCGTTGTTCTAGTGCAGGGCAATGTGGCCCAGGACTTTCGGTTGGATTCTCACCTAGCGGACAGATCTCTGTTCTATTTGGCGAAGAACTCGTTCGTCGGCCGATCGGAGGGCGATATAACGATAAAAAACTGCTCGATAGAAACCATAGCGCCGGAGGCGTTTAAAAATGTGAGAGTGAACAGGATAAACATCACCGGTAACCCGTTGAGTGTGCTCAGGAGGAGGATATTTAGTTTCGTGGTGGTCGATGAAATTTACTTCGATGGAAACAACATCAGCGAAATCGAAACGGGCACGTTCCATTACATCTACCCCGTGAAGGAGGAGTCCCTGCAGATCCTGTCTCTGAGCCACAACAAGCTGAGGAAAATCAAACGAGGCGTATTCAGCGGCACTAATTTCAAGAAACTGATGCTCAGTTACAACGAAATTTATTACATACAGTATGCTGCTTTCGAAAATATGCCCTACTTGCTGTCGTTGAGTTTGGCCCATAATAAATTGCAAAGCATTGATTCGGGAATATTTAATAATTTTCTGAACCCGACTATGCTGAGCGTGTCCGACAATAAATTGAACTACATCCATCCGGTGGCTTTCGAAAATTCCACGTTTTTAAGTTTGGACTTGCAACGGAATAATTTGAGTGACATCAAGAAGGAATATTTTGCTAATACTTTCATCGGATGGTATTTTTTATAAACGAAAAATTTCGTTAATATGACAATTTGTGTTCGTTTAAAATAGTGTTTCTTAATTTCTTAAGTATTTTCAATAACAGATATCTAATAAATTGTAATAGAAATAAGTATACGCAATGTACATCAACCGCGAATATTATCAATATTTTTGTCTAAAATTTAATATGTAAATCGATAACCTTTGGACTCTATTAAAGATAAAAACGTAATTGCACAGTACAGTACTAACTACTTTTATTGGCCACTTGACCTATAAAATTATAGTTATTTATTCTAGGTTATTTGTTATATTTAATTTCTTTATTACGTATAGAATTATCAATTCGAGGAGAAATAAATCTGTTTGCTAATTTCGTCTGAGAAATTGTTAATGAAATGGAGAGCTTTTGTGTACAAATCTTTTTGAAAATTATGAATATTTAAAGAAAAATGAGTTATTTGTTAAAAATAAGTTGTATAAAATAATTTATCAATAAGAGATACCTATGTATAATAAATGATAGACTTGGTTTAGCAGGATAATTATTTTTTGTTCTTTTTTAAATAAAATATATCTATGATATTTTTATATGCTATATTGTAAAATTTTACATAAGTAATAATTTTGCACACATGAATACCCAATTATAGTCCTTGGGGAATAAGACATATACAAAAATGTGAATATTTTTTAATAATAACGGAAAACACTTTAATATAAAAATTAGCGATTTTCCTTAAAATTTTCAAAAATTCCTTTGTAAAAGATTAACTTGTAAAAATTGTGAAATCTCTGGAATACTAATATATTTAAGAAACAAAACAATTTCTTATATTTTCTGGAAACCGCAACCGACTCGATTTTTTCCCATAGGATTTTATTTACCCGCCGATAAGATGTGGGGATAATAAAATAACAACTTTCCAGCTATCGAAGAAAATAAATGAAACAATAACCGTTACTTCCAAGCAGTTTACGACGGTACAAGGTCCGCAAGTGTCCGCTTTAATCCATCAAATAGATTGTAGTGGGTTTTGCGCCGGCAGCGATTCGACTCCGGCCGCTCCGGCGTAGCGGAGGCATCCAGAATACGGCGATTCCGATGCAGGTGAAGTGCCACAAAATCCAGAAAAGCCGGCAAAACCGAAAAATCTATAAACTCAAGTTATTTTCTCTCATTCGGGACGCTGCCAGTGGATGAGAGCCGAGCAATAAGGCGGCTGTGAATAAGAAAAGTTGAATGGTGGCTCCGCCCGGAGCCAGAGCCCGACCAATAGTTTCCAACGGAATCCAGAAAGGATCGGTCAATTTGTACAAGTGACCAATGAAAAATCTGCCATTTTATGACGCAAATGGAAATTTTTGTTATAAATAATTTATGCGGTTGGTCGGACGATGGGACGGCTTCGAATGGGATGGGGTATTATGTCGAGGAAATCCTTAGAGAAATATCGTTTCTTCTTATTCGAACTTACGTAACTTTAATGTAATTATATTATTAAAAGAAACGAAACTCCGCTTCTAGGAAATGTCTTTCCTTATGAAACTTTCCAGCGAACCGACTTGTTTTATTTTCACTTATTACAAATTCATATTCAACTTTAATAACGATGTCTCTCTTAACGTAACAGTATTCCCTAATATCTTGTGGAGGAAAATTCCATTTTTGCTATACAATAAAATCAATAACCACCCAACTTTTCTCAATGTTTATCTAATGTTCTCTTAAATTTTTCGATGTTGATTTTACTCTCAATCAGTTAATATTTGAATTAGTATAAGGAAAATTTGGGTAGATATTCATAGGAGTATTTTATAAATTATATTTTGAACTTTCTTGAAATACTTACTAATATAAAATATGGAATATCAGTAGGTAGGTATATTTCTTTTTATATCTTAAAGTGTTTTTTTCTTTTAAAATCATTTGGAACAACAATCATGGTTATCGTACCGTCCTCAGATAATTTATCTAAATGTCATTCCACTAAATACACACAAACAAGCTAATTTAAAATACTCTAATTATCTTCATAAATTATCCTTCAATTTCATATGTTGCTCCTTAGACCCGCTTCTTCCTTATTCTCGAATTTATTTTCCACCTACATTAAATCTTCGAGCGGGGGATCTCAAACTTGAAGCCGATAATGCAATTCCCTTTCCTCGAATTCCGAATTTAAATTGATTCCCCAAATTTGTCGGACAACTCCTCCGCAAACCGGCGGGCAATATATCAACTGTTTAGACTTGGAAAGATAAATTGTCGGGGTTAAATGCGAGCTGGTGGTCAGCCAGGGTCCAGCGAGTCCTCTTTTAGTGTATCACCACCTCCACCGCACGCATCCGAAATTTCCTGCTACCCGGGCTTCCGGATTCGAGGAAGATGGACCGCTTGGCCCCGTTAGATTCTTTTGCATACATACATGTTATTACGCGGAAGTAGGTTATATGTGCCCGGCGAATTTCCGTTCCGGCTGGAAAAACTGCCTTTGTCGGTTTGGACTTGAGAGCGTCCAGCGACACTTTCGACGGGCGATTAAGTCCACGAATTTTTCCCGGACTCGATTCGGTTAGAATTGTATTTACGTGTACCTAGAAAGACCGTCACTTGACCGGATGTTCACGTAGTGACAGTAACAACAGTATTGCGTTTATATATCCGGATTGGGGGGGCCACTTTACGTTTCCTTCCGCCATTCCAAGTTCCAAGTGGAACGCTCTAAATGAGTAATGATAAAACGTCGGGTCGGTCGGATCGGTCTAATTGCTAAAACGGATATTTCGTGCGGCACTTTCGGTTTATTTCATGTTGTGCCGTGGCGGCCACGGTTGTTGTAGAGGTGGATTCCGAGAAACACGCGCGATCTATTATCGATAATTAGCGTGAAAAAACCACCGCCGCAAACGGATCGCTATTGATTTATCGTTGGATGGATAACTACAATGTAGGGTTGAAAACCCCCTAATTATGATAAAATCCTACCGGTTGCTTGTTTTAATAATGTATTTTTTTCTATTAATATTTGAACTATAGGTTTATTAATGATTTTTGGAATCAAAATAGCTAAATTTTTGTGTACTTGTACATAAATTAATTGATGTAAAACATAATGGGTTTCTCCCGATTTTTCATTTTGATTTAAGTCATCAATCGCCCACTAAATAATATGCAAATAGGCGACGTGGGTACTCCATATCCCCGCACAAACATATATTAAATTTATTCAAATCTAATTCCTCTAGAATCGGAACGCCGGAGTTCGCTTAGGCACGTACTTCAAATTTATAAAACTGCGCGCTTCAAAGAACGAGGACACAACTTCAAACGGTGTTAATTAACAATACACACATTCGTTGAGTGATTATTACTCGTGGTCCCCCATAAACACAACAATCGAATTTTAGCCGTATGACAGAAACCGAACTTGTTCCTATTTACATTTTAATAAGTCCCCGGTCTGTCTTTGTCGCCGTGCGGCGGCGGCGGCGCGCTCCTTCTCTCTTTCGCCCACGAAACGGGGTGATTATCAATTTTATACCAATTTGCTTTCGATTGTGATGTTTTCACACAACAAATTGATGCGTATAACTCTGCTTTGCTTTTCGCATACAACGAATTTTATGAACGGATTTTGTACTCGCGACGATAATCTGATTATGCATTGTATCGCTCTGATATTGCTCATAATTGATCGTGATATGTTTTATAAATATTCCGGAATTACGGCACAATTAGTTTTAGATGAATAAACGAAATAAGCTTTATTTCATCGGTATACAATTAAATTTTTATATGGGCTGTTCCATCAAGGAGTGTAGAAAATAAAGGGAATAAAGAGAATTTTCTACGAATATTGAACCTAATTTTCACCAATACTCTTTCATTTTCTACAAATCATTGAAAACCACCCTGTATAAAGTTTTAATTAGTATAATACCGAGAGTAGCAGTCAAATATTTAAGATTTTAAAAAAATGGAAATCAGTTGTCAAAACTCTCTTTAAGAGTTTTTCTGTATACTGTCGCTGCACTTAATCTGTACAAAAAGACAACAAAGCATAATGAATTTTTTTTAGCCGGAACAACCGCTAATGAACCAGGAAGAAGGGAGCGGATTTGATTGAATTAAACCTGATTACGGCAAATCTTTAATTGAATTCCAACTTCCTCGACTTCCCGCTCCATTTATTTTTTATTTTTCGTCGAATATTTCTTATCACAATAATACGGAATTTCCCCATTCATTTTAATAATTTCAGTATTAGGTATTAGAAACTCACCATACTTGCAAATAATTCAATAAGTAGAGCAAATTGGTAGCTGAAAGGTAATAAATAAAAGATCTTTTAACACTTATATTTAATTTATGTTCATATTTTGTGAATCTAAGTTTTTGCTAGTTGGATTTATCGGTATATTATTAATAGTAATTGGAGAAAATATCGGTGTTTAATTATTAATCAATTCTTAATTACCAGCATGTTGGAAGTTGTCCTCCTTCGCTCTCCCAACTTAAAAATCGAGCCCCAGCCGTAGCGCGAAATTGAATAAAGTTTTAAAGGAATTGAACCGCGATTCAGGTTCATCAAGTTTATTTTGAGAGCCAAGAATGACTTCCGCTGATTGCAAAAACATAAAATCAACCCAACTTTCTTGATTGAAGAGACTTAATTAAATTATGCAAATTCGCTGTTTTTATATTTAGCGCAAACTTCGGTTGGTCGCGAACGCGACTCGTCTGGTCCGAACCCGATTTTACCAGCCCCATTTCCCTATTCGATTTTTATTGCTAAAAGATTCCAACACCAGTTGCTTTATATTATTTACTATCTATATTATTTACAATCGTGTTAAAAGTATGTTTGATGAGACCCCACATAAAAATGTGGAATATTGTAGGATATTTATCAAGGTTTATTCATTTAAAAATAAATGTGTAGATAGCAAATCTGCGTTGAAAAGTTTGTATGGAAAGTTTGATTAGCACCCTTTCGTGCGCTGATGATAGGGTCCCGAAGTAAAAGTATAGAGCCTGACCCTTATTGAATCGTGCAGAGCAGATTCCAGGAGAATCGGCGGGGATGATCATTATAAGGAGAGCTCGCAAATATTTGGTCGATGAATATGCATGAGCCGAAAGTACACCGGCTGTTTTTCCAACAACCTCGGATTGTTCGACTCCCCGTTCCGTCTCTTCTGGCACAGAAACGGCACCAGCCGCCGAGGTTCTGCTGATGATGACGCCACACGCTCTTTAGACGGACCCTTAGCGTTCGAGCACGCTTTGTGTACAATGGCGACGGCGATGTTTGACTTGGAGGTGTAATTAAAAACGGGCGAAAAACGCGAGTGTGGAGGAAATAATTTTAAAAAGCCTCTTTTGCCGCGCTTCCATCCGCCTCTTCAAAATTAACGAGCGATTTTTATACCTTTATCCACATTGTAACTAAATCTAACACCAGGCACTCCAATCTTTTCTAGGTAAATCTACTAGAGGTATTTTAAAATATGCTATCAATTATGCTCCAGTATAATAAAGTTGCACCCCTTTTCGGGTAGAAGAATCCGCTCGCTTGAATTATTAGAGACGAGGAGGCGATGAAGACAAACTTCTAATAAAGTATTTATAAGAAAGCTTAATCCAAAACATGTCTGCTTAATAGCATTAAAAGAAACATTGCCGACTATAATCACATTTAAAGGTATTCTAATGCCCGTGGACGATGAGTCAGTGGGGGTGGTTTATCCTCTTCCGGGCGTAAAGCATTTTATTTGCATGTCATTTACATACTCAGAGGTCGCCTAATAAATCCCGCTAAAAGATTAAAAATACCCTCCAATGAGGTTTTTACATTATTTCGTTATTGTTTCTAAATAAAAATTTAATTGGGTAAAAACTTTTTTAATATTCCTTAATTGAAATAATGAAGTAATATTTTTGAAAGTACATGGCGCAAAAATAAGTTAAATGTAATAAATATTCGGTTATAGTCAGATTTCAGATTACGAATGGATTAAAATTTAAAATTTTTAATTTAGAGGTTGTAAGGGGCAATTTATTAAATAAAAACAATCACTTGGTAATATTACTTTCGAAAATGATGGAGGTTTTAAACATAACATTGTAATTTTACTAGTGAGACTCTGTATACACTTTTAAATTCTGAAAATCAACTAATAAAATGAAACAATTCAAATTTTCTACACAGATTTAATTTTTATGAAAATGTTTAAGATCCCTTTCAACCCTTATTTCTATCTTCATTACCTATTAGGTATAGAGTAGATGAAGTAGTATAGATATTCCCCATACATTATTCCATTTCGCTACGAAAACGCACGTTTCTCTCTCGAAAAGGCCTCTTAAAAAACCCATTACCTATATATTTTCCGTTGATGCGCCTTAATGGGCGCTTATATTGAAAAACTGCAGTGTAATATTGGCTTTGGGTAGCAACAACTCCCCGGGAGAGTTGCCACCACAAAAGGAGTTTGCCAACACACCTCTTTCCTTTGATCTCTCTCTTGATTGCTTCGCGTTTCAAACATACACCCGAATTTCGTGAGCTATTGATTGGGGCCCCTATCGAATTGTTCTCTTCCGCCGATTTTATTTGCCCCGAAATGCAAAGAAAACAAACATTCCTCCGGTGGTGTATCGAAAAATTTGAGCAGGCGTTTATACCGATATCAGTTTTTCAATCAACCGCGCGAGATCGGGCTTATTAGTATTCGTGGAGAGTGGAAAGTATCAAAGGGGACGCAGAGAAGTGTTTATTTTGCAATTCAGTCTTTTTTTACTAGAAAACCTACTTTACCGCTTTTAGATTTGTATCAGCGACGTGAAATTTCCATGAACAAATCAAGTATAGTCGCTACTCCGTGGATATTTTTTTGGAAAAAAATAATTTAATCAGCGAATGTGCGACCATCGTTAATCCGAACACCTCGCCGAGCATTCGCCGTATCTATTTTTCCGGTTGACATCACTCCCAGCGCATTCCAAATCCCCGAAAGTTCATTTCTCAAAACCACGGCGTTCTCCATCGCATGGCGCAGAACAGAACAAATTGTGGACAGATTCCATTAATGAATTACCACCGTTTACTTTATAGGGCCCCGTCGACCGTACGGCTATTTTCGGGTTGACCCTACGGTATAGTCCGGAGCCATTTCCCATTCATTTCCTCAATCTTACCCAAAACTCATACACTATTTCAGAGTGTTATCATTATTGTAATTAGTAGAGGCACCTTCTAGTATATACCTACTTTTGACTAATGGAGACTATTCAATCCTTTGAGGAATATACATGAGGAATACAATAAGGAATACAAGGAGAATGCATGGGGAATATATGGGGAATACATGTAGAAAAAATGAACATTTTCTAATGGCTTTACCAATCCTCTTTTCATTGAACGATCCTTCTAGTCTACATACCTACTCTTTTAGTCTTTTGTCAATCTTTTGTAGGGAGCTATAACTTATATCGAATAGGGAAATGGGGCTGGTAAATTTTTGAATTTTTTATTACCGCCTCCAGGAAACCTAGATCTTTATATTTTTCTTCTATAATTTAAATCTTTCTAGTCGTTCTTTCCATTAATTTCCTTCATTATTGCTCCCTTTATTGCGCTAGTGTTATTTTACTATCAGCATTTTGGTGAACGAATATTATGCCTTTAGGGACCGCACTAATAATCCACAGTCGACAACAGATTGGAAAAGTAAGTGTGACAAATCGAACGTACACATTGAGTCAAGTTGAATTGCAGAAATTAAAAGTACATGGAAACGCCATATGGCCCAACAGCGGGATCGAGGTTACTTCAAACGGGGTGAAATGCATTAATTTAACCGCATATGTTGCCTAGTTAGTGTTGTTGTTATGGCTAACCCAAATTTTAATTAATGGGAAAAAGCTTTCCGCTATTATGGAGAAAACGGTTGTCGAATGGGACTCCTCTAGGGGGAGCAAAGCTCATTAACTTTGCAATAAAAGAATCTGTGCGGTGTTGAATAAGCGTATAAACGGTTTGCGATGTTCTAGATGCCAATCAAATTGTAAAGATTGTTATAGTATTTTCAATATTTTTGTTTTATGAGTCATCGCCGAGTTTATAGAAATGTACTGTTAACAAACAAAATAAGAATAAGGGAATCTTTGAATACTAATTTTTGATTACTAATTAATTTAATATATTTATAGGTATTTTCGAAGAATTAAAACCCCTAAGGAAGCGAAAATCCCCCATTCGAGGCGGGCGCTATAAAATTACAACGGCCGAGGACATTGAGGCACTTAATTCCAATGAAATGTTAAGATAAAACAATCCCATTACCAGAGATGTTTACAACGAGGATTCGAGGCATTCGCCATCTCGGCAAAATATTTATGGAGACTAAATAAATCTAAAAGTAAGTACTTACAGGATTAAATCAGTTATTTTGTTATTCCGTTCGTCTGTTCGCCGGAACCGAAAGCGTTATCGAAATACGTTCGTGGTCCCCAGATGGAAAGAGTTGATCAAGAAAATTGCTCCTTTGATTGATCGGATTATTTTCGTCGGCTTTAAAAGGTTCATTTTCTGCTAATGGTTGCATCATCGGAATTTACGTTTATACACCGTTTTATCCTATTTTAGAATCGCATAAGGACGAAAAAATTTTCTTAATATCAGCATGATGTGTAGACATTATAAATATTTCCAGATGTTTAATCCAGAATGCTTCTTCAAGAGTTTTGGCGGGATTTTTGATCAAGTGAACATCTTACTGATTAATAAATAAAATAAAATGATTTAAAATTCTCCTAAGATCAAATTAAACCGCAATTCCCTAAATTATAAATACATAACTTAGCACTTCCACAAGTGCTTCAAAAATAAATATTTTCGCATCGAAAATTGAAGCGAAACATAAACGACTCGTCGCGTCGTTTCTAATTTAAAAAGACAACACGCATTCTTCTAATCCGCACTTATTTGCACGCGTGTGCTCGCTCTGCAAATCCAGCTCCAACGTCCTGGGGCACAGGAACTCGACGCATCGCTCTCGAATCCGTCCGATTTTCGATTTTAAGCCGTCAAGAGCCGCGAACGAACGGAATAAGAGAGAAGAAAATCACCAACGCCGGCTATAGAGAGGCGCGGGACGCGATGCGGAGGGCGCCGGATCCTGATAGTATGCAAATCAACGGAAAGTGAAGCTTCTTGTAGTGTTCACACGGGGCTTTGTGCGGGTTTACCACCTGATAAGGCCTCCGCTAACACGTCTCTATCGCCATGTCTGACATCATAATTACATCGCTGTTTGTATACATACGTAGGCATCTAGCTCTATATTCATCGTTTGATTTCAACGCTTCATGGTTAATTTCCTTGAATAATATTTGTTAACTAAGGGTTAATTGGTTTGGTAGGTGTCTGTTTTAATTTACTATATTAGGTTTAACAAGGAGCTTTCACGCTTTTTTTTGCTAATATTTAGCCAATAATATTAAACATATAAAAAGAGTATATTTTCTGGATCAATATTATAGTAGATTGCATCCCAACAAACTGTCATATCATATTAGAAAGAGCTATTTGTTCGGCGCAACAGCGACGCAATCAAAACAAATATTTCCTTTCGGCTTCCGCAACGCCGACCGGCCGCGTTTTGTTTTGATATTGAAAAACTAATCCTGAGAAAGGCAGCATCGAATGCATTATATGGGGCTCCAGCCTCCGGAGATAAACTCCCACTTCACGATCGGACCTTTGTCGTTCCCAAACACCGTCACGTGTCGCAACTAAAAATGTGTACACATTTAACAATTAAAGTCGCTTTAGCCCTTCGCGTCATCCACCCTTCATTTGTGCACGGCCAAAAAAGCCCTATTAGGGGTTGCCATTGTCCTTTTCTTTGTTGCGTCGTGCCTAATGCGGCGCAGACGACACCGTGACGCTCTGACCACCGTATTATTTTTAAACCCCGGTTTGAATGCATTGTTAACCGGCGGGTTCCCTTCTAAATAGACACGTCCATCCAGAACCGGATCAAGTACTATAAATAAATATATAAATAATTCAAAATTATATCATTTTTAACATGGTATTTTTAACTATACCTCAGCGGTTTGTAGAAGAGAATCTATAACACAATAAACCTAAATAAGGGCTGGAATCGTGACTTATGTAGGTATACACAACAATTACCTAAGTGTAGTTAAATATTTGAATAATTGTGATAAAAAAATATATTTGAATATAAAAAATCGAACAAGGGTGCGAGCTGAGCCGGTCCTGTTGGGTCCCGTGTGTGAGCGAGTATGTGTGTGTAGGGGTGAAATTGGTTATGTATTAATGTAGTGAAAAGAAGTTTGATTTTTGGGAGGAAAAGACGACGCGCTCGTTTTTCATATGGTTGCGTGTGTCACATGTATCATTAGATTGAGCTTTTTTCTATAGCCGGCCGCTGTCTGTGACGCAGACCGCTTTAAGGGATTTTCATTTGCCTTATTATATGAAAAATTTCGGCCCTTCAGGCGAATTGATGTTTGGAAAAAAGTAGAGCAAAATAATATTCTACAACCTCGGTTGCCAAACTGCTCTTGAAGTTTTTCTATAGTATACTTGTGGCTCATTAAAGTTTAAAAGTTGTAATTAATAATTGTGATTTTTGACTTCAAAATTTCCTTCCTGTTTATTTTATTATGTAAAAACTGATTAAATTTAGTTTTACCTATGGAAAAATATGCTTCAACAAATTCTGTTTACCGCGTATGGCTCAAGTTTTAAAAAAAGCTGGACATCCCTGCACCAGTTAAAATGGTTATATTCTCTAAATTTCCTTGTTAAAAGATATAGGTAAAAGGAATCGAAGAGTTTTAATACACCGTATACAATTTGATAAAAAGAGACTTGACAAAAGCTTGCAAAATCTTATTAAATTCTTATTAAATTACGAATTCACTTAATTGTTTTCCTTACCATCTCTAAATAGAACAAAGCCAGTTTGAGTAAAATACTGGATATTTTCTTAGTCGAAATTTTCGAAGACTGAACGCATCACGGATAAGTTCGTTGTTTTTAGCGTTAATACTCCCTTCCCGGTATTTTATTGGTATCTGACGGGGAGTATTCGGCGATATTGCTTTCTCTCCCGCTGTTCGACGTCTTCTTACCTAAGCCAGGCAATTACCGAGACATAACCTAAAATCTCCCGTAATTTTCCCGGCCGGAGCTAATTTGCCAACTTCGTTCCATTACTTTCATTCGACGTCTCTCGCATCTTCGGTCATTAGTCTAAAGAAATTTGGAGAAAAGGGATTTGGAAATTTACTCATTTTCGCAATATACCGACAAATACAATTTACTACACTTTTTAGTAGATATTTCCATAGGTAGTCAAAATATGTTTGAGATTTTATTGTATAAAGCAGAACATTTCATATGTGTTGATTTAACTTACCGTTCTTAACGCTCAATCATCATTAATGAATTCTGTACGAGGTATAGTAAGGTTACATTAGTATGTATTCCAAAGGAAGGAGCGATACAGAGAGACCAAGGGAATGATGGCAAAAGAACAACAGATAGCATGCGTTTATCAAAAGCCATTGTTGGCACGCTCTTGATTGCATTTTGAGTATGATGAATGACCAGTCGCTTATTCACCGCAAAATACATCAACCCTTACAGGGGAAATATCATATTCCATCAAAACGCTATTATTTATCTTCTTTTGCTACAAGTAGTATAGCAAACGTATACGAAACTATCAATTATCGGAGTATCACCGAACGGCATTCGACTGGGGTAAGCTACAAAAGCCCATACAAATCCAACGAATCGGAAAAGTTTACGCTAATTAATCGATCCAACAAGCAAAACACGAACGAAAGTTTTGAAAACTTTACTCTGCAATTTAAGCTCGAAGACAACAAACACGATTAATATCGACACAATTTCGAAGACGCACAAACATCGCCCGATATATAAATCCGAGAACAACGCCAAGCGGACCGACAAATAATCGCTACAAGCACAAAATTGGCTTCAACAGCACGAATCGCTGCTCGCCCGCTGCTTCCTGATGCACACGGCGGCCCTCATCCACCGCCACAGCTTGAACAGCGGCGTGTCTCTGAAGGAGGCCCTCCGCGGCCTGGTGAAGTACAGGATGCGCAGCTCGCTCTCCTCCCTGCTGTGGTCGTCGTCGTAGTTCGTGTAGCTGTACGAGCGCAGCTCCTTCTCGAAGCTCGTGCCCACGAACGAGGGGTCGCACTTGAAGTCGTCGTTCTTGTAGATGACGCTCACGTCGTCTTTGTTCTCCTGGTGGGCGCACGCCTTTTTCTTCTGCAACATTATCAACGAGAGATTTAGATCGATTGATGGGCCGATGGTGGTCGGAGAGAAATAGCAGGGAAATATTACCATTAAAATATTGGGCAATTTTTTTGGAGATGGGTCAATAGAAGTATGGGAAAGCCAAAATGTTCTTAATACAAAATCTACAGATTTTCCATCCTGATTCCCATTCTTAAATTGGCCTAACTTTAAAGCAATTCCTGGTGATAAAAATTGCTGTTCCTTCCACAACATCTTAATGGTATAAGTAGATATTAGAAAATACAAGAAATCCATTGATGGTAGAAAGATAAGAGGATTGTTTTAGGTGAAATATTAACTGATTTTTGGTTTTCTGGCTTATCTGAACGTCCAGCACTGCCATGCTCCATGGTGTGCTGTTCGGGTATGTCCGTCAAAGCGGCCTTGGGGTGTACATTAGCACTACTCGTAATTGTTGTCGTCGATGCCGAAATGGTTCCGGAATCTCTCATTCTTAGGTGGGTAGTCGAATCATGATATGGCGAATTCACGTGCCCGATGAGTTGTGGTGTGATTTTACGTCGGATAATTTTTTCATTACTTTAAAGTTAAATGAACATTTTTTTAGGTGAATTGATGAAGGTACTGACATCTTGACTGTCACGGTATGTCGACTAAAGGTTGATTGACAGGCCGAATAGCCTTAGTAGTTGAGGCCTCAAATGAAGAAGAAGAAGGTTGATTCACATAACACAATATTAATAAATCTTTTTAAATAAAACGTGTCTTCATTCAACTATTAAAGTAACTAATCAATAATGAAGTTTTTAAAATTCAATAAAATGAATAAGTACCGTTATTTTTTATGAACATATCACTCAATAACCAATTAAATTTTGTAAAAATATCGCAGGAAACATTAATTTTATTCAATTTGTTCAAGTAAGGAATTATGAAGCCTTTCTTGTTGGTACTTTTACAGCGGACATTGTCAGTTATACCTTCTCCGTATAAGTTCATAGCAAGAAATGGCAGAGGAATATTGAAGCACAAAAAGAAGTACTAAAAAAGTTATAAAATCAGGGGTGTAGTCCTTAATTCTAGGTAATCTAAATATAACTAAGTACAATATTTACTATTATAACTAACAAATTACTTATTGGCACTACTTGCAATATACCCTGCTATGCATACATATTCTATTTCCACTATTTTTTCTCTCCAATTTATTGAATTTGTACCTTCTATTTGTACTTATTAATTTGGTTCCTATTTATTGAAGATGCCAGTTTTCAAAAGTTTTAAAAAATGAGTGTGAATAAAAAAATAATATTCCTCCATTTACTACGCTTATGGACGTAATACAACGGAAAAAAGCCGACAAAAAACTAGATTCCTTTTTTTTTTTCGACCGATTCGAAAGATAAGGGAATTTACACACAATATATACTTATAGTCACGACCCAATACGATCATGGATAAAATAAATCAAGACAGGTTTTGCAGAAAATGAAATTCAATTTATACCTTCTACACATTTGAAAAGTTTTTGCCTAGGTTCTTATCGATGTCATGATTTATAGATATGCACGGATTTTCTAGATGGACATTTTCTATAGAGAACCGTTAGAATAACGAATTGAGCTGGTAGGTATATGCTTTAATCTACGTATGTTAATCGAGACATCTTGTGATATTTGCTACGAATATTCCTTTCCTTGTATTGCAGATTTTACCATATATTATCTACAATGGGCTAATACATGGATTATTCCAATAATTTCGAATATAAGCGACCTGCAAACGATGATTGACATTAAACTGCCCAAAAACCCATCATTCCCCGACTAATAACCAACATTTAACGCCGTAAAGAGCACTTACGAGAACAACTCGGCATAAACTTGTCAGATGGCAAACTATTAGTTATTAACATCTAATGGAGAGAAACGAACAGCGCGACAGTGGCGGACATTTGGGCGAATTTGCGGCAGTTGTGGGGGAGTGGTAACAGTATGATGGATGGGCCCTAGTTAGGGGGCGACTCCTTCACCCTATTTACGCTTGGGGTCGCTTAAATGCTTCCCCTGGAGGACACTTTGCATTGTGAATGCGCTGTCATCGATACAATTGCCTCAAAAGGAGTCAATTCGGTGCGTTAGCTATTGTAAATATAATTTGTACTTTTAGGACCCGAGCTAATTAGTTTATTGCACCTCCTACTGTGCATTTAAATGCGTACATTATAAAGCAGTTTTAAAAAAATTGATGTGTAATAAAATGGACTTTTTATATAGATGATTTCTTTTATTAGCCTAATACATCAGAAACAGTTTTTTTAAATTGGAATAGTTCAACCAACACGTTGAACCAATTGAAGCGTTGAACAAATTAATGAATAAATTGAAAATGCGAAGAATATTATCCAATATTTTATGTTTCTCAAAATCATTCATTCAGGATCATAGCTAAAAATGCATAGAGAAAATCGGTGAATTGAAATTTAACAAAAATATAAGGGAAAATTTAATTCATAAATTCATTAAATCGTTTAAGATTTCTGTGGACAAATTTAATAGGTCAATAAATTTATAAAAAAATAGTTACATTTATTTTGAAGATTTTACGGCAATCTAAAAGCATAAAAAGCTCATTTTCATGAATCATTACGGATAGTTTCTATTGTTCGGAATAAAATTCGTGGTGAGTATGACATATTAAAAAAGCAGGAAAACAGCGCGAATCACGAAACGGTAGCCGAAGAACACGATTCGGAACAGTAGCGGTGAACCGTCGAGGGCGGCTACGACGCACCGTGGCCATTATTTATGTTACGTAATTAAAAAAAAAAGAGCCAGAGCGACGGTGTATCGGCGGCAGCGGACCGGTAAGTCACGGAACATGTCACGGTGTCGGAGACGCGATTTGAACCTCTCGAATGGCATGGCTGGAAGAGAGCAAAGAGACGCAAACCAACGGCCAATCGCAATAGTTGAACCTTCGCGATCTCCAACATTTGTTTTATTACTTTTGATAGCGTTCTCTCTACCATTGGCGAATTCACGCACTGCAAACACTCCCATTCGGTGCTCTCACGCCGTTGACATTTTTTTTTGTTGCTCGCTTTACCAACCTCGAAGCACCGCCGAGCGCTTTTTTTACTCTACACTTTACCTTTGATTAAACAAAAATCTTAAATACTATTTACTAACCAATCAAGCGCGAGTATACAACAGAAATTTTTCGAGCACACCTAACAAGGGTTTAAAATTTCTAATTAAGAACAATCATCTGCACGAATTGTCCGATGCGGAACGACGTTTCAATCATGGGGCAAATGAAGTGCGTCTCCATCAACCACGTGAAAAGTAAATTTCTGATTTAGTCGTCGTCGTCGCCGTCGACTGTATAGGGGGATGAATTTAGAATACGGTCGTCACCTCCACGCAAATGCGATAAGATCACAGATCAGTCAAGTAGAAAATGACGGTGTCAAACCGGAGGCCAGGACAACAATAACCCTCGGCAACGAGCCACAATGCGACGTCCTTTTCATACGCAAATGTCACGGATTACGGGGCACTATTGAGAGATCTTTGCTTTCGCTTGTGCTGCTCGCCTATGCTAGTCCGCTTTCCCAAGCATTCTTCTAGTAGCTGCGGTATATTTATTAAAGAAAAACCATCAATAAATCTATCACTGACTTCGGTAGTTTTATTAAATGTGTACACATAATTAAATCAAATCTCTAAGGGGTTACAATAAACCTATGCCGAAGTAATAGCAGTTATCTCATACATCCAAAAATTATCTCTATAGTTTGTTCCTAATTTCTCCAGAAATGTCACTGCTCAACACATTTGCTTATAGTTCTATAATATTTTTTTAAAACCAATTACAATTTCATATTTGGTCATAAAAGGGATAAACAACTGATATAGCCACTTTGATAACATATTCGATATAAACCATCACTAATTTTATAAAATTCAACACACTGTTTTGTTCTCTAATTAATATATCCAATTTATATTATATTTCTATTACATTATAACTGTTTTTTAATACCGAATTACTTCCACATCAAGTACCTTTCAAATAAAATAAATCACACGTTAAAATAAATTAATTTAATATAATACAGCCAATGAATTTTAAATTTTTAAATTTAGAATTTTCGGCTACTTCTGCCACTATTTACTCACCATATGTTCCAAAGAACTCATACTTTGGGTGATGTTATGCCTACATCGTCGCTCCTGTCATATTTAAGATAAATTGTACATAAGAAAAACTTCAATACATTCTTTATATGCATAGAAATTTGTGAACACGGGGGGCGATTCAATAAAAGAGTAAGAAACATGCGATGAGGGTGTGATGAATAGAATATTCAATAATTTAGTTTTCGTTTTATACAAGTTTTTTTTTGTATACCCACAATTCGTACCCGGAATCTAATGATTATTTTTGAAATAATAATAACTTTTAATTTATTCTTCGGTAAAGAATTTTGTTGTAAAAGTAAAAAGATTTTATACTTTTGATATAGAGAGTTCGTTTTAATGAAACAAATAATGGAAGATATTAAAGAAAAATATCAAAACCGAGTTTAAGGCATTCGTTAAAATATTATCTTTGTTCGAATATTCCAATTCCTGGGGTTATTCAAATGCGAAGTACGGTTGAAGAGTGTACTCGAGCATCAGATATTTATATCTGGATCTTTGTGCGGAACGTTCGAAAGACTTGATTATATTACGACAAATCACTAATGAAATGCAGATTGGATTGAAAAAACAAAGATCCCCCCTTTGTTTTCTCCGGCGACCGACTGTTGAGAACGTTCACTAGTTGCGGAAACATCGATAACATAAATATGTATGATGAGTTGAGTTCTAATCACGTTCTTTTGTCCTGAATGCACTATTGAATTCTTCCTCCGGTCCTGATCCTCTTCTCGAAGTACGATGGAAAACGATGAGAGCGCGGCCATTACCAACTCTAATTGATTATGTTCACCTTCTTCACTCGTGCCTATGATAATTTTACGAGAATACGCCGCTTTGTATCGTTCGTTAATTGACGAACGAACACTTGAATTGCAAATCCGGAACGCTAACACTTTATAAAGAACCTCTACTGACGGCCTATTTGTCTTGCCCTGGCGCCGGCAAAAAAACTCTCTTTAAACTTTATTCTCTCGGCTAAAGTCGCACAAAGAATTAATTATTTAATTGATTCAGTTACTTGTTCGTGTTTTTTTCAATTTGTTTGCACTTGTTTTTACCTAAGCGTAATGTTAATTTTTTTAAATAATTGTTGTACAAAAAATTATTCGTTTTTAAGAATCTGTAAACTTTATGTGGTGAAATTGAAAAGCACCTCACCACAAGCTGAATAAAAGCGTTTGCTTTACGTGTTAAGTTATTTTACAGTGATTAGTATCATGCATTATTTATTTGGCTGCTTTGCATTCTATTCATGCTTATAACACAATTAAGTGGCTGTAGTAGCATATGTTAGAACCCCGGAACATTTTAAATTTCCATAGATAGCGCCTCTTTCAAAGCCATAATCCTCATTTCTTTTTTGTGATACACGGCTAGAAAATTTTGTTTACATGTTTAATGC